CCTTCTTCTAGACTAGGACTAATAGTAAGGAAGGCCCTACGGTCGGCTTAGTGTTAGTTGTTAGGGCCTCCTAAAGGCGACGAATTTCGAGGAGGTTATCCTTTAGCTGTTGCTCTTAACGTAGGGCAGTAAGCCTGTTTTAGGTAGCTTCTTAGAGTCTCCCTACTAGTTAGGGGCTAAAGGCTAGCTAGCTATATCGCCGATTAACAATGTTGTTAAGAATGTCGTTAATAGGCAATTCTAGATTATTACCTAGAATTATAGATTCTTCTTTAATAGGCTCTCTAGTAGGCTCTTTAGTAGGAGGCACTTTAGTAGGCACTTTAGCGGGAACCGTGCTACTAGCGTTGTTATTACTAGCGCTGCTAGCGGCAGCACGGTTGTTGTTGCTTCGTAATAAGCCGGCTATTGTAGTAGGGGATGACACTAATAATGTATTATTAGCCCCTAAAATGCGGATGTAGCGGAATTAGTAGATATTAGTCTAGTACGATTAACTTAGTATAGTAGGCCGTATAGAAGGCCTTGCTTGATAATAATTAGTACGGTTGTTTCGATAGAATGGTACGTATAGGTCCCGTTCTTCGGGCGTAATATAGTTAGATTAGTCTTGTTCGTAGCTATACCGCTAAAAGCTTGAAATAAGGACTATCTAGCTGCTACCCTTAAAGGGTAGATCGAATACTATATAAGAAGGGTTATATTAGCAGGTAGATAGGGTAGTGGTAAATTAGTATAGTATTCGATAGAGATCTAAGAGGAGAGGGAGGAAGGCAGACTAGTTGGCCTAACGCTAAGCGCCAAGCCCTGCCTAAGGCATCGAGACCCTAGCTTTACTCGAGCCTAGTTATATACCAATTACGTGTAACCTCTTTAGTCCTAATAGAGCCCCTTCTACGGCCCCTATCGCGGCCTCCTCTATATAGCCGCCGGCTACGGCCTCTTCTACGGTCGCTATTACTATTCCTATTATTAGCATTATTGTTTTAGGTAGAACCTTAGTTTCCTCCGCGGGCACTACGGTTACCGCGGTTGCTAGCAGGTCGGATCCTTAATTCTAGTCGTTGCTAGAGCTAGACAGCTCGTTTAGCTATTTCTACCTCGACTATAAATTGAATGCGTATTAGGTTAGCCTATTCGAATACACGACGGCGGTCTAATTTAAGGACTAACTCCTATCGCAATTTAGGGCGTATTTCGGAAATCTAGATAGAGTCGGTCTTAGCTAGCAAATCGTCCTCGAGGGTCTTTAAATAGGCCTTAAATAAACGAGCTAATTAATTAGTCTTTTGCTTAGCCCGAAGGTACTAGTCCTAAGCGTATTGTTGCCTTAGTATAGGGTTTCTAAGGGTGTCTAGTATAATAGTTTTGTAGGTTTGCTACTAAATAGCGGTCTGATTAGTAAGGGAGTTAAAGTGGTTATCCTAGGTACGCTTTAGGTCTCTATTAATGTATTGCATAGCATAGACGACTAGCGAATAGTCGTCTAGTAGGGCCCTTAGTGTATTCCGCTAGTTTAATTTACAATTACGTATGTAATTATTGTACTGCTTGCGGCTAGAGCTATTAAATACGGTACAGTCTTTAAGCTTAGCATCCTTCTTTTAAATAGAAGGTCCTACTACTAGTTCTAGTCTAGTAGTAGTTATTAGGGCTTCCTATAGGCGGCGAATCTCGAGGAGGTTATCCTTTAGCTATTATTCTTAACGTAGGGCAGTAAGCCTGTTTTAGGTAGCTTCTTAGAGTCTCCCTACTAGTTGGGGCCTAAAGGCTAGTTAGCTATATCGACGGTTAACAATATTATTAAGGATGTCGTCGACAGGCAATTCTAGGTCGTTACCTAGAATTACAGGTTCTTTAGTAGGCTTAGCAGTAGGCCCTTTAGTAGGAGGCACTTTAGTAGGAGCTTTAGTAGGCACTTTAGTAGGTACTGTGCTACTAGCGTTGTCGTTGCTAGCGCTGCTAGCGGTAGCACGGTTGTTGTTTTGTAATAAACTAGCTATTATAAGGGGCGATACTAATAATGTATTATTAGCCCCTAAGATACGGATGTAGCGGAATTAGTAGATATCGGCTTAGTATGCTTAACTTAGTATAATAGGCCGTATAGAAGGCCTTGCTTAATAATTGGTACGGTTGTTTTAATAGAATAGTACGTGTAGGTCCCGTCTTTCGGGCGTAATATAGTTAAATCGATAGTTTTCGTAGCTATACCGCTAAAAGCTTGAAATAAGGACTATCTAGCTACTGCCCTTAAAGGGTAGATCGAATACTATATAAGAAGGGTATATTAGCAGGTAGATAGGGTAGTAGTAGATATAAGTAGTATTCGATAAGGAGCTAGGAGGAGAGGGAGGAAGGTAGGCAAGTTGGCCTATTGCTAAGCGCTAAGCCCTGCCTAAGGCACTAAGACCCTAGCTTTACTTAGCCTAGTTATATACTAATTACGTATAGCCTCTTTAGCCCTAACAATATCTCTTTACAGACATTCCCGTTAACTTTTAACTGGTATTTGTAACCCTTTGGTACCCTTAGATTAACTATATATACGCCTTTCTTTAAAACTTAATATTAAAACTTAGGTAATAAATAAGTCTAGTATCTCTATAGAGGTACTAGTAGCTCGCTCGGTTAGGTAAGAGCTAATAGTATCGGCTTATAAGTATTAAGACCGAGCTATAAAAACTATCTATCTTATTATTCTTATACTAAAAACAAAAATCTAGGTAGGGGTAGAAATCCCCTCTAGGTAGACCTATAGGCTATATCTACTTCTGTCTAGCGAACTATCCTATATAACTATTCGAGCAAGCTCTAGGGTCTTGTAAGAAGGGTATATTAGCAGGTAGATAGGGTAGTAGTAGGTACGAGTAGTATTCGATAGAGATCTAAGAGGAGAGGGAGGAAGGCAGGCTAGTTAGCCTAACGCTAAGCGCTAAGCTCTGCCTAAGGCATTAAGACCCTAGCTTCACTCGAGCCTAGTTACATACCAATTACATATAACCTCTTTAGTCCTAATATACGCTTCCCTTCTAAAGGCCGCGCCCTCGTAGCCGGTCTATGTTCTAACCTCTGTCGCTACTGCCTTAGTAGGTCTAGTAAGCTTCTTAGTCTGCGCTAAATTGAATACGCAATTACCGATTATATAACTATATCAAACCTCACCTTTAATATAGCACAATGTATAACTCTAACTGCGCTATCTCTATATGCAATAAACTATAAAGTGATATGTATCTATAAGAACTAAAGGCCTTCGACTAATTACAATACAAGCGCGTCTTCCCTACTATAATAGGTAGACGTACGAGGTATTGTAGTACTGCCTCCGTTCTAAGTGATATCGTATCGAGTTCTTTGCGTCTACTCTTAAAAGACCTAGCAATGTCCGCTTCCGAGGGTTTGTTCGCTTCCGAGGGTTATTATTCTTATTATTCGTAGTTTCGCTAGCCCTAATTAGCTAGGTTTAGTAGCCTTTAAGTGTCAATCTTATCTTATCTTTTTAAAAAAACACAGCTCGTCTAGTTTCTATAGGTAGAGGCTATTATAAGTGCAGTAGTAGAGGTTCGCCTCGCTTAAAGGGTTAGATAGATCGAGGAGTAACCTATTGTCTATAAGATCGACCCCGGCTAGCTTAGCTCTATAGTTTTTGCCCTTAGTTAGTCTATTAGTCGCTTAATCTTTTAACTTAGTTAAAGTTTTAACTTAGCCTTAAAATTTTTAATTAAACCTTTAATAGGCTTAAAGCTTTTAATTAAAGTTTTGATTAAAGGTGCCTTAGGCTCGTAGTATAGGTAAGGTTGTGTCTATAGGCGCAGCGACAATAGTAAGTAATATTAATAATAGCAGCGCTAGTCGTCTTAGCGCTAACTTTACCTTCTTCTAATTTCCTTCTTCGACTAATAATATACTCTATAATACCGTTACTAATATAGCCGCGCTAGCCGTGTCGCCCTTTAGTATAAGCGTAACGCTATCGTTACTATTATTATTACTAACACTATTCGCCTACGCGCGCGCGCCGCCTCTATTAACCGCCTAGGCCTTAGGCCTCGATAGGACGTAGAAATAAGAGGGGCGCTAAGAGGAGGGTCTTATAGGGTACGCTAGTAAAGAGGTAGATTCCTTAAAAGAGTAGGCGATTAGTTAATAGTAATAGTGCGCTCGTTAGTACTCGTTACGCGTCCGTTATCGTAGTGTAGTCTTATTGTCCTTTGCTAACAATTGCTTGCCTCTAATTAGTTAGCTTAATAGCACCCCGGGGGTAGCATTGTTCCTAGGCCTTTCTAGTAACATTATAGGCCCTTAGCCTTCTTCTTGTTCTTTACGCTGGTCTAATATTCATCTAACAACTTAGTTATGTTTTTAAAAGAGTCTTTAGCTTCCTACAAGTCCTATTTAGGTAAATAGCCTTGCTATCTTAGTAGGTACTCCTTCTTGCCTTACCTAGTACGATGCTGCAGGATACGTTCTACAGACTATAGCTCCTTACTATCCGCTAGTATGTCTTCGTGTTCTGTAGGGGCTTTATCCCCTTCGCGTAGGTAGTACGGCTTAAGGAGTAATATATAGAAGGTATTATAGATAGTGTAATAAGGTAGGAGCTATAACTAATAGGCCTGTATGCCCTTAGCCTCTCGAATGCGGAATAGGCCAATGTATCTTAGTACGAGCTTAGGCCTTGTTTTGCTATTAGGTAATAGGTGTTTGCGGATGCGGAGGTTCTTTATACTAAGTATAACTATGTCGCCTTGTTTAAAGGTTATCGGTATATAGCGCTTATCGTAGTAGGCCTTTTAATACTCTTAAGCCTTTGTTAACTTCTCGGCCATCTTAGTATAGATTTCTCGCATCTTCTAAACCCTCTTAATAGCCGCTAGTGTTTCGGGTACTTAACGCGCTTCCCTTTCCTTACGCTCGGCCTCGAGCGATAGTAGGTCTTATAGTATAGCAGCATTCTAGCCTATTATAGCTATATAGGGCGAGATCTTAGTTGATAAATGTATACTGTTGTTGTATACGAATTCTGCAGGCTATAGGAGGTTAACCTAATCCTCGGGGTTCTTATTAATGTAGCTACGTAGGTACTGCTACAGGGTAGCATTCTACCTCTCTATTTAACCGTTAGTCTGTAGATAGAAGGCTGTTAATAGCCGATGCTTTAGTCTTAGCTATAAGCAAATCTCGCTCTAATAGTAAGATATAAATGTCGAGCCCCTATCGGAGACTATCCCCTTAGGGGTTCCCTAATAGGTATAGAAGATGTTACTCTACAGCGCCTCTGCTATATTAATAGTAGTCTAGTCTTTCCGCGCCGGGATATATCGAGCGCCTTTAGTAAATCGATCTACTATAATAAGGATAGCATTATATACGTCCTTACTGCCCCTACGCCTAGTAGGTAGAAGGCCTATAATAAAGTCTATTGTTAGCTTAGCAAATAGCTTCTTTAGAATAGGGAGCGAAGACAACTCGCCGAATAGCAAGTGTTTCGGTGCTTTAACTCGCTAGTATACTATATAGGTCTGTATATACTCCTTTATATACCGCTTACTATTTAGCTAGTAGTATATACGCGATAGTAACTCGTGCGACCTCTCTATACTATAGTAACTAGCGAGCTTACTATTATAGTGCCTCTTTAAAAGCTCTTGTCTAATCGATTGTTTAGCGGGGACATAGTATCTGCCCTTAAACTTTAAATAACCTTTATCGTCGATCGACTAATTACTCTTACTAGATCGAGTCGTTCGCCTACTTATAAGCTTATTAATGCGCTCGATAGCAAAGGCGTCCCTCTACTAAGTACGCAATAGCTTATCTATAAACGATTAACTATCCCTATTTGTAAGGTTATTTAATAGTACCCTCGCTATTAAACGAGGTACGTATTATATATATCTAATAGCACTAGCAGCCGGAACTACTGCAACCTCTTCTATAGTGCTATCGCTATATAGGCTATTACTATAGATAGCAATGTCTTTAATCGAGTTATTATAGCTCGAGCGATCTACGTTCTTTCTAATACATACTAGAAGAACGACAACTCCGCTATAGTATTTGTTGCCGCCGCGGGGTCCGGAAGTCCGCTTATCCTACGCTTGCTTATTAACAATACGGGCTATAGCAATCTTATGCTACAGGGTTGGAAACAAAGAATTAATATGCTAGGTCTCGCTATCGTAATTAGGTCGCCTCGATAGGCTATTAGTAGGGTTGCTTACGCCTAGCCGATATAATATGTTAAAATCGAACCCGGCGAGGTAGACGGCCTATCTAGCCTATCGACCTATAACCCTTATAACCTTAGTAATACTACGTAGGTTGTTATAGTCTGTATAGACCTAAATTGTACACTAAGCACTATCGAGATAGTAGCGCTAATGCTTGAAGGCTTCTACGATTGCTAAGAGCTCTTGCTCGTAGGTCTTATATCGACGTTCTACATCGATTATCTTTCGTAAAAAGAAGGCAATCGGGTGCTAGTAATAGTTATTATCTGATTGCTGTAACATAATAGCCGATATAGCGAACTGTAAAGCGTTAGTCTTAATTCGGATCTACTTGCTTAGCATAAAATAGTATAATAAGGGGACATTAGTAAAGCGTTGCTTTAGGCCGTTAAAAGCGGCTTGTGCTCTGTTAGTCTATTTAAACTCTCTAGTTAGGTTAGCCTTGGTTTTAGTAAGCTTAGTTAGGGGCATTATATACCGTAAATAGCCCTTAATAAAGCGGCGGTAGAAATTAGCGAAGCCGAGGAACGATTGAAGCTCCTTAATAGACGTAGGAACAGGCTATTTAGTAATTGTTTTAATCCGATTAGGATTAGCCTTAACATCCTCGGTTAATACGAGGAAGCTAAGGAATAACACCTCCTTAGCAGTAAAGGTGCATTTAGAAGGTTTGTAATATAGTCTATAGGCTCGTAGGCGGTCGAGGACCTTGCGTACTACGGCCTAGTATTCTACAATATTAGGTAAGTGTATGTAAACTAGGATGTTATCTAGGTAAACTATATAGAGGTGATCTAATAGGCCTAATAGGGCCCGATTAATGTAGGACTAGAATGTAGTAGGGGCATTAGCTAGCCCAAATAGCATAACTAAGTACTCGAAATAGCTATAGCGAGTACGAAAGGCTATCTTCTATTCATCGCCCTTGCGAATACGAATGCGGTAATAGGCGTCCTTAATATCTAATGTAGTGTAGTAGTAGGCACTAGAAAGGCGATCAAGGGTCTTATTAATAAGAGGAAGTGGATAGCGATCTTTAATAGTAATAGCATTAAGCCTACGATAATCGATATAGAGGCGTAGGCTACTATCCTTCTTTAGTACGAACAGGATAGGGGCACTAGTAGGGCTGTTACTATACCGTATCCGGCTATTAGCTAGGTTTTCCTCTAGGTACTTACGTAATATAGCAAGCTCTCGCTTACTAAGGTTGTAGAGGGGTCTAAAAGGGACCTCTTTGCCCTCTATAATATCAATCTTATAATCCGTCTCTTTAAATATAGGCAATGTCGATGCTAAGTGGTGTTTAAACACATTAATATAGGTCTCTCGGATAGGCTCTAGTATGCGAGCAAGCTAATTAGAATTTAGGATTATTAGGGGGCACAGGTTTATCGTTATTACTACCGAGCAAATCGGCAGTCGGATTAGCTAAGGCGGAGGCTAGTATTAGGTTACTAATAAACAGGACCCTAATATCGTTAGGGCACTCGCTAACATTAATATATTTAATGTCCTCTTTCCTAGCGATTCTAAATCGCTACTTCTAAATGCCTAAGTCTATAGCTATAGCGTAGTACTTAAGAACAGGGTTACTAATAATAATAGTAGCTCCCCTATATAGGTTGTCTATATCTACTACGTAGGCAGTGAAGTCTAGTAGGCGTTCATTTCCGAGGTCGTCCTTTAGAGCTATAGGAATATAGTAGGCCCTATAGGTCAAGTGCCGAGCGTTATTAAACTAAGCAAGGGTTAGTAGGTTAGTCCTCGGCAGTTGTCGAAGGTCTAATTGCTTAGCTAGGCGATAGCTAATAAGGGCACTAACTGAATTTCCTAGATCTAGTATAACCTTAGTTTAATAGGTAGTGCCCTTCGTGTCCTATATAAGGTAGGAGCGTATTATAGCTAGTACAATGTCGATGGTCTTACGCCGCACGAGGCTAACAGTTAGTGCGGCGCTTACTCTTTTTTCGAAGGTTAGCCTATAGGGTAATAGGGGTAGCGTTAGCCGCTAAGAGGTGCTTTCGGTATTTAGCGGAAGTACGGTTAATTCAGGCCTAGTCCTTAGGTTTATCGCATTAGCCTAGTAGATAGCTAGTGCTGTTACAATTAAAGCACTTCAATCCGGTTAGTAGACTGCTATAGCTATTATTGTTAGTTAAGCGGTTAGCGTTATAAGGATACGAGCCCCTTCTACGGCCCCTATCGCGGCCCCCTCTATATAGCCGGCGGCTACGGCCTCTTCTACGGTTATTGTTACTGTTCCTATTGTTAGCATTGTTATTATAGTAGGAACCTTGGTTTCCTCCGCGGCTACTACGATTGCCGCGGTTAGTACTAGCTAGTCGGATCCTCGATTCTAGTCGTTATTAGAGCTAAATAGCCCGTTCGGCTATTTCCACTTCGACTATAAATTAAATGCGTATTAGATTAGCTTATTCGAACATACGGCGATAGTCCAATTCGAGGATAAGCTCCTATCTGAGTTTTAGGCGTATCTCGGAGATCTATATAGAATTAGTCTTAGGCAGAAGGTCGTCTTTAAGGGTTTTTAAATAGGCCTCGAATAAGCGGGCCGATTAATTAGTCTTTTATTTAGCTCGAAGATACAGGTCCTAAGTATGTTGTTGCCTTAGTATAGGGTTTCTAAGGGTGTCTAGCATAATAGTTTTGTAGGTTTACTACTAAATAGCGGTCTAATCCTCGAGGGAATTAAAATAGTTATCTTAGGTACGTTTTAGGTCTCTATTAATATACTGTATAGCATAGACGACTAAGGAATAGTTATCTAGTAGCGCTCTCGGTGCATTGCGCTAGTTAAGCTCGTAGTTACGAATATAGTCGTTATATTGTTTCTAACTAGAGCTATCGAACACGGTGTAATCCTTGAGTTTAGTATCCTTCTTTTAAATAGTTAGTAAGGAAGGCCCTGCTATTAGTTTAGTTGTCGGGGCTTCCTAAAGGCGACGAATCTCGAGAAGATTATCCTTTAGCTATTATTCTTAGTATAGAGCAGCGAGCCTATTTTAGGTAGCTTCCTAAAGTCTCGCTACTAGCTAGGGCCTAAAGGCTAGCTAGCTATATCGTCGGTTAACGATGTTATTAAGTATATCGTTAATAGGCAACTCTAGGTCGTTACCTAGAACTATAGGTTCTTCGGTAGGCCTAGTAGTAGGCTCTTTAGCAGGTACTTTAGCAGGTACCTTAGTAGGTACTATACTACTAGCATTGTCGTTGCTAGCGCTACTAGCGGTAGTACGGTTGTTGTTTCGTAATGAACCGGCTATTATAAGGGGCGACACTAATAATATATTGTTAGCCCCTAAGATGCGAATATAGCGGAATTAGTAGGTATCGGCTTAGTATACTTAACTTAGTATAATAGGCCGTATAGAAGGCCTTGCTTAATAATTAGTACGGTTGTTTCGATAGAATAGTGCGTATAGGTCCCGTTCTTAGGGCGTAATATAGTTAGATTAGTCTTGTTCGTAGCTATACCGCTAAAAGCTTAAAATAAGGACTATCTAGCTACTACCCTTAAAGGGGTAATCGAATACTGTATAAGAAGGGTATATTAGTAGGTAGATAGGGTAGTAGTAGGTACGAGTAGTATTCGATAGAGATTTAAGAGAAGAGGGAGGAAGGCAGGCTAGTTAGCCTAACGCTAAGCGCCAAGCCCTACCTAAGGCATTAAGACCCTAGCTTCACTCGAGCCTAGTTACATACTAATTACGTATAACCTCTTTAGTCCTAACAGGTCTTTACTAGCGATCGTTAGTATATAATATAAATCTTCGCTATACGCTATAGAGGTATAATAGTACCTACTAATAGTTTTATTTTCCTAGGAAATAACCTATAAAATTAGCTATAGGCTCGTAATAGCTCTATTAAAAGACGAGGTCCTTACTATATTTTAATACGAGCAGTATTAGCAAACGCTATAATATACTTAGGAGTAAGCCCCGAGTACAAGGCCGACGAGGTAGAGGAGTATAGCGAGAATTTTCGATAGTACTATTATAGCTATTAGTAGGCGTTTTAGGTAGTAGGTACTATTCGACGTAGTAATATTTAAATAGGGAATAAGAAACGCTAGAGAAGGCGAGGACTAATATCAAATATATATATACCTTCGAAGACGACACCTGTATCTTCGAAGACGGCACTAATACCCTAGCACTTATACCTATACCACACACAGTACGACCTGCCTACACCTTCCCTTGGACAGCGTTCCGGTAGAGAGATAGAACGCAGAATTGCAACGCAACGTATACGGGAGCCTCGTTCGATATTAGTATGCGATAAACATTGCAGCGCAACGTCGCAGAGGTGCCTTGTGCAGGCGATGAAGTCTCAGGGCATGCGCTGTCTCCTTTGAATCCTTTCTTACGCTCACGTGTTGGAGCCCCACTGACGACCACGCTCCCGACGGTCAATACCAACATGCTAGCAATTTGGGTATACTACTGATTTAAATGCGCACCGGACAAGTATAGTGTGTAGGTTCAGTGTGGTTTGTTGATTATTGGGGTGCGGTGTATCTCTATCGCAAATGTCTTCGTCCGTCCGTCCGTCGTTCTAAAAAGGTCGCAGAATCGAAGTTCAAAGGGTGGTTGTATTCGTCCGTCATCCCATTCGTCGGTCAAGTCTCTCCGTCGATTGAGTCCAGGATTCGGCATCGACATTGAGACCGACATTTCTCTTCATCTCTGTAGCACTGTTCCTTCTCTATTCACCCTACAGCTCTCACAGTCGCCGTGCTCTCATTCGAGCTCTCGCTCAGACTCCTCGCCTGCATCATCTGTTGCTCCCTCGCAGCGTCAGCAGCCTTCTGCTGCGCCACAACTTCTCGTGCATAGAATTCCACCAACATGGTTCCGTAAGCCTCGATCTCCTCGACCGGGATCGATAATCGGAAATCGTTCAAAAGCAAGAATTGAAGTTCGAGATGATTCAGTTCCGGAAGTGGTAGTCCGCCAACCTAAAACACAAGCATCAAAGTTAGCATTTCTGGTTCAACGGGTTTCTGGACTATCCTTTCCGGATCGGTAGATGGGGATTTAAGGTTTTGATTGGTTTCAGTCTCAGACGTGCCGGATAGTGCGTCCTGTGTCAGATTCTGAAGACTGTGGAGGAGTGTGATGTAATGAGATACGATTCATGGTGGGATGTGAGGCATTGAGACGTGGGATGCAATGCGACAGCACTTCGTGAAGACAGGGGGAAGGTAATTTCGCACTCACCTTCGCATATCTCGAGTTCGTGTAGAAAATGTCCGAAAAGAATTTGCTGGCGCAAGTAACACCGGCAATGACCAGTCGGTGGATATTAAAACTGTCAACCACGAAAAAGTGGCTGAGATTGTAGGGGTCGATCGTGGGTGATATCGAGGGCGACTCCGGCTGATTGGGCCTGCTGTGTGGTGTCCCTGGAATTCCTCGTTCGCCCGATGCTTTCTCATTACCTCCAGAGTGTGGAGGAGTCGCTTGTTGCGTACCTGAAGGCGTGGTGGCTGTTACGCCTTCCATGCCATCCGACCCGAGTGACTCGGTAGAGGAGTTTCCTGCATTTTCATGCACTGCGTTCTGATTCAGCTCTCGCAAGGTTTGCATCGGTCCTGCATTCACTCTTTCCGTCATTCTGTCAAAGTAGACCAAGAGGCTCAGAAACACCTCATAGCTTGTTGGGCAGTACTTGTTGATTCTGCTCAGGTAGCTGAGGATAGTGATGCTGGGCACATTCTTGCCGTGAAATGCAAGAACGCTGCTTGTTTGTGGATTCAGGTGTGATGCAGCATCAATGTTGGGCGGCTGGCGGTGTAAATGCTCATGCTGCCGGTCGTTTGTAGTCGTAATCTTCGTAAGGAGGCCGGCAACCATTTCAATAATGTGCTCGACCTTCATGTCGCTAATCTCATACTGCGGGCCATCGTCTTCTGTTCCTCGTGATCGTGATCGGCTCCTGCTTCGAATCTCGGAGAAGCTGCCCATGTTGTCTGTGGCGAAGCTCTGGATGTGCTCTAGGTCACGGACTTTAATCTTTCGCGGTGGCATGGTTGATCGGACATCGGTCGAGGCAGTGGCCTCCGAGACTGGCCCTTCAGACCCATCTGGCGGTGGAGGTGCAGGTTGCGCGCCTAATGGTGGGCTAGGCGGTTGGGGCGCTGTACTTTGCTGGGACGCCTGCGACGACGCTCGCACATGCTGAGATTGTACATCCCTTCGGGTGGGAGTTGCGGCGGCAGCGGAGCTTGGTGCTCTCTGCGCCGAATCGGACATATGTGAGGCCTCTGAGCGCGAAGGCGTGCGGCTTCGCTTGGGTTGCTGGTGAGGACTAGAGTTGGTATGCGCGCGTGGCGCGGATGGTTCTCGGTAGACGCTATGCTGCGGATGTGAGGGTGAAGGGTGGGCGTGGGAGTGGGCGTGCGCGTGGTGTCCAAAGAACGAGTTGACGCTATCGAGTATCACCGAGCCCATATTAGCTCATCGACACGTGCGCGGCAGGCGGTCGGTGTGAGGTGCGGTAGTGCTGTTGCTGCGATCAGATTAGTGTCGTGGCCGCAAGTGTCGGCGACGGTCCGTGTGCGCGTCGACAAATGCAGGTGCGCGGGTGTGCGTGAGGCGTGAGGTTGGTGTCGCTGAGTTGTTGCGCGCAGGAATGTGAGCGCGAGTGGTGCTTGGGCGAGGCGAGGCAAGGCGAGGGGAGGCGAGGCTGTGAATAGTGCCGATGTTGAAGTTGAAGCATGTGAAAGCTCCGACCACACCCTGCACGTCGACGGAGCAACACAATCGGCGAGCCGCTCAGCAGCTGCGCATCGAGCGGACAGACGGCGGACCAAGTGCAAGGAGGATGTGCGGCGGCGACTATTTAGAAACGCTTATAGCGAGCACTATTAGGAACGCTTATAGCAAGATAGTCTTAAATATCTATAGTAACTACTTCCGGAATATGCCTATAGTAATTACTATCCGGAATACCTATAGCGAGTACTATTCGAAATATCTATAGTAAGTAGTTCTTTCCGAGTTAGAACGCTTATAGTAAGTACTACCTATAAGGCGTATAGTAAGTACTACCTATAAGGCGGATACTAAGTCTAATCTAAAACGCCTATAGTAATTTTAATCTAAAACACTTATAGGGATTCTTATTTAGAACGCTTATAATACTAAGTACTATTCGGAACGCGTATAGTAAGTCTAATCCGGAGCGCTAATAGTTAGTACTACTATCTATAACGCCTATACTAAGTTTTATTTAGAACGCGCTATATAGTAATTCTAATCCGAAACGCTTATACTAAGTCTTATCCGGAACGCGTATAGTAAGTACTATCCGGAACGCGTATAGTAGGTCTAATTTAGAACAGTAATAGTAAGTACTATTACGAACGCTTATAGTAAGTAGTACTTTCTAAAATACCTATAGTAAGTACTATTTAGAATACTTATAGCAAGTTATATCCGAAACGCCTATAGTAAATGCTACTAAAAACGCTTATAGCGAGTAGTATTATTCGAAACGCTTATAGCGGTAACTATCCGAGATATCTATAGCAAGTAGTACTATCCGGAACGCTTATAGCAAACACTATCTAAAACGCCTATAGCAAACAGTATTCTAACTACCTATAGCGAGTACCCTATATAACGCCTGCTACGAGTACCTTAGAGAACGCCTATAGCGAGCACTCTATAGAATACCTATAGCAAGTAGTACTGTCCGGAACGCGTAGGACAAGCCTTATTTTAAACGCTTAGTATAGTTAGTCCGATATAAACCGGAACGCGTATAGTAAGTCTAATCCGAAGTACTGCTAAGAACGCTTATAGCAAGTAGTACTATCTAAAATACCTATAGTAAGTACTGTTTAGAATACTAATAGCAAGTTATATCGGAAGCGCTTATAGTAAATACTACTAAAAACGCTTATAGCGAGTAGTAACATTCGAAACGCTTATAGCGGTAACTATTTAAGATATCTATAGCGAGCAGTACTATCCGGATCGCCTATAGTAAAGACTATCTAAAACGCCTAAAGCTAAACAGTATTCGAACTACCTATAGCGAGTACCCTATATAACGCCTACTACGAGTACTCTATAAATATAGGAATTTCAATTTAGAACACTTATAATCCTAAGTACTATTTAGAACGTATATAGTAAGTCTAATCCGGAGCGCTAACAGTTAGTACTACTATCTATAGCGCCTATACTAAGTTTTATTTAAAACGCGCTATATAGTAATTCTAATCCGGAACGCTTCTACTAAGTCTAATCCGGAACGCGTATCGTAAGCACTATCCGGAACGTATATAGCAAGTCTAATTCGCAACGCTAATAGCAAGTACTATTAAAATTTAAGAACGCTTATAGCAAGCGGTACTACCTAAAGTGCCTATAGTAAGTACTATTTAGAATACTTATAGCAAGAAGTACTATATTATATCCGAGACGCTTATAGTAAATACTATTTCAAACGCCTATAGGAAATAGTATTCGAACTACCTATAGTAAGTACCCTATATAACGCCTACTACGAGTATCCTATAGGGCGCCTATAGCGAGTACTCTATAGGATATCTATAGCGAGTAGTACTATCCGGAACGCGTAGGACAAGCCTTATTTTAAACGCTTAGTACAGTATAAACCGGAAGGCGTATAGCAAGTCTAATCCGAAACGCTTATAGAACGTCTTATCCGGAATGTATAAAGTAAGTCTAAGTCTAATCCGAAACTAAATACTTATACGAAGCACTATCCGGAAGGCCTATAGCGAGTAGTACTATCCGGAACGCTTATAGCAAATACTATCTAAAACGCCTATAGTTAAATAGCATTCGAACTATCTATAGCGAGTACCCTATATAACGCCTATAGCGAGTACTCTATAGAATATCTATAGCGAGTAGTACTATCCGGAACGCGTAGGATAAGCTAACTATTATCTATAACGCCTATAATAGGTCTAATTCAGAACGCTTATAATACTAAGTACTATTTAGAACGCGTATAGTAAGTCTAATAACTCTAATCCGGAGCGCTAACAGTTAGTACTACTATCTATAACGCCTATACTAAGTTTTATTTAGAACGCACTATATAGCAATTATAATCCGAAACGCTTATACTAAGTCTTATCCGGAACGCGTAGAGGAAGTCTATCCGGAACGCAAATAGCAAGTACTATTAGGAACGCTTATAGCAAGTAGGACTATCTAAAATACCTATAGTAAGTCCTATTTAGAATACTTATAGCAAGTCTAATCCGAAACGCTTATAGTAAATACTACTAAAAACGCTTATAGCGAGTAGTAATATTCGAAACGCTTATACCGGTAACTGTCCGAAATAGCTATAGCGAGTAGTCCTATCCGAAACGCTTATAGTAAATACTATCTAAAACGCCTATAGTTAAATAGGATGCGAACTATTTATAGCGAGTACCTTATCTAACGCCTACTATAAGTACCCTGTAAAACGCCTATAGCGAGTAGTACTGTCCGGAACGCGTAGGATAAGCCTTTCGAGCCTACCGCTCCGAGTAAATACCGCCGGATTAGGCGCGAACGATACCGCCTCGAGCAAAAAAACGCCGCCGGATTAGGCGTAAACGACGGAGGCGGCCTCGGAAACACTACTATCGCGGCGCCGGAGCGTTATAGTCGATCCCGCGACTCCTACGCCCTCCGGACCGCGCGAGAATCGAGAAATTTTAAAGTTCCTCGCCGCCGACTAATCAGAGTCGGCTTTTCGGTCGTTTTAAGCCGCACTAAGCCTAAAGGGGCCCCATTTTTTGTTGAGTTGTTATATTATAGACAGGTTGGAGTTCAACCTGAAAGGTGTTAGCTTGGATTAGTTACATAATTATTATTATGTAATCCAGTCTGCTTAGCATTCCCTACTAGGTAACTAACTAGACTGTATATTCCAACACTCCCACTTAGATCAGTTGGTCTACGACCCTAATTCCAACCAATACAATCTAATAAGAACTTCAGTCAGCCAATCAGATGTAATAGCTTCTAGATTGGCATAGTGTATCTAATCTGCTAGGTTCAATTCCTAGATCTAGTGTTTGCTTACTTAGTAGCGTTCGAACTCTACTAAGTAAGCACTTTTGTCCCTTTATACTAACTGCAATTGTCTAATGAATTCCTAGAACTGTAGCCCTATCTTTAGCTTAGTTAGGCTATTAGCTACTATCTCTTTTGTTGGAGTGTATTCTACTGCAACCTTTCTTTGCTACTAAAGATTTCTAACCTTATTGAAACTAATATCAATATGTTTTGATCTCTTATAGGTATAAGCATCTTTAACAAGAGTCAAAGCTGCCTAGTTGTCGCCTATAATCTAAACAGGTCTAACTTTATTTACTGTATCAGAATTTCCTTTAATTAATGGTTAGAATAAGCATTCTCCTACTAACTATATATAGTCTATCTCCCTTAGGAGTACTATAAGGAATTGAGATTGCTTTATATATACATTTATTGCTATATACTTAGCTTCTATAGTTAATATAGTAACTGACTTCTGCTTCTTGCTTATCTAAGAAACTAGTGATCCGTAGAGAAAGAAGATGCTTCTAAGGATCGAGACTCTATTAGCTTTATCTATTGCATAATCAGAGTCTAAATATCCTATTAGCTTTCCTCCTCCCCTCCTAAACATTAACCCTAGACTTAGGAATAATCTCGGGTATCTAGCCAGTTTTCTAAGTGCTTTTAGATATCTCTTAGATAGATCTAATATATATAATCCTAATCTTCTAAGGGCAAAAGCAATGTTAGGTCTTGTTATAGTTATTAGCTACATCCATGTACCATTCTGGCTTTGGTACTTAGTCTTATTACACCTTTCTTCATTTGAGTCAGATTTTCTTAGACTCTTATAGCTGTTAAGTAGTAACAAGGTTAGGTAGGCCATTTCTTTAGTCATTCCAAACTTAGCAAGGTTTTCCTGGATATAGTGTTCCTAGTCTAGCTTTAGAGTACTATTCTTTCTGTCTCTAGTAAGCTTTATCCTAAGAATTTTGGTTGGTTCACCTAGGTCTTTAATTTTAAATACCTTGCCTAGTTCCTTCTTAAACTAAAGAACATCTTCTAGCTTTAGTACTGCAATGGGAATGTTATCTATATAGGTAAGGACTATCAGGTTCCTTCCTCTATAAATGAGCAAATATAGGTCTACCTCTAACTAGTAGAATCCCATTTCCTCTAGCTTTAAGACACATAGCTTGTTCTAGTCTCTTACTGCTTGTTTTAGGCTATACAAGCTCCTTAGGATTTTTAGGGCTATACCTTATAGGATCTCTACACCTAGTAGTAGGATTATAAAGATATCTTCTTGTAGGGTACTTTTAGTAAATGCATTGTTCACATCTACTTAGTGTAGCTCCAGATCCTTTTTATATATAGCAGCTATAAACACTCTAAGTATATTATGCCTAACTATTAGTGCAAATGTCTCCTAGAAATCTATCCCAAATTTCTAAGAGAACCCCCTTACAACTAGTCTTGCTTTGAACTTGTTAATTGCTCTACTTATTAGTCTCTTTATATTAAACACCTATTTTAAAGTAACTAGGTTTGCTCCTTTTAGTAGAACTACCTAATCCTAGGTATAGTTGCTTCTAAGCGCAGTTAGTTCCTTCTAGATTGCATCTTCCTATATATAACCCCATTTAGGATCTTATACTGCCTCTTAGTAGGTTCTTAGGATTGGAACCTCCTATCTTTGTGCAATCCCTAGTACAAAGGTAGGGAATGTAACCTTACAAATACACTCCCGGAGTTCATCTGTCCAATCTATACTTAGATCTAGGTCTTTTATTATACAGATAAAGGCCCTATAGTGCTTAGCTTCTAGGAACTCATCCTCCTCTAATTCTCTTAGTCTCTTCTATACAGTTGATCTTGTAATTATACTATATACCCTTTCTTCCCTTAACCCTTTATTAGAGATTGATCTCCTTCTCTTTAAATTCCCCTCCTAAGCCTAGATATCCTAGTTGTCTTGCTACGGTTTCTCTTAGCTCTGATTAGGGGCCTACTGTTTCTCTTAGCTCTAATTAGGGGCCTGCTATTTATTATTTTGTTCTTTTTCTTCTAGATCAACTATTACCTAATATTGGTTAATGTCCTTTAGTAGTAGAGGCAGTTAGACCTGCAGTGGTTTAATATCCCGGTTCTCCTTCCTTGGTCTGCTAACTAGGTTCCTTACTAGAGCTTAGCTTAGCTAGTTAAGTCTAGGAACATTCAATATTATATCCCCTCCTTTCTTATTCTTAAACTAGACAGCATTGTTGTAAGCTCTTATAGCTTTTATATTAGGCTCCTAGAATAGCTATATCTTTGATGTATTAGGCATATACCTAATGAAAACAGCATCTTTGCCTCTATTTATTAGCTTGTCTAATCTCATCCTAGCCGGCTGAGATTTAGCGTCTATATATACAACTGCTTTACATCCCTAGACCCTAAAGTGTGATATAGAAGGTCTCTTTCTACTAAAAGCTTTATCGGGTGAAACTTTGAATCTATCTACATCTAGCCTATTTAGAAGAGCATTTCTTATAATGCTTCTAGCCAGAATTCAACTGGTATGTTTGAATCTTCTAGTATTGCCCTAATATGCTCCTTAGATGTCTAGATTGACCTTTCTACAACTCTATTTTAGATTGAGTTATATGCTTCAGTTATATAATAGGAGATTCTAGATTCTTTCTCCTACTGCTTAAGTAATACAAGCAATTCTCTTGCTCTATTACTTCTTACTGCCTAAAGCTAATTCCCTAATTGTAATTTAGCTTTTCTTCTCTATCCCTACAATGTATTTACTATATCTTCTCTTGATTTTAATAGGAATGCCTACTTCTTTCTTGAAAAGTTGTTAACAATCTCAAGCTACTATTTGAAACCTAGTCTTAAGACAGGTAATAGTCTATAGATATCAATCGAGACAAGGGAAAGCCTAGCTAGCTTTCTCTTAGTCTCCTTCCCTCTATGTTTTTTCATTTTGGCTAGAGAATACACCCTATAGGGCTAATGCTTTATAGGGATAGGAATTTTGTCCTTTAGGTTAGTTACTTTGTAAAGGTCTTTTAGCACTCCTTCTCTAAAGTGTCTAACTCTTCTATGCTATAGCTCCTACTAATCCTAGTTAGTCTAGGCTACAAGTGTATAAGCATTATCATTTATTGAGTCCTAAGGGATGTATATATATACGACCTTATCTAGGTCTTAGCTGATTTCCTCAATGAATAGCACTCCTCCTAAAAGCCTTGTCTAGACAACTAGCTTTCTATTAGGTAAGTAAAGTGTGAATTTTAGTAGTTGAACACCAAACTGCTTACTAAACTAGTTCTAAGAAACAAGATTGACTCTAAGCCTAGGTACAAAGAGAACACCTTTCAATATAATCTGTTTGCCTTTCCTTCTACCTATAACTGCACTCCTAATATGTGTAGCTGTTAAGTAGCTACCCCCAACCTTAATCTACTTTTTCCTCTTAAGAGGCTTTAGTTCTCTAAAGAGTGATTCTTAGTTAGTTATGTAGGCAGAAGCATAGGAGTTAAGCAGCCACTTAGATAGCTTATACTTGCCTTTTGCTTCAATAGTTGAATAAGCTACCTTATTAATATCTTCTTCCTTAGAGGGGAGAGATGATTTAGAGGATGCCTCTACATCTTGTGCTATATAGGCTTTCTTAAAAGATAGTTTCCTAGTCTTCTTCTCTAGGGATTGTATCTTTAGGCTCAGTTTCTTCACTATCTCTTTGAGTTGTTCTTTGTCTAGTAAAGATCCCCTCCTAGCTCTAGATAGGGATTGTTTCTTTACTGTCCTGTAGCTTTGTCTTGGCTAGATAGCTGCTTTTGCCTTGTCTAGGCTAGGGCACTCTTTAATCTAATGTTTCCCTCTATATAGGAAGCATAATAAGTCTCTGCCTACTCCTGCCTAATTCCTTTTCTTAGTAAACATAGCTGTCTCCTAGCTTGTTATCTACTCTTGCTTTTCTCTTAGGATTCTAAGGATGTCCTATAGGCTAAGGTCCTGCCTTAGGTCAATCCTATCCCTAACAGTACTAAATATTTCTAGAAGGGCCGCTAGTAACTGCTGAACTTTCCTCTCCTTAGTCTTAATGTCCTTAAACTAGGGAGAGATAGATACTGCCTTCCTAGCTATGCTACTTAGGCTTTGCTATGCTTCATCAATTGTCTAACCCTCTTCTATATTGAAATTGGTATACTGCTAGAGTAAACTTCTCCCTATTGCCTGCAGTTTCCTCTTATATTTCCCTCTTGCCTAGTCCTATAAATGCTTTGTATGTTCAAGCTCTTAACATTCGTCCTAGTTATCTTCTAAGATGTAGATGAACATCTTATACAATGCTGTTGCATTGTGAACCTTATAGCTTGCTCTTCTAATTAACCAATCCAAAGATTCTAATAATGTTGTTAAGATATACTCAGATAGTGTAGACCCTAGGGTGTTAAGGACTGCTTTATCTAGTACCTATTCAACCTTCAGTTTTATTAGGTGCATCCTAATAATCTTGAACTATAATTTATAATTCTCCCTTATCAAGATTAGTGCAGCCCTTCTCTTGCTAATTCTACCTTCTTAATCTATAATTTCTTCTGTAAGTCAATCCTAAACAAACTCTAGAAACAAGCTCTTTCTTTAATCTAAAAATGACAGTTTCTAGATAGCTGTCTTCCTTAGTTAGCAGATCCCTAGCTCTACTAGGCCTATAATAGTTTAAAGGTTACTAACAACTTAGCTCAGTTTTGGAAGGTTACTGAAAACTTGGAACAGATTCCGGCTCTATAAGGCTAATAACTTCCTCAAGTCCTTCCTAACTGTATACTAACAAGTTAGGGTATTAGCAGTACTAAGTACTAAGTCTGAGGCTTATCCGAAGGTGCTCAAAACTTAGGCTTATCTATTCCCTTTACACTTTCTAAGTGTGCCTCACTAGGTTCTTTTACAGCTTATATGTATAGGGCTTCTTTGTGCAATATGTGTAGGTCTGCCTCGAGTCTCCCTCTCCTGTTTTGCCTCTTCCTTCTAGGACTAGACTTATAGGTCTAGGAGTGACCTATACTACTTTAGTCTTTCTACCTTGTAGTTGCAAACCCGGGCTCATAACCTATCAAGCTGAGGAGGGCCGACAGGTATAAATGGATTATAAACTGCAACAGAAGCTACAAGGAATAGTAGGGGCCAAAGTAGGAACAGCAAGTGTGTATTGTTATTATCTATAGGTTAGAGTTCAACCTAAAAGGTGTCAGCTTGGATTAGTTACATAATTATTATTATGTGATCCAGTCTGCTTAGCATTCCCTACCAGGTAACCAACTAGACTGTATATTCCAACATTATCTAGTAAGAAGCGCACTTTGCGCTTAGGAGGTAAGTGCTTTAGCCTTGCTTTAACTAGAGTAATAACCTTACTAACAATACGAGAGATATCCTTATAGTTACAGTCTAGGAAGCTAGTAATATCGTTAATAGTCTAGTTGCGTTTATATAGCTCCTTAGTATAGGACCTAAGCCGATAGCGCTTAAGAAGATCCTGTCTCTTCCTGCGCTAAGTAGACTAATAAGCTGTCTTATTAATAAGGCTATTATCTAAGGTCTCCTAGCAATAGTCTAGTAGTTAGAGTGTGTCTTATAGCTAAGAGTCGCTAGTTGTAGTCTATTGCTTAGTAGTATCGATAAGCTTCTAGAAGAACGACCTACTAAGCGGTATATAGCTAGCTAATAGCTTAACTAGGTTACTAGAGTATTTAAATAGTAAGGGTATTGCAGGCTCCGCGATAGTACTAAAGGACTCTTTAAACGAGTGCTAAAGAGGTAATAGATTAAAGGGATTGTCTAGTAGTTGCGTTAGAATACTAGCTTTAAGAATAGGTAAGAAGGGGGGGGGGGGGATATTAGGGAAGGGGAGTCTTTAGAGAAGGAGGTATCCTTATAGGTAGGCGTTAGAAGAACCTATAGAAGCTTCCGAGCTATAATTGTAGTATAGAAATGAGTATAGAAGGCTTAAACTAAGCTCTTGTATATTCTAAACGAGCGCTCTAAAGAGTGTGTATCCTCTGCCTAATAGTCCCTCTAGCTAGCTCTTTATACCTTCCTTCTGCCCCTATAACACCTATTGTTTACATAGCTCTTGCGCGCCTACCCTATACTAAAATACCTCCTCTTTTGCTCTATTCGGAGGCAGGACATTGCCTATATACCGTTAGCGCAGCAGCGATGCTAGTATAGTACTAGAAAGGGGAAGTATTAGTATAGGAGGCTTCTAGTAGCATAGGGATTAGAAATAAGGCCTCTCTAAGCGGGCTCTTAGTATAATAGTATACGACCCTGCTAATCGGATAATATTACGACGATTGAGTTGTTATAGACGTAGATAACCTAGCAATATTATAAAGGTTGTTATCGGAAAGTATAAATTGTTATCGGACTTAGCTATACCCTATAGACGGGAATTAGGCAAATGCGAGAGCCTTTCGAACTTAGGGGTGCTAGGTTGTTAATTACGACTAACGTTAGCAACGTTGCTAATACTATTAATAACGTTAATATAGTCGACTAAGCAGTTAATAACCTAGGGCTAAAGGCCGCTAACTAGAGGTAGAAGGTTATATATATACAACTAGCAATATAGACTATAGAACGAGACACTATATAGACTACTTCTTGCTATAGAACGAGACACTTCTTACTATAGAATAAGACACTATATAGACCACTTCTTGCTATAGAATAGACCACTTCTTAAGCTTAATCGCTCGGCCGCTAGAGCGCTTATCTAAGCGCTTCTATACTAGCATAGTTACTATAGGTCTCTAGATATTGCTAGCTATTGTTGTCTTATAAGAGCGACTAGCTAAACAGTAAGTAATTAACTAGAGGGTCGTGCTTACTAGAGGCCTAGCTATTAATAGGCTTAAAGAATAGTAAGTGCTGCAATAGTTAACTTCTAGTCGGTATTAGAAGCGCCTTAAAGAGCGCTTTATAATTAACTAGCTTATCTTCAAAGTCGTTGTCTTCTTCTTAGAAAGCGGCTAGACCGTATAGATTAAACAGCTATTTAAGGTTAGGTATATAGAGATAGCGAGGGTTACTCGGTAGCAGGCAATAGTCGTTTATTATAGCTTCTTCGAAAGCTAGCAATACGTCTAATTCCGCCTTCCTAATCTCCTTCTTAGTTACTAGCTATCGCTACTATATCTCTCGCAATTTAGCTTATCGTTGCCTTCTTATTACCTCTTCTACGGGTCTTCTACGCAAGGCGCGGCTATTTATATAGATATAGGTATAGTCGTTAGTACGAGTAGCGGACAGCTTCGAGCGATAGTCGTTCTATATAAAGTTTATAGCGCTAAAGGCTCGCTTAGAAGGCACTAAATTAGCAGGTATTCTATATAGGCGGAGGGCAATCTCTATAATAAGAGGTGCTTTGCGAGCGAGGAAGTCCTAATAAGCAGTAATATTGCCGCGCTTACGGTGCCGACTAAGCTCGTTGTTACTAATAGTAAAGAAGCGTTGCGTAGAGTCTCGAAACTCGATAAATTCGTCGTTAAATTAGAGATAGCGCTCGTATATAGAAGGATCGCTCTCTTCGTAGCTAAAATAGCCCTTAAAGAAGGCAGAGTAGTACTCTTCTTCGCGGTTGCTAAAGTCTCGAGAAACTGCTAGTTTGTTAATAGATAGTAAGTATACTACCTAGTAGATAGGTTAAGTCTGCTTAGCAAACCGGAGGTCGAAGAGCGACAGTAGGTCCTTCTCGTAAGGCAGGCGCGCCTACTATATTAAACGACGTAGCTACTACTAGCGAGGTACGATATTACTAACCTTCGAGGTATCGCTCTTACTAACTAGCCGTACTTCGTTAATAAGCTAAAGGAGTATATAAAGGCTCTATAGGCGGCTCTAGAATAGAGGCGAGTTAATAGTCTTAAGGGCAGTAGAAGCTCCCTTTACTAGGCGACTATTCGAGCCTCTAAATAGCCGTTAAGCTATAATCCTCGCGCAGTCTTAAAGGTAGGTTATTACTACGAATAGGCTATATATTGTAGTATAGTATAAACCCTAGCGAGTAAGATAGGCGATAGCAAATGCCCTTAATATAGCCTTATTGTCCTTAGTAAAAGCCTTAAGAATATTCTAAGCCTTCTTCGACCTCTTAAATAAAGCAAGTACGTATACCGCTTCGCGGAGCGTATCGCTACAGAACGGCAGGTGCGAGTCCTTCTAATTGTTACTCTAGTCGCTAATATATAGCTATATGCCGTACGAGTCGCAGAATATATAGATTATATACTTAGTAAGTAGATTGTCGGCGAGTCGGTCGTAGAGCGCTCTTATTGTCGCGTAGGTATCGGTTTAGAGGGAATTCTAGCGCTTAAGGTCGCTATTAACGAAGGGCGCTACCTACTTAGTTATCTACCTCGCGAGGGTTATAGCGTTAGCGTTAGAGTCCTTTATATCTAGTAGGTTGTAGAAGAACGAGCTAGACACTATATTAGCTAATAGATTATAGAAGCGAGTACTACCGCGACTCTTACTCTCGTCGGCGCTAAAGTTAAGGTCTTAAAGCGTATTAAATGCCGCCTGTACGTCCTTTTCGACTTCCGCTCGTATCTTGTCGATATAATCTACTACCTTATTGCGACTCGGAGGGTTATAATTAGCGTCGAAGGTATAGAAGGCCTCGCGCTATTTAGGGTAGAATCTCGCGTCTACGAGATTAAATAGCTTTCTACTATATAATACCGCTCTTATAATAGCTAAGTCGCGTACCTTCTTAGGCTTAGCGATACTAAATAGTAGCGTACGCTACTTACGCGGCGGTGTTTCCTTATTATTATTATTAGATTAGTAAGCCCTCTTATAGTCTGAATACTTCTAATACTTCCCTAGGTATGCCCTCTTACGTAATAGACTCCCTTCCGCTATCGTTCCTTTCCTACTATCGTACTAGATATACCTTACAAATTTGCCTATAAAGTCGGTATCGATTTAGGAGAAGTTAAGGTTAATTAGGTCCTTTAAATAAGGTATCTTTAAAAAAGTCGGAATTATAATATTCGTAGAATCACTAGAAACACGAAAAATAGAGGATTAGATAGTCGAAATAGGTAGAAAAATAGTAGTTAATTCTCCCTCGACGATACCTCTCGAACTATTTAGTTTTAGGCTATTCGGATAATATTAGTAATACTATCTTTTACTAACCCTAGTAATATAGTTGCTAGGTAACTCTCTACTAAGTAGTCGCCTAAGCAACTACTACTTAGAAGAGCTATAGAAGCAATCGCTACACTAATCTATACTAAATTAAGCTTAGCTAAGTCGGAAGAGAAGGATCTATAAAGGATACTAGTACTAAGAGGGTTACGAAGGCACGGTACTATTAGAATAGACTAAGTCTAGTCTATACTATAGATAAGGTAAGGTCTATATAGACACCTAAGGCATAAAGATTGATACTAACTAGTTATTAACGTTGTTTTGTTAGTAACGTTGCCTTCTACCGAGAAGTAGTTACTAATAACACCCCTAACTATAGCAACGATAAGACGCCCTATGCACGAACACTTATCGACGATATAATCCCTATTAAATCTCTATACCTAGCGCTCGAGGGCGCTCGCTAGTACGCTTATAGCATGGCTCCGGAAGGACCGACTCGGCTAAGCGAGCGAGCATAGCTACACTATATAGTAGTGTTGTAGGTTTACAGCCCCTAAGAAATGGAGGTTGTATATATCGTATATTATACTAGTATACACCCATAGATACACATCGGGTATGCCCGAATACTAGGATATCTAAGCAATATAAAGCAGCTTAGCGGGTTGTAGGCGGGATATTAGCGTATCCGATAACTCCGCCTTGTATATATACAACGAGCTCGCCTAAAAGGGTCGTATACATAGTGTATTACAGAGCGTGTACACTATCCACAGGTTAGTAGACCCTATTACTAGTGTATAGCACTACACGGCACTGCGCTTTGTAGGAGAAGGCCCTCTTGTTTATTAATAGTCGTAAGTATGTCTAGGATCTGGCTAATGTTATTCGGTATTAGCTAGTCGCAACGACTGCTAAGTATAGGGACTAGAAGAAACGATACACATAGGACAACAAAGGTGTTAATATATACACTACAGTAACATTCTACACTAGCAGTGTCGCTAAGCGAGACTAGAAGCGCCGGTACAACCGCTTCTATAAGACTATAGAGCATCTAGATAGGCTATCGGAACACCGGATTATAGTTGCTACTACTGCTTTCAGTGTTGGCCTAAATGTACTAGACATTAAGCTTGTTTGCTAGACTAGGTTCACTCTTGCGCGCGACATCGAGGATGTTGTCTAACGTCTTAGCCGTACCGGTCGTGCTATTCTACGTAGTTTAGCCTTTATCTTCCTACTATACTATATCGATGATCGTCTTAAGCAGCCGCGGCTAGAATCCAACTACCCGGCAATCAAGCCTCGCCGACGTAGATCGCATAGAGCATTCCGGCTATTAGGGCTCCGCTAGTCTAAGCTTCTAGGAGAAGATGCTAATGCGCTAGGTACTCGAGAAGCCGCTAATAATAATAATAATAATAATAATGGCGATAGAAACTACTAGACTAAGAAAGAGATAGAGCTTCGCGATAAGATTCCTCGGATTTGGCGGGAGTTCTAGAATAACTATCTGCGCGAACAATACGGCATATGTCTACGCAAAGTCGTCTTCGCTATCTCGGTAAGGATAAGGTAGTATATACCTAGCAACTACTAGCAGTAGAAGATTGCTATAACATCTGTAACCTAGAACTAGACGCTCTTTATGTCGATACACCTCTAGAGGGTATTACTCCCCCGAAATTCAAGGCTCCGAGAGCCGGCACTCGTCTAGTAATTAGATTCAGTATACTAAAGGATTGGATATCAAAGCGGCCTGCCCTTTAGTATCTAGATTGGTCAAGCCGTATTCGATTCGACCTTCTATCGACTAAGGTTATAGAGGATCCGATTCTAGCCAATATCGCTAATATCTTTACTGCCGCTAACTTAGTTAATAAATAGAACGAGAGTATTACTATCGATTAGGATCTCCTTAAGCAGAAGGCGCTAGTATTTGTAGACTAGTTCGAGAAGCTTTAGTAGCACGAGCAACTATTCGCTACCTTTTAGCTAATCGATACTCTAAAAAGCCTTGGTCTAGAGGTATTAACTAAGTGGCGTACTATTTATAATGCGAGGAAGAGGGCCGAGGAAGATAGACAGAAGAAGGCCGAGGAAGAGGCTGCTCGAGAAGCGGCTCGTAGCGCCCTAAATATACGTCTATCGGATACTATACTGCTACCTACAATACCCTTTACTCTATAGCAGCGCGCTACTGCTCTAAATAAGTTGAGAAGCGGTATTGTAGGCTCTACTAGCGTATAGGCTAACCTCCTTTATAGCCGTAACACTTAGGTATTAGGAACTCGAGGCTAGGAGCGCCTAGGCTTATCTAGTAGTCTTAGTCTACGTACTTAGCGACAGCTACCTCTACAGATTGATCCGACTGCTAAACAGGCATATACTCGAGCTAAGCGGATTCTTAGCACCGTCTCTCGTACTAACGAGGAGCGAGGTCGCGTATTACGTACTAAGCGTAGACTCTCGGAAGCGGGTCGACGTATAATAGGCTCTTAAGGTAGCTCTCCTAGCAGGCGTTAATGCTGCAATTGCGGTGAAATGGCCCTAGAAATTGCGGTAAAATGGCCCTAGAAATTGCGCTAGAATGGCGCTAGAATTAGCGCTAGAATTGGCGCTAGAATTGGCGCTAGAATTGGCATTTGATAAGGCTTCTATTATGTCCTTATAAGCTCGCTAAGTCCTTGTCCCATCCCCGGAAAAGTAAGCCGTAACACTACGCTCGATCGCGTTGCTTCTATAAGAGCTAGCGTGTAATGCCTAGTTGAGTTGCTTCTACGAGAGCTAGTTAAGTTACTTCTGCGAGAGCTAGTTTAGCTGCTTCTGCGAGAGCTAGCGTGTAGTGCCTAGTTCAGCTGCTTCTACGAGAGCTAGCGCTAGAATTAGCGGTAAAATAGCGCTAGAATTGGCAATAGAGATAGCACTAGAATTGGGATTTGATAAGGTCCTTCCTAACTACCCTTCTATTTTGTCCTTGTAAGCTCGCTAAGTAGGCTCTTCTATTATGTCCTTATAAGCTCGCTAAGTCCTCGTCGCCGACTATAATCTCCTCGTCCGACTCGTTATTATCTATCGGTTCGTTAGGCCTATTCAGTTCTACGAGAGCTGGTTAAGCTACTTCTGCGAGAGTAGGCCTAGTTTAGCTACTTCTGCGAGAGCTAGCGTATAATGCCTAGTTGAGTTGCTTCTACGAGAGCAGGCCTAGTTGAGTTGCTTCTGCGAGAGTAGGCCTAGTTGAGTTGCTTCTACGAGAGTAGGCCTAGTTAAGTTGCTTCTACGAGAGTAGGCCTAGTTAAGTTGCTTCTATAAGAGTAGGCCTAGTTGAGCTGCTTCTACGATAGCTAGCGCTAGAATTGGCACTAGAGATGGCGCTAGAGATAGCATTTAATAAGGTCCTTCCTTACTACCCTTCTATTATATCCTTATAAGCTCGCTAAGCAGGCTCTTCCATTATGTCCTTATAAGCTCGCTAAGCAGGCTCTTCTATTGTGTCCTTATAAGCTCGCTAAGCAGGCTCTTCCATTGTGTCCTTATAAGCTCGCTAAGTAGGCTATCTATCGTGTTCTTTGCGACGAGGGTTTGTAGATAGTCGTAGGTATCGATGGTATATAAGAGCTAGGCGAGAAGCGTAAATTCGAGGAAGCGACAAGGATGCCGAGTCCCGCCAAGACCCCGGATTTAGTATAGCAGAGCGCTTAATTGGTAGGATTAAACGTTATAGCTGCTTCCTTCCGCGCATTTACAATACCGACTTTACGACTTTTACGACTTTTATAATAGCATATTACTAATACAGCGAGATACGCCGATTGCGCGCATTTCTAGCAAATAGCGCTAACAAAAGTGTCTAACACGATAACGACGGCCGCCTTAGGCACTAAGAACCGCCTCCGAAACCCGAGAAGTTACTAATACTAGCGATACTAGCGACACTAGCGACACTAGCGACACTAGCGACACTAGCGACACTAGCGACACTAGCGACACTAGCGACACTAGCGACACTAGCGACACTAGCACTATACTTATTACACCGCAGCTATTGGCACTATAATATGTACGGCAAGGATAGATACGTAGGGCGATAACATACATCGAGCGCTCGTAAAAGCACCCTTCGAGAAGCTACAATAGCCCTCTTACGTTAACGCCCTCTATTGCTTAGACTCTCCCTAGAACGATCATTCCGATAACTAGTTACTATATAAGGCAGAGAAAACGAATAGTAGCGTCCGGGGATCTAATTAACTAGCGGCACTAAGCGGCTATAGAAGCACACACTCCGAAGCATACTAGTATTATATATAGCCTATATACTACGCGTAATGCGCAACAATTAACGTATTCTATTACTAACTATAGTACGCGAGGTATATAGGAAGGGACTTATTAAGCGAAACACGACAGCGATCGCTAAAGCGACACTTATTAGTACCTAGACAACAATAGAGTATAACCGCGCCCTTAGTGTTAGAGACACCGCGAAAAAAAAGGTTGTCGAGCGCGTTACAGTCGTATAGCAATATTAATGCGCTTGCTAGAAGAGGAGGCGCACTATAGTCGAATAGCAGTCTTAATACGCAAAGGGCTGCAGTCGTGTAGCAGTGAAGACTAAGACCAAGACTAAGACTAAGCGCCTTCGGGCTTAATAAGTATACTAGAGGCCCTTACGCAACGACTAAGGTTATTATAACTAACAGTCCTAACGAAGGCGTTACGCCGACTTAACTAGATGCGCGTATATTATCCTATAAAGAATCCGAACGTAGGAAGCCTATAGCCGCTACTTAAGGTGTACCTTACTAAAGAGTTTTTACCGAGTTAGGCCTAGCCGCTACTTAAGGTATACCTCACTAAAGAGTTTTTACCGAGTTAGACCTGTAGCAATGCTACGAACCTATTAACCTACTCAGTCTATTAACCTACTTAGTAGGAGAGTCGCTATCGAGCCGCTACTTAAGGTATACCTTACTAAAGAGTTTTTACCGAGTTAGACCGTTAGCCGCATTATAGGTGTACCTTACTAAAGAGTTTTTACCTCCGCCAATCTACCCGAGACCCGCAGTCTGTTGCACTAAGACAAGACTGCGATCTAATAATAACTATGCTCTTTCGGTTAAATGCGTAGTCGACGCCCGCTAAAGCTATAGTATACCTACTCGCTAGGAGAGTCGCCTCGCAACGTCTTACTTAGTAAAGCCTATCGGAGACCAAACCTCGAAGAGAAAGGACTAAACAAACCACCTGCCGAGGAACCTTAACTATTAGACAAGCGGCTCTGTCGGTAGCAAGCCGCAGAACTAGCAAGGAATAGTGTTAATCGCTATAGAGCTACCTATATGCGACAAAGAGGTATCGACACTGTTACTATTAGAAGCCGATAGCTAGTGTATTGCTAGGGGTGTTAGTATATTAGTATATATAGAAGAAGAAGAAGAAGAAGAAGAAGAAGTTAAACTAGGAAGCGTAGGTCTACATTAGCGCTTCGTAGGTAAGGTTTGCCTCTACTAATAGGATTGCGCTATTTAGCTACAATAGTAAGGCAACAATAACGGCTATACATTATCGCACTTTCAACGCAACGTAATAGCCGCCGACTGCTGCTAGTTAAATGCCTAAGGCTAGAATTGCTAGCGACTAGAGGCATAGGCAAGGACTTCGTATTAGGCTATAGCTAGTTTGAAAAGCTCTTCGGTACGACGACAGAATGTGCTCTACGCTCGTTAGCCGACGTAGCTCTCTAGTCTACCGCTACTACTTCGCCGCTAACCCCCTAGTCTACGGAGCTATTAGCTATCAAGCCATTATCGTACGCCTAGCTAAACCCTTCGTAGCCAGCTATTAAACTATTATTATACGCCTAGCCAAACCCTTCGTAGCTAGCTATCAAACCATTATCGTACGCCTAGCCAAACCCTTCGACTTTATAAATACCCCCGACGAGGTACGCACTCTAGTCTACTAGGCACGCACTCTAGTCTACCGCTACTACTTCGCCGCTAGGCGCGCACTCGCACTCTAGTCTACTAACGACGAGGCACGCACTCTAGTCTACCGCTATTACTTCGCCGCCAGGCGCGCACTCTAGTCTACGGAGCTATTAGCTATTAAGCTATTATCGTACGCCTAGCCTAGCTAGCTATTAAGCCATTATTATACGCCTAGCCTAGCCAGCTATCAAGCTATTATTATACGCCTAGCCTAGCTAGCTATTAAGCCATTATTATACGCCTAGCCTAGCTAGCTATTAAGCTATTATTATACGCCTAGCCTAGCTAGCTATTAAGCCATTATTATACGCCTAGCCTAGCTAGCTATTAAGCTATTATTATACGCCTAGCCTAGCTAGCTATCAAGCTATTATTATACGCCTAGCCTGGCCAGCTATCAAGCTATTATTATACGCCTAGCTAAACCCTTCGACTTTACAAGCACCCCCGACGAGGCACGCACTCTAGTCTACCGCTACTACTTCGCCGCTAACCGCCTAGTTGACGGGGCTATCGTTGTCGGCGGCAAGCGCACTTAGAAGATAAAGCTAGCACCTAAGAGATAAAGCTAGTAAGGAAGGCCTAGATAGTAGATATAGCAGGTTAGATCACTATAAACGAATATAAAAGCTATATTCATTTATTCCTTAGTCGCTACAACCGCTGCCCTTATCTATATCTTAGTTACCGCCTATCGCATCGACTTCTTTATCTATAGTCTCCGACTCCGACTGCTTATCTTCGAAGTCGCTAACCCTAGGTATATCCGCTAGTCGTACGATAGTCTCTAGTATATCGCTTAGGAAGCCGCTTATAGAGTACATCGGCAATGCTGCTATCTATCTAGGAAGAGGTAGACCGACTAGAGCGTACTAATAACCTAGCTAGCCTAGAAGTGGCGCATTATCTGAATCCTAGTCTATTAGATCGCCGCTATCGTCTTACTGCTAAGGCGGAAGGATTGGATTGCCTTTATCGTCGTAATTATATACCGTTATCTTACTAGAAGGTTCGTTAGACATCTTAAAGGACTCGAGGCCTAGCAGCGGTAGTAGTAGCTATAGTAGCAGCTGTAGTAGCAGCTGTGGTAGCAGCTGTAGTAGCAGCTGTAGTAGCAGCTGTAGTAGCAGCGGTCTGCTAGCGGTCTGCTAGCTATAGTAGCAGCTATAGTAGTAGTGCTAGCAGCGACTTTTAGGTGTTTTAACCTTAGCTTTAGAGTCGCGTCTGCTATATAGCAGCAACTTAACAACTACACCTCGGATAGACTTATGCTATACACAAAAGGTATTCAGAAATGGTCTACGAAGGACCTCGAAGTATCGAGTCGGCTATAGGAAGGTTATCGATTGCCCTCGAAGGCTATAGAGCGGTTAGTAGGCGTCGGACGGAATTTTCGCCTACCTAAACAATAATTACCGGCGTTAGGAGAAGGACCTCTAAGTGTTAGCTAGGCGATGCGGTATATTATATATTAAGGTGTTTCTAGCAGTATAGCTAGCCGCCTAGCAATCCGGACAGCTACAGTCGAGTCGGCTTAGCAGAATAGCGAAAACTTAACGCGCTAACGTCGCATAGACTTTTTTAATAGGTAGAATGAAGCGCAATTAGTAGGGCTACAACCTCCGCTATTTAGAATATCTTGTATACGTTGTAGTGTTATATTAGTGTTTAGTAGGCTAGTTTCGTACGGGTTTATATTAGGCTCGTAGGCGAAGAATTAGGTAGAGTGCTCGTAATTAGTTGTCGGTAAGTTCGGAAGCTAGCCCTAATTACTAATCTATTACGTGCACTCGGTCGCAATATAATCCCTATCTACTACACATCTACGCAACTCAATTCTTCATTATGCCTACGAGCCTAAATAGAGGTAAAGTATAGCCGGCTTTTAGCTAGGTAGTGCCCTCGGCTTATAGACTATAACACAACAACCTAACGTCGCATTAACATAATTTTTAGGTAGAATGAAATCCGATTACTTGCTCTACAATCTTATATAATAATAATTGTATATTTTGCGTTATATACAAAGTCGCGATTTTGCGATCGAGAAGCTATCCCGATCGGCACTTTTGCTATTAGACCCTTGCTTCGCAAGGCGGTTATAAATATTAAATAACTAGTAGATAATGTAAGCCTTGTTAAATAAGCAAGGGGCTGTAGGGAGATAGCCGCTATAAAGCGTTGCTAAGAGCCTCGCATACGCTAAGCAGCGACATTTTCTCTATACAATATTAGGAAAATAATCGGCGGTAGAGGACTAGCCTCGACGATAGTCGGAGAGTAAGGAGAAATAGTAAGTGCGACTATTTCTATATACTATTATCTACTAATAAGAGACAGATAACACATATTATAGTAGCCGCCTAGAAAGCACCGACAAGTCCTATAAGCTAGCCGCTATACTATAAAGTAATATCGGATTTAAGTTGCCTTAGTAGTAGGGGCCCCTAGCGAAGTAGGTCGCCTAGTACGCCTAGTACGCCTAGTACGCCTAGGTCGCCTAGTACGCCTAGTACGCCTAGTACGCCTAGTACGCCTAGTACGCCTAGTACGCCTAGGTCGCCTAGTACGCCTAGTACGCCTAGGTCGCCTAGTACGCCTAGTACGCCTAGTACGCCTAGGTCGCCTAGTACGCCTAGTTAGCCGCCTATTTAGCCGTATAACGTAACATCTTAGGGACTCCCGCGGAGGCTATATATAGTAGAATAATACGTTATATATTAATATACAAACGACGGGACTGCACTAAACTACGCGTACGTATATACGGACGATAGTAAGCGAGATATATAGAGTTATAGGACAGATCCGAGTAGTAGGAAGGAACCGGAAGGTAGGGAAGAGCTAGGAGAAATATGTTTGCTTAAGAGCGGTTAAACGAGTTCGTATACGCGCGCTACGCAAGTTAGCTAGGAGACAAAGGCGCTACGAGACAGCGGACAAGCGGGATATACGTACTTGCGCTCGCGCGTCGGACGCGCTAGACGGCCGTAGGGCGGAATACTAAGGAAGGGGCTCTCCCTCTAAGGCACCCTTCTTCCTTTCTTCGCAGTTCGTCTTATATAGATAGCAGCTATATTAATTTAGTACTCCCTTTAGTTTAGTTCAAAGTTTCGTATATATTCTCACTACTTAGCTACTAACCCTTATAACACAGCCGCCGGAAATAAGGGGCTCAAGCGATGTAACGATAGTAGCTAGTGCTAAAACATTCTCTACCCTCCCTTTCTTAATACGGTGTTATTTTCTAATAACGATAATAGTGCTTACTCGGATATATAAATTGTATGCTCCTCTTAGTAGCTCTATAGGCAGAGTATTAAGCTCTTATACTACGTTAAGGTAGAAGCACTTCATAAGAGTCCCGAAGGAGTTTTTTTAACTAGCTTTGCTGCTGCTTTTTCTTTTTTTTTTATAGGTTTCTTTGTTCAATTCCCGCCCCGACTATCGCGAGAGAATCGTATAGCCTAGCCTTGCGGTAAGTGGCCCTCCGGACAGTAGTTTTAATACCGTCGAACAAATACGCCTACGAATAAGTAACCTAAAAAAAAAGATAGTTTAATCAGTTTCTATCGTTAGCAAAAGGGGAGCGGGGGGGTACTTAGCCGATTATAATCTAGTATCGTCTATAGTAGAGTCCTCTGCCCCGTCTTGCGTAGTAACGCGAGATTAAGAGATACCTATAGTGCGCTTGCCGTTAGCGTTACGCGAATCTAGAGGCTACGCATACGAGGTATCTCTCTTCTCGGGCACGGGCGGGAAGGTGCGCTATAGTAGAGGCTAAGGGATGTATATAGGTACTTTCCCGAATTTTGGGGTTAGCACTAGCTTCTTTCGGATATTATGCGCTAGGTCTAGATCTTAACTATTAATTAGCGATAGCATATAGCTCGCTAATACTACCTCTTGCTTTATACGGAAATCGGACACAATCTAGGCAAATGTGCTGAATTTTCCTCGCTTTTACGTTAATTAAGGCGCGTAATTAAGCTGCGCGACTATCTATATAAGCCAATTGCTAAAGGGTATAAGATAGCGCATTAGACGAGACAAGTTGACGCAAAGCTATCGAGTATCGGTTATAAATCCTAGAAGTAGGGCATTATCCTTATTATAGCGGACGAGAGAGATAAGGCTAATAGTAGCTTCTCGTCCTTAGACCTTAGCAGACGTCTTAACCTATAGCTAATTCGCTAACTCCGTGTTCTGCAAGTGCGCTAATAAGTGGCTCTTAATAACACCGGCCTGCTCCTTATACGGCGTAATAATAAGGAAGTCCGAAGGCAAAATCTTGCGACTACCTTTAGGGACTTCGGTACCGAGCAAGTACTTTATATAGAAGGCGATCGCCTAAGCCTCCGCTACATTATACGACGAGCCGGAGGCCGATTTTACCTTATAGACGCTGTTAATCCTAGAAACGTCGATAGCAAATCGCAAGCTTCGATTACCGGCTTCTAGAGCGTAGTATAGCTTCAACTTGGCTAGCGCGTACTCTAGCGTAATATCGATAGCGTGCTGCTAAACTACGGTAGAATAATCGACTAACTTACCGTCGTAGAAGACTTCCGAGATTATCCGAGAGATCTAAGGAGCTATACGACGCTACTCCGTTAGTATATCTTTCTTAGTAAAGTCGGGATTCTCGTAGAGCTTCCGGAAGATCGACGTTAGCGAGCATCGTATACTCTCATTAGCACCGCGTAAGATCGGTAGTAGGCCCTACTACTTATAATTACTAGCAAAGACCGCGGCGAGAAGGGTCTCTCTAAAGAAGGCTATACTAGTAATAGTATCCTCGAATTGTCCTATCGCAACCTTATCCTAGCACAATAGCGTAGGTCTAGCTCCCTCTACTATCTTATTATAGGCGGACGCGTTGTTCGTATAGAATATAATATCTGTAGTCTCTAATACTCGACCTTCCTAGACTCGGCGATTATTCCTTAGCTACTAAGTGCGTTCCTTTAGATCGTCTAGAGATAGACTCGCGCGATACTTCTTGCTAACCGATCGCGCAACGTCTTAATGTTCTAAGGCCTCCGTATAGTACGGGCTATCCGTATTCTTAACGCAATCCTTAATAAACGGTATAGTCTAATTGTATAGGTAGAAGTCCTATAGCTCTAGATTAGTATACGTGCTCTTTACGAGAGAGTCTACGACAGCCTATAGTAACCGCTAATGCTTATTATAGATGTCGTCGCGTATAGTCGCCGATTCCTTAGCCTTGCGAGTATACCTACCTTAGAATAGAACAACTCGAAGCTTGCCCTTAGCGTTATAGGTCTTATTAAAGTTCTTATATAGATTCTGCACGGCCGGGTTAGTAGGCGCGCACGAGAGTACTTAGCACTTTAGAGCCCCTAGAGCCTTACTAGCTATAATATAGCTATAAGAGATAGCGTTCACAGTGTACGACTTGCCCGTACTAGGCGGACCCCAAATTAAGGTTAGGCTATCTCGAGAATAGAAACTCCTTAATATAGATTCTATCTAGCCTACGTTTAAGCTAAATCTCGCGATCGTATTCCTAAACGACGTCTCGGCCGTCGGACTATACTAGCGGCTAAGCGTAAGCCCGTTCTATTGCTAGATACTTAGTATAGCGCCTAGAAGCTAACGAGCGAAGTCGACTCCGGTCGTGCGCTTAACGCCCTTCCCGAGCTCGACTAGCGCCTAGTTCTAGCGTACCGCGCTTATAGGATCTTACTTGAACTTCATCGAGATCGTATAAGCCGCCTAAAGTAGGTTGGCGCTACCGCGCTTAGGCTACGTAAGAATGTACGCCGTAGGATACGTAGCGAAGATGTCGGTAGAGATCTCTCCGATAAGCTTTATACCCTTAAACGGACCCTCTTCGTAGATAAATACCTCTACTCGCGTTCTAGTAGCGGGCTAGTATCGCTTACTCTTCTTAACCTAACCGCCTACTTCTTTCTCTTCCTTATCTTTAAGGAAGATCTTAAGCTATAAGCTAGCGTTAGTATCGCTCGTCTGTAATAGCGTAATACGAGCCGATAGCGTCTTAGTCTCGTTAATTCCTTCGAATGCATCTTTTAGGAGATACCCCTTATAGGCGTATATACGCTAGGCCGCGATCCGAGCCTCGATAGACTTAGTCTCTACGTCTAGGTAATGCTCGATATCCGTAAACGATGCCTAGCCCTCTAGAGTGAAGTTCGCGATCTAGCCTTAAGTATCGTACTTAAGTCTCTACGTCTTAACGAGCTAACGTAGTAGTAGTACTTAGACGAACGGAAACTTTAGATTTATAATGTCGGCATTAAGAAGTCGTACCTATCGACGATAGTATAGGAAGTTGCCGTTAGTAGCTGTATCTTTTATAGCCTTACCCTACTAGTCCGAGAAGTTTTAAAATGCCCGGAAATACGAGTTATTCTTAGGCTAATAGCGGAAGATAGAGAACTCTTTACTATAGTAGAGCCGAGCGATAAGCTAATCCGTACGACAGATATAGTTACGATCTTCTTCTCTCTTATACATTTGCTAGTAACCTACTAGTTCCGGCAGGTTTAGGCTTAGATCGCCGTAAAATTTAGGGCGGCGAGGAGATGCACTAAATAGTACGTCCTTATTAACGACGACTGCGTATTAACTAGTAATCGTAGCAGGATTAAGTCTGAAATGAATCTTACTAACGCTATTCTCCTTTTAGTTATCGCGGAAGGACTTATAAGCTTGCGCCTAACGCGCAACTATATCGGGATCTTCGCCCTAGTATATCTTAAACCCGATCGCGTCGATATCGTTCGTTCCCTAGATCTAACGAGCGATATCGTTAGTATATACGAAGACCGTAACTAAAGGCTTCTTCGCTCCGGTGTAATTAATACAGCTATTAATCTTTAGCTTAAACCCGGGCACCTACGAGTATATAATAGGCGTAAAGGAGATAATCGGCTCGCTATTATCTAGGTAATCTTTGCGCGGCGGCGTAAGTGAACTAAAGAAGTCTAGCGGGCAGTCTCTAGTACCTAATAATCCGTATAAAGAAAGATCGCCGACTACAACCGCTACTTGCGCTTTATTAGTATATAGGATCTGCTTGCTATCGGCTTTACCTTAGGCCTTCTTGCGAGTGTTACGCTTTCTAGCCTTACGTAGCTAAGCTAAAGACCCCTATATAGCCTTGCCTAGCTAAGCTAAAGACGCCTAAGGTGAAGGTGCACTCGCCGTTGCCTCTAGTCCTATTATAGGGTCTAGAGCATCGACCTTCTATACATTGGCCGACAGTGCCGGGAGCGGTACAAATTTAGCTGCAAACTTAGAGGTATCGGGTCGTACGGCCTTCTAGTATCTACCGTAGATATATCCGAGATATAGCGGATATAACCTATCGCTATAGGACTCTACGCCCTACTTGTCTACCGGCAAGTTCTTAACGATGCGATAGTTTTCCTCGAGCGGCGTAATCTAGGTGCTCTTTACCTTAACCTCCTCTTTCTCATTCTCTTCTGTTTCCGAATTAGTCTCTAACTAATCGTTATTAGACTTCTCGCCGGGACGGAGGTGCGGCGTATTACCCTATCCCGCGTTGCTTATATTAACATTAGTAGCGCCGAACGCTATAATAGCTAATCCTACGACAGCGGGAGAGCTTAGGTCCATTTCTAAAGCTATTTTATATTTGTATATAGGCGAAGTATATACGCGGTACCTTAAGCCGGGTAGAAAGGGAAGAGGGGGTATACAAAAAGCGAAAAAAAAGCGGTAGAAGTCGCGAAAAGTCGCGAAAAGTCGCGGAAACTTAGGGGCTATAAAGAGGTTAGTAAATAAAGCGCCTCCTATCGCTCGCTAGACGACAACGTACCTAGTTCGCAGCTAAAAGAGGTATACGCAGAGGTCGTACTCTACTAGCTAAAGAGAGATTAAGCGCGCGTAGCAAATTTTCAAAACATACTAAACGTATACCGGGACTTCCCGCTCGGTAATGCTACAACTTATAGACGCAAACGGCTATAAGTTACGGCCGAACAGTCTACGTCCGTAGGAAGCTCGATGCCTTAATTAACAAACTCGCGAACAGGACTGCCGAGAAAAGGCTACTAGCGCCTATCGCGGGCCGAATAGTTGTTATATAGTAGAGCGAATAGTGTAGCAGTATCCTTTATTGTTATTTTGCCTAAGACGGTAGTTACGACACTTCTACAGCGCGGTTATTAGTAGTCTTCGATTACGATTCACTTACTAGCTACTCGCACTCTAGATATAATCTCGCTAGATCAATTCGGTTATCGATATACATTTCGCAGCTATAGTAAATCTGTCCTGCCTGCTATACTATCCGTCTAATAGCCTTCGAAGTGCGATATAGATCAACCGCAAAGAGCCTATAGCTAGCGTTAGTAAGATATTCAAAAACGATATTGTTTGCCTAGATATACTTCCTAGCTAATATAGAACTACTATTATTATCTCCGGCCTTCCCTAGGCTAGACTTGTCTATTCTGTATACGTTCTTTACCTTATCCCGACTTCTCCTTCGATATCTCTTTCCTTTTTAGATATACAAATCTGCCTACTCCTCTAACTTTGCTGCTTATACAAATAAAGATCCCGTATATCTCTTATATCTCGCGCTACTACGACTAACGTCCGATTGTTAGAGTTCTTACCGGTCTATACGAGAAGGTCTTTAAACTCGATTAGTATATAGAGTCGGCTCTACGGAACGTTTGTAGATTACTAGGAGTCCTTAGTAAAGATGCTATACGACTCTCCGGTAGACTGTGAATTATAGTATTAGTATAGATTACTATTACGTCCTCGACTAACAACGGTAGTATGCGTTAAGCCTCGGATAGGACGCTAAGCATATATATATACTAGTAAGGAGGAAGGTAAAGTCGGAAATATATACTAGCTATAGCTAAGCGCGCCCGGATAAGTTAGCTAGCGATGTTAGCCGCCTAACCGCCCTTTCTTCCTTGTATGTATACAGACACTATAGACGATACGCCTAAGGCTGCTATCGAGCCGTATAACTTGCTACGAGATCACCGGTCGGAGAATACTATAAATTTTGCCGCGACTCGTAGTACTGCGGATATCGGAAATCTTACGGCATTTTGTACGCAGACAACGAAATTATACTAAGGAAGCTAAATATTACTTAAGTATATAGCGATAAGTAATAGTAAAGTGTAGCGTAATAGAAATTTGTTAAGGGTACCGTTAACCGCTCGAGATAGCTGCGTACAGTATTAGTTTAGGATGTCGAGCATCTATAAAGAGCTATAGAACGATAGCCGAAAGAGCTTAAGGATGTTGAAAATCGCTTAGAATTCTTAGAAGAGGAGGATGCTAAGGATCTCTCGAGTTAGCTATAGACGGAGCCGGCGTTATACTCGAGCATAAGGATAGCGAATATCTCTTATAGCGGCTTTTAGCCTAGAGGGATTCGTAAGACACCTATTGTCGAATCTTATAAGTAGCAACAGCGGCGTACTAAAGTTAGTAATAGCGTAATGTTATTCAAACCTATGCCGATCGCTAGCAATTAAGGAAGCTGCGGGTTTATCGTAGGTAAGGATTCTTAGTAAACTAATCGGGCGGTAGGCATAAATTAGATCGGCTATATTATAAGGATACAAAAATCACTTAGACTAGGTTCGAAAGACGTCTACGATCTAAGAAGCACCCCTAAGGATGTCGTATATCGCTTAGTCTAGCTATCGGAGGTCGTAGCGGTAAAATAAGGAAGTCGATTATTACCTAAACTAGTATTCGCATAAGCGAAGGCCGTTAATTCTAGACGGAGTAATACGGCAAAACACTTATAAGGATGTCGAATATCGCTCGAGCGGTATAGCGGACGAAGGAAGACTTATAAGGATATCGAATATCGCTCGAGCGGTATAGCGGACGAAGGAATACTTATAAGGATGTCGAATATCGCTCGAGCGGTATAGCGGACGAAGGAACACTTATAAGGATGTCGAATATCGCTCGAGCGGTATAGCGGACGAAGGAACACTTATAAGGATGTCGAACATCGCTCGAGCGGTATAGCGGACGAAGGAACACTTATAAGGATATCGAATATCGCTCGAGCGGTATACCGGACGAAGAGCGTTAGCTAAGAAGAAAGAATATAGGGTTGTCTAATACAATAGAAAGAAGGAAAGACTATACGCCTAGCTAGACAGGGATTCTACTTATACGATTAGCATACTCTATTAATTAAAGGAGACTTTATAATACGTAAGCGCCTAAGAGTAGGAGGTCTGTGTTCTTTTATTATCTAGACCTGTTATACTTGTTGCTAACATTAGCTACTATTATAAGCTACTAGCCGATAGTCGCGCGGAAACATACTTCTAATAGAATCGAAGAAAAGATAATACGCGCAACTACGCGACGCAAATGGTACGCTATACCGATTAAAGGAGACTTTATACTACGCGAGTACATTAGAGCTAAGTATACTTTACATTAAAGTATATCAAACGACTAATACGACACTATTAGTGAACGTAACTTTCTCGTAGTCTAAAGGGCAGTTGCTAGATTTGCTACTTTGTCGAGCGATAGAGGAAGGTACCTTCCTAAGAAGAGGCTTAGCAGAATTCGACTTTATATAGTATTAGGCTAGGCCTAAACGTCCTTTCTCCTTATATCCGATACGCTTTTATAAGTGTATTATTAATTTCAATTCCTATAAGAGGCGTTACGCCTCTATTTACTTACTCTTTTCTCTGCCGCTTACGCGGTTTTACTATTCCCGGCTTAAGGCGCTACGTACGCGCCTCGCCTATATCTAAATTAGACAATGTTATCTTCGTATAGATATGTAGACGCTTCTAGGCGGACTCGTAGTCCTACTAGCCGGACAGCTAGGCGAGGAGATAGTAGAGTTGAGTCCTTATCTCGATATAAAGGCTCTAGGCTATCGCGTCGTACGGACGCGAGCTTAAGAACGTCTAGGAGGTCTCGTTCGCTATACGACTCTCGATTAGACCGTCGATAGAGGCGAGGGTCTCTAGTAGCGGTACGTAGAAATAACCGTTCTCGAGAGAGACGGTTAGGTAAGTATACTAGTAGTCGTATAAGATTACTAAGACGGTTGCCGGACTCTATTTATTATAGTGCCCGACGAGATAATCGCGGCCGTAGACGAGGTCGTTCTCTAAGTCCTACTAATAAGAATTACAGGTTCGATCGATACGTGCCTTCTAACGATAGTAGATACTATCGAAGCGGATACGACAAGTACGTTCCTTTACGTACTAGTAGCGATAGACATCGTAACGATTCTAGAGACAGATCGTACCGGCGGAGATCTCTAAGCACTAGACGCGATATAGGGCGAGCTTAGCGGCGTAAACGCTCTCTAGTTCGTAGGCGAGGCTCGTAGAAGACGTTAGGTCCGGGTCGAAACGGATCTCTAGATACTAGCCCTAGACCTAATCGGCCTATACGTTAGGAACGCGCTAAGATTATATAGGGATAGGATACTACTACGGAGAAAGGTAGAGTATAGCGAGAATAGAAGATCCGTAAAGGAGAGGTTAATACAGTGTCGAAGGGACCTGCTACTCTACTAGTCTCTAAGTTTGCTAATACGAAAGCTTTACTAACGCTAAAAGCAGCTAGCGTAACGGTTGTACAGCTCCCGCCCGTTACTACTACGCAGGCACCGGTAGCACTACTAGCGGCATTACCGGCAGTCAACGAGATAGAGACAAGTGCCGACGTCTTCTATATAGACGATAGAGACTCGCTTATATAAGAAGATATCGCAGTATCGAATCCTAATAATAAGTTGTTTATAACGGGTAATAACGAGGAGGCTAAGTTAAGTACTCTATCAACTATATAGAAGAGCGTACTAGTCGTAGGATTATCGCAGAAGGATACTATAGTCCTAGACTATAAACTAGAGGATCTAGCTCTTACTAGGAAAAGGTAGAACAAGTACAACTTAGACTTCGCCTACTAGAATATACGCTAGATCTCCTTCGAGCAAGGACTGAATCCTAACTCGAAGTAGGATAAGGACGGACTATTGCTACCGATTACGAGACCGCTCGCTCGCATTATCGCGACTTACCTTAAGTAGAACAAAAAGGACAACGGACTCCGGAACTAGGGCGATCTATCGTTTCCTAAGAACACGGTCTTTCTAATAGACTATCTATAGAACGACTATCGTCTTAGCGGGCTGAGTTTGCGTACCTAGAGTAAATAGTATCCGCTAATAGGTAACTACAACAGTAGCGACTACTAGCTAGATAATATAACGATTTCGGACTTTATCTTACTCGATAGTTACAACTTCGTACTAGGAATCGTCTACTTCTCGCCCGTTGAGTTGCTCCGCTAGCTTCTAGACGATAAGATAGAAGTCCGTTAAAATCAATTATAGGACACGCTCGCGCTTATCGACCGAGAAGGCTAGGATAAGTAGCAGAATTACGCCGTATATATCCTAGATGTGCCCGCAAATAGCAAGGCTATAGCAGGTGCTATATTAAGTAATAGCTATTAGAGCTCCTTTAATATCGACTTTGTAAATAAAGTTATTATCTTAGCTAATTCGCTTAGAGGTATAAAGCGTAGCGGAAAGTTAGAACAAGCTATTCGGATTATACTCGAGCTTGCTTCGAAGAAGCTAGACTTTCTATTTAAGGATGCTTATACCTAGCCTTCTCGAAAGGTGCTATACACTCTATAGCCGAATAACTACGAGTACGGCTTCGCTACGATCGACAATGTACGATACTTTATACGCGAGGAGCCGATTATAGTAAAGATAGGGCAGTAGGTAAGGCAGTACTTCGTCGAGCTACGTATACGCTTAATATAAGAAGGTGGAAGACAGTAGCCTACGCTATAGCACATCTTTAAAAGCACATTAAGTTAGTAGCCTTCGTCTAAGGGCAACTCGGCTAGTAAAGGTGCTTTATTCGCGAAGAAGCCTGTCGGTAAGAGTGCTCTATCTACTAAGAAGGATCTACTAAGTAAGTGCGATGCTATTAAGGCGTTGTCCTAGCCTCTACTTAATAGCAAGCCGAAAGAATATACTCCCCGGCAGAACGCTAAGTTCTATGCCTCGGTAGATTTACCTACGGCTAACTTTTAGAGGGCAATTAAGAGGATTTATAAGACTAGGAAGGTATTATCGACAAAGTCTATCTCGGATTAGACTTTGATAGTGCTTCGCTAGATCCTTAACACCTACTTTTCGGGCGATACGACCCGATTAGATGCCTCTAAGACAATTAGTGTCGTAGTTAATAATATAGCCCTAGATAAGATAATCCAACTTACGGCTAGAGGAGTTGTTAGTCTAGTACCTATATTCTAGTTAGTCGACGACTTAGTTTCAGCTTTAGTCCGAATGTACGTACTAGACCGAGTAAGAGGAAAGCTCGCCGTTAGAGTTCTAACTAAAGTCGCTTATTAGACAATGTCTAAAGATGCCGTTAAGCAGATTATAGAATACGGCTTTAGATTTCCGTTCGTACTAACGGAAGACACAACTGAAGCCGCTTTAGTCCTAAACGAGGCTAATATACACTAGGAGTTCTTTATAGCTCGTCGAGAGTTATATAAGATCGTAGTCTTCGACTTATAGCACTTCGATCGTTCTAAAGCAGAATAAAAAGCATTCTATCGTCGGCGGGTCGAAACGATTTTAACTACTCTGTTCGAGAAGTTATACGGGTCGGCCTTCTACTCGCTATCTTAGATAAGTATAGTCGGTCGTTAGAAGTGTATATAGGCCGACACTGCTTTTTAAAAGAATTATAACGACTATACTATTTACGGAGTACAAAATCTCGTAGAGTACGTCTATCTCGATATAGTAAGGACTTCCTAATTACGACTAGACGCCGCGGCGTATCGAGCCGTATACGCTCGTCGCGTAGAGAAGATACTCGTATAAGGCAATACGAGCGGCTACAGTTAGCTAGATTACGACGAGACGCTTATAGCGCTTTATAAGACTAGGGACATTAACTACTCTCCCGACTCCTCTTTAGAATCCGGCAACGGGAGCGACAACGCAAATAAAGACGTAAAGATAGACGATAGATCGTAGAATAGCGAGGGTAAGGACGATAGTACCCCTAAGTAGGAACGTATCTTCGCAGATATTTAGCTATATAACGGAGAAGTCCTACTCTTAGAGCTAAGGCGAATTGTATGCGATATCTTGCTTCGCGACTTATAGGGCGAAGCGACGCTCGAAGCCGATATTATCGCTAGAGTTATCGAAGAGATCCGACATTCCGTAGACATCGAAGACGAGAACTCCTTAAGAGATCGAATTAGTACGGTACTATTAAAGAGTGTTTAGACCTTTCTAAGGCATATAGATAGTTAAAATACTTTCTATAGCCTCTATCCTAGCGTCGGCAGACAAGTAGGTATATCTACTCTCTAGCACTTACTATCCGACCCGAGAGAAGCGCTAGATCTTTAAAACGCTATCGACTATACGCTACGACTAATTATCTCCTAAGTACGGAAAAGTATAGCACTTAGAAAGATTAAAGATTTCGAAGATCTAGAAGGCCGTACGTTCGATTAAGTTCGCGCGTTTTATAGGAACTTTAGTACGACTAGTAGACTCCCTAAGAAAGTTACATCCTAGGTAGAGCTACGTAACAATATAGACCAAGTCTCGTAGATTCCGTATATATATTTAGGCAGTTCTAGAAAACAGTTCCTAGACCCCGAGGACGAAGGACAATCCGGACGTAGCGGCAATCTAGTACGTAGTTTACTATCCTAACTCGCGGACTCCGTCGAATAGTATAACCGCCCTATCGAGATTATGCTACTTTAGTCCGGACTAGACGGAGGTTCAACTAACAACGATATATAGCAGTATCTTTGTAGCACTTATCCGATGCTTAAATTCCGTCTTACTATCGTCTATAGCACTTCCCGCGTCTAGAATTCCAACCTCTTTTAGATAGATAGAGAGGAAGTATAGGCATCCTTCGATATTAATAAATTAGCTAGGCTATATACTAATGCTTTAACCGACAATAGTACAGATCCTAACTAGCCGGAGAACTATTTCCTCCTTGCCGTAATAGTCTACGATTACGTGCGATAGGATTACTATAGGTTAGTAGGCGACAAAGTTGCTATACTTTTAATAGGACGTATACGAAAGACATTCCCGCTAAACACTAGCGAGCAAGAATACGAGATCTATTACTAGAAGCAAATAGAGGGCAATATTGCTATTAAGACAATACCGTTAGATAGAATTTAGTCTTAAGGGATATTAAAGCTATTAGCTCTTCGCTATAACGCGCACTTAGAAGCGGAAGTTATAGCCTTCGACGGATACGAATTATTTAACGGATTCCTATACCTAGCGTATCGACGTCGATTTAATACCGAAGGAGACCTAAAGACATATAAGAGGTTGGCTTATAAGAAGTACGAAAACTGCCCTATAACATTTACGAGGCAAAAAGATCTAAAGAGCTATATAGCAATAAGTTGTAAAGGAATTAAAAGGGAAGCCGATTTTAACCTAAGATCTTTTAAGTGCGAGAACTGCCCTAAGGTATTTACGGTAAAACGAAGCCTAGCGATCTATATAGCAACAAGTTGCAAAGGAATTAAAAGGGAAGCCGATTTTAAGCTAAGATCTTTTAAGTGCGAAAACTGCCCTAAGGCATTTACGGCAAAAGGAGGCCTAACGAGGCATATAACAACAAGTTGTAAAGGAATTAAAAGGGAAGCCGATTTTAAGCTAAGATCTTTCAAGTACGAAAACTGCCCTAAGGCATTTACGGCAAAAGGAGGCCTAACGAGGCATATAATAACAAGTTGTAAGGGAGCAAAGAGGGAAGCCGATATTAGCCTAGAGACTTAGAAGTGCAGATATTACGCTCGAGGATGTATATAGAGTTAGTATATAAAAAGACACGAAGAATTATACAAAGCAAAGAGGTAATATCTCGTAATAATAATTATCAACAACAACTAGCTACAGTCGAGCAGACACACAAGCCACGCAACATCGCGAAGAAAAGTGCCTCCCCTCCTCACCCCTAGCTCGACAGCTCCTCCCGCAGCCACGAGCGCGCACGCCGCAGCTATAGAGACACTCTCTCCCATCGCCGCCGGTCTACCCACCGCTCGAGTTCGAGTCCGCACCCACGTCCAACGCCGCATCCTGCTTACCCTCGCTCCTGCTGCCCGACCTGTGCACCGTCTGCGCTCGCCGCATCAGTGGGCCTATATAGTCTGCCTCCAAAGCAGGCCCTTCTCGCAGGCTTTTTATAGAAATCCAGGGTCCAGCATACTACCTTCCATCTTCTAACCTGCCTTCCATCTTTCAACCTACCAGACCTTCCTTTCTATACCACACGTGTATATTAGCGTCGATCGGAAGCCGGCAGGACAAAAGCCTTCGTAAAGGGCCTGCAGCCGGAAGTACTAAATGTACTATCCGTGCACTACGCCTTTATAGGACTAAGATTGGTTTTTTGATCACATATTAACAACTATAACTCGGGTATATAAACACCTATAGAGCGGCCCCTCCGCTATATAGCGATCGATATATATCGTAAATAATATATAGACAAATTACGTAACTACAAAAGATGAAATTAGACAAAAGAATTAACATCTAAACGTTACGGTACTCGTAACTAAATAGATACAGTAACGATAGCTATATAGACTACCTATCACATTCTAAATAAGTAGTATCCCTCTTCTTTACACTACGAAATACCTCTAAGTATTCGTATGTTATAGAAGAGTCGCGTTATAGTATAGTACGCCGTCTTCGCAAAGCCCGCTTTTTAAGCCTATTTTTTACTAAATAATATGCCAAATTTGCGACGGAGTAGGTATAAAGATTCTAAGCCGGCAGATCGTCTCGATAGGTACTTAAGATAAAGTCTTCTAAGTACCTAGTAGTTGTATAGACGTCTTCCTATTATAGTAATAGGGTTGCTATCGCTAGTCGAAATTCGCAAACTAGCGGTATGTAGGTATCCGTCGAGCTTCCGACGGCAAACAAACAACGGCGGTATTAGTAGAAAGGTATTTTGGATCGTTTTCGTACCTGTAGGCATGTCGTAGAGTCCCTTCTTTATAGTGTTATATGTCTATCTCTTCTCGCAGCTATTCGAGTCGCATAGTAGTAGCTATTTACTACTAGCAACGCCTAGCACATACGTGAAAGCGTAGACCTTCTCGAATGACTTAGCTGCGTGTCGTAAACGCGCATGTGCTTAGTCCGTATGTCGCGTTTGCTGAATGCGCGTATTAAAAGCCCGCCTACTTTAACTAGAAGCTTCTAACACCGCTAATACTACGCAATCGTCCATTACGCGCAATAAGACCCCTATAACACTATTAGCTTGTCGCACTCGAGACATATATCTCTATTCTATTAGGGTTCGTATCCGCCGCCGCCGCCGCCGCTACTAACCCGATCTATATCTAACACTACATCTAACAAATCTAACACACCGCACTCGATACCGCACTCGACACCGCTTACTATAGGCAAGAAGTCTAAGGACAAAGCTAAGCGCGATGCGAAGGGTACCTCTTAGTACGACGTCGGCCGCCTAACTAAGGGTAGCAAGCAGAAGAAGAAGCATTACTCTTTCAAGGCTCGACTTCTAACCCGCAAGCTAATCGACCGTATATAGCTAGAATAGTCTAGTAATATAGAGCGCCTAGTATTGCCGCTAGATAAGGCACCCTTCTAGGACTAGATTAATCACTTCCGAGAGCGTATCGACAAGATTCTAATAATAGCACTCGAGGAACTTCAAATGTTAGTATTCGATGCTAGATACTACGACTAGGCTATAAGCCTTTAGCACGAGATCGTTAATAGGGGATTGAAGTATATATTAAACATCTTCTATCCTAGGAAGCAGTACGAAGCCCGGGATATCTAGATCGATGTGTTATAGAGTGTTATCTTTGTATATAAAGATGTAGTCCTTATCGAGCGTACTAGAGGCAGCAAGAGTCTTATATATTAAGCCTTTACGTTGTTAACTAGCTAGATTACTATTCAAATCATCCTACTTAATCGTATCGGTAAGGAATAGAAGGCAGATATCGAGTTTGCTATCAACCTGCTAGCGAAGAGCTTTAAAGTAGATACTAATGCCGCTTAACTAAGCGCTGCTAATGCCGCTCAACTAAGCGCTGCTAATGCCGCTTAACTAAGGAAGCAGAAGAAGACCTTAGTCCGTTACTATATAATCTCCGCCGAGACAAAGGCACTCGACCTACAGATATACTAGGACCTTGTTAACGGCTAGTATTACTATATCTTCTATAGCCCCGAGCAGGCTGCGTCTCTAGAGCTACGCGAGGTCTTCTTGCATCTTGCGTCTCGTATTAGGTTATATATTATCGATAAGGCGCATCTTATATACAAGTAGAAGAACTTCCGCGAAGCGTTCTCTTAGCTATACGAGCTACGCTTGCTATTGCCTGCCGATGTACTACTACTCTGTGCTTCGGCTATAGTCTCTATAGCTACGCTCGAATACCTGTTCGAGCGAACTAGTCTCCGCGAGGTAGGCGACGAGCTATTTAAGACTATAGTTACCCGTAGCAGTATCGATCGTATAGATATCTCCTATGTCTTTAAGTTTATTCTAAAGGAGGTTCTACAGGCAGACTTCCGCATGCTATAGTACCTCTTCCGTAACGCCGTCGATAAGGAGACTAGCTATGCGACTCTAGAGAAGATCTAGAAGTTTCTAGTATTTATCGATAGATATAGCACTGTCGACAAGTATATAGAAACCTTCCGTCGCTAGCTAGTTACCTTTACAGATAGAATCGAAGATCCGACTAAGAAGTATATATAGACTAGAGCTAATAGTAGTTATAACGTGCGCTAGGTCATCGCCTTCTATATAGCTCGTATATCGACTAACGATAAGAACCTACGGTATAAGGAGTTTAAGAAGACGGTAGACTATAAGACCCGCGGTATAGTCGGTACTCTAGCAACTGCAATCGGTACTAACGTCTCCGATATTCGCTACGTCGCATTATACGGTCTACCTATTACAAAGGACATTAACGATAATATCCAGAAAGCTAGGCGTACTAGCCGTGTATAAGAGGGCTCTAATGCTATCGTCGCTTAGTTCCTGCCCTAGTAGATTAACGACAAAGCTAGTCTTGTACTAGAGAATTCGAGTTATAAGTCTATCTTGTCGCGTTAGCGTATCGGTGCCGCAGCAGGTAGCGATATATACTCTGCTCCGCTATAGTTAGTCGTATATACCCTATTTCGCCCGAGCGGCTTACGTAATCAAGAGCTTCCTAGAGAGGGCTTTGCTAGAGAGGGCTTTACTATTAACGACGACGACGCTCCTGCTCCTACCGAGCGTCAAGGCACTATAAGTGCAAAGGCTGCCGGTAAGTAGCCTGTCCGTAGGAAGGAGAAGGATTAGACTATAGCCTAGATAGATATACGTAATAAGTTGCTAGATATCTAGCGCCTCTTAGTTAATAGCTAGTATATAAATCTACCGCGATGCCCTCGCGAGATTCTTAACGAGCTATACGAAGAGGATAAGAAGATGTATCTATCTAATCTAGTTAATAAGGATAAGTGCGACAACCTCGTCTGTAACCTAGCACTCTCTAGCCTTATTAAGTAGACTAACCGAGAGCCCTTCGAGATGCTAAAGCTACTAAAGCTACCGCGGGCTAATATAAAGTAGTCATTTGCATTGCCTATCTTAAAGAAATGGTTCGTATAGTAGGCTAATCGTTAGTTATAGTAGTAGGTAGGGGATACCGATAACCTATTCTTCGAAGCGACATCCTCTACGATTATCGATAACTAGTATGTATAGGAGCTTTGCGATGTTATACGGCACGAGGCTTTAGATAGCGATAATAATAGTAAGGTCTCGCCCCTTACGCGCTAGGATGTCTTCGATATAGCGCTAAGATTCGAGAAGTGGTATAATGCTTCTTCCGGTGCAAAGGAGCGTAAGGCGTAGATTAAGATGAACAATCTACTTAATAAGCTTCTACGTATATCGTCTAAGGTTTAGGATGCGTACGAGAAGCGTAAGGACGAGCTAGCGTAGAAGCGTACGAATAAGGACAAAGTACTACTAACGCCGGCAGCGATCTAGACTCGCCCCCTACTAGTATAGCTAACTACGCAAGACCGCTACGCTAATATAATCGCAAATAGTATTACTTCTACTAAGGCGTTTACACGACTTCGTATAAGTGCGGCCGTTAATAATGCTACCCGCGCTATAGCTTAGTAGGACAACCTAGACGACCTAGATTACGACAAAGAGGGGGATCGTAGCAGATCGAGCGAGCGCGGTAGTCGAGGCGGTCGTAGTCGTAGTCGTAGTCGTAGTCGTAGTCGTAGTAGTCGCGCTCGTAGTCGTAGAGGCCGTGCTAGTGCGGCTGCTAGGACTAAACGTACTGCTAGCTCTGCTATAGAGTCTTTAACTACTCCGGCTACGAAGGGACCTCGTTAAGAGCCTTTAGCTACCCCTAGTCGCCGCAAGCCTACTCCTACTAATGAATACGGTACACTAATCGACACTACAACCGCCTAGAGTCTCTTCGCTACTACCTATAAGACTATTCGCCGTAGTAGTAGAAGCACTACCGCTACTCGTAAGGTGCGCGAGAATGAAGCGGCGGCTACTACGGGCCTAAAAGGTACTCTAAGAGATAATAAGAGTAATAATAAGAGTAACGATAAGGTAGTAGAGAGCCTAACTCGCATGCGCGGCCTACGCGAGTAGGGAGGGGAGAGAAAGACTATATATATCTATTAGCGCTAGAATAGGCTTACTAGTAATGTTAGTATTTGCGTTAGTGTTAAGTAGTACGTCGATAGCTAACCTGTATGCTAGCTCCTTACTACTCTTCTATTATATTAGCGTAAGCCTGCTAAGGTAGGACGACATAACCTAAGTACTCTCCCTACTTATCGAAAACCTTACCCTTCTCCCTAACCGTAGCGCCGACCGCAAGATCTCGATCGCTATAGTAAAGTCTGCTAATCGGCTTGCCTTCGTACTCGAGAACATTTCCTTAGCTATTAATATAGAGGCGGGTAAGGACGCGAAGCTCGTTACTAGTACGAGGACATAGTTCTTTATATTTACAAGCTAGGTCGTCGTCTCTATAGACTATCTCCGCCTCGTCCGCGACGTCTACCTCGTCCGCGACGTCTACCTCGTCCGCGACGTCCACCTCGTCCGCGACGTCTACCTCGTCCGCGACGGCGTACAGAATGCTTTAGCGCTAAGCATAAATCAAGGTAGGCCGTCCTACTAAAGCCGGACCTCCCTACGAGCTAGCTACCGAGAAGCTGTTTCTAGAGTAGTTATAGTAGCGCTAGAGTACTAGTAATGTTAGTATTAAGTGGTTTGGAAGGGTAGTCTTAGTCGTCTATAGTAGCGCTAGAGTACTAGTAATGTTAGTATTAAGTGGTTTAGAAGGGTGGTCTTAGTCGTCTATAGTAGCGCTAGAGTACTAGTAACGCTAGTATTGCGAAGAAGTAGGAAGCGTAACGTCGAGGAAGTAGGAAGCGTAAATGCGAGGAAGTAGGAAGCGTAAATGCGAGGAAGCGACAAGGATATCGAGTCCCGCTAAGACCCGGATTTAGTATAGCGGAGCGGCTAATTAGTAGGATTAAACGTTACAGCTACTTCCTTCCGCGTATTAATAACACCGACTTTACGACTTTTACGACTTTTACGACAGTATATTACTAATATAGCGAGATACGTCGATTGAGCGCATTTCTAGCAAAGCGCGCTAGCAAAAGTGTCTAACACGATAACGACGGCCGCCTTAGGCACGAAGAACCGCCTCTAAAACAGCCTCTAAAACCACTAACACTACTAACACTACTAACACTACTAACACTATACTTATTGCACCGCGTGCTATTATAGGCACTACAATATATATAGCAAGGATAGGTACGTAGAGCAATAACACGCAAGGACTATGTCTAGTCGTCGGTTAATGCCCTCTATGCTCAGATTCTCCCTAAGATACGATCTACTAGAAGACCTTAGTTGCTATAAAAGACAGAGAAGAAAGAACAGTTACGTCTAGGGATCTAATAAACTAGCGGTCTAAGAGCCTGCTAAGAGCATACTACAAGAACACACTAGAAGCACACATTGCCTATAAACTATAAAGGTTCTCAACGCAGTCTATTACTAACTATAGCACCGAGGTGTGTAGAACGGGTACTTATTAAGCGAAAGCAATACTAGCGAACTCGTACCGAGGATTAGTACGAGTTACTAGGTGCCAACCTGCACTACCTAGAGAATACAAGGTTGAACCGCGCCCGAGGAGTTATAAAAACAGCAGTTTGTTTGCCCTATAAAGACGTCTTGCTTAAGGACGCCTGTTCGTACCGCGGAACTATAGCATAGGGATCCTAGAGACTATATCCGACATCGTACGCTCCTAACACTAAAGGTAGAAGATCAAGACGATTATAGCTGTTAGGAGGTCTAGATTCGAACTGAATCGGGATCTAAGAGACTAACCTATACATTACGCTAAGCTTAACTAGATACGTGCTCGGGGAGCTATTATCCTATAAAGAGCCGAACGTAGGAAGCCTATAGCAATAGACAAGAAGACTACCTACTACGAACAGTAATACTACGAACCTATCTGCTTATTAGGGTGTGCGTTAGCTTACCTTACTAAAGAGTTTTCACCTCGGCGCCTATTAGAGCCCACTCCTTAGGACAGTCGCGTTCGCAACGTCTCGCGTCGGCGAAGCCTATTAGAGACCTCTACAGTTACACCTAATCTGCGATTAATTCCTAAACCCACTCGCTAGGAGAGTCGCGTCCGTAACGTCTTGCGTCGGCAAAGCCTATCGGAGACTAAAGGAAGGACTAAACAAACTATACCTGTCGAGGGACCTTAACTATTCGACAAGCGGCTCTATCGGTAGCAAGCCGTAGAACTAGCGAGGAAGTAGTATTAATCGCTATAGAGCCACCTACATACGACAAAGAGGTATCGACGCTATTACTATTAGAAGCCGACAGCTAGTGTGTTGCTAGGGGTAGAGGTATGTATATAATAAAGAAGAAGAAGAACTTGTTAGAAAGCGGAGGTCTATATACGCCGCGCAGGTGAGGTTCGCCTTTACTAATAGTATTGCGCCATTTATACGATAATAGCAAAGTAGCAATAACGGCTATGCATAACCGCACCTATTGTTAACCGCACCTATTGCTAAGGCTATAGCCGCCGACTGCTGCTAGTTGAATGCCTAAGGCTAGAATTGCCAGTAACTAGAGGTATAGGCAAGGACTTCGCATTAGGCTATAGCTGGTTTATTATACGCCAGCTCTCGCAGAAGCAGCTCTCGTAGAAGCAGCTCTCGTAGAAGCAGCTCTCGTAGAAGCAGCTCTCGTAGAAGCAGCTCAACCAAGCATCCTATATCCTAGGGCTAGTCTACTATACGCTAGCTCTCGCAGAAGCAGCTTAACTAAGCATCCTATATCCTATATAGCTATTACACGCTAGCTCTCGTAGAAGCAGCTCAACCTGCGCTAAGGATTAACGTCTAATAAAATTATATAGTAATAGGATTCGGAATAGCCTACCTACGGTCGATAATTACAACGACTATTTAGAATGTGCTCTACGCTCGGTAGCCGACGTAGCTCTTCGCTCGAGTTATAGAAATTACTAGAGGCCTCCTTTAGCATCTGATTAATAGGCGCTCTAAATTTATATAGGAACAGAGACCGCTACTCCGACTAAGACTCCGACTGCCGCTAGTTAGAGTAACGCTAGTTATTAAGCTATTATCGTACGCCTAGCTAAACCCTTCGACTTTATAAGCATCCCCGACGAGGTACGCACTCTAGTCTACCGCTACTACTTCGCCGCTAACCGCCTAGTCTACGGAGCTACTAAGCTATCAAGCTATTATCGTACGCCTAGCCAAACCCGCTACTGCTTCGCCGCTAACTGCCTAGTTAACGGAGCCATTTGTCGACGGTAAGCGCACTACGACTAAAGAGCTATTTGCTAAATCAATATATAGAGACCTCGACTTCCCTTCGGCTTCGGGCGTATTCTATAGGGCAAGGACTTCGCATTAGGCTATAGCTAGTTTATTATACGCTAGCTTAACTAGGCATCCTATATAGTAAGGGACGATAACTAGACGATAGATATAGCAGGTTAGATTGCTACGTACCTAGATACCGAAAAGCTATTTTTATAATAGTGCTCTGTTCTAACCTTATATACTACTAATTACATTCAAGTTATCGTCTAGCGCATCGAGATTAACGAAGCCTTTATCGTTAACGAAGCGGTCGTTAGCATCCTCGTCGGTAGCTATTAGGCTCGTACCCGGACTACGATTAAGCTCCTAGACCCGCTTACAGGCATTAACGCCGTCGATATTGTCGATTCTATTAACCTCGGTCTCGTCGATATAGGCAGTAATACGACTAGCACGTAGCTTAACTAATGCGTTCTAGTCCTTAATAATCGATAGTAGCTTCTCGATACTAATCTGCTTAACATCGATCGAGAGGCTACGAGTCTCCTTAACTCCGTCTACTGTCTTTATTAGCTTAGTTAACCCCTTACTAAATAGCTTGTCTGCTAGGAGGAACTAGTCGACAACGTCGCTCTTATTCGTATAGTAGTTAGTACCCTCAAAACCGATACCCTTCTAGAAGACGTTACGGAAAACACGGGCAGCACGGCGGTTTAGCGCTTTATTGCGGATAGTAGCGGCAATATCGTATATCGAGTTAGTAACATTCTTAATGTCCTCGGAGTATTCCTTGTTATAGAGCTTAATCTCCTCGTCGCCTGCGACACCCTTACTACGCTTACTAGATAGATTAAGAACAGCTATAGCTATAATACTATTACGGAGGTCCTTATCGGAGGCCTTTAGCATCTATAAGAGCTAGACTATTTCTTTAGCGTAGTTAGACTAGCCGCTACTAGCGAAGTCGATACACAAATATAGAATTATACGCTCGAGCTAGCCTATATCTATCTTGCGGATAGCATCCCGAACGATAAGCATATTCTCGGTCTGCTTAAGGAGGCGGTATATCGTAGTAAACGATAGGTCTTTAACGACGCCCTCTCGGTTCTTACTAACCCAAGCCTCTTTACTAAATACGGTCTAGTAAATAGCTTCTACGATTTGAATATATAAGTCCGGCTTCAGTTTCGCGACAGCATCCTTAACGGCATTAATACGGTTCCTCTTCTTGTTCTCGGGCGATATGAAGTCGATAAGGCTACGCTTACTTAGCTGTTAGATATACAGGCTAAGTACACGACTAGTATAGGAGCGCTTAGCTAGCTAGAGGTATAAGAAGAACTTCGGATTATCCCTGCTTATACCGTTTATAGTAAACAGGATAGCGTCGCTACGTACCGTATAGGCGAGGGGCTTGTCGTCCTTACCGGTATTCTAATAGGTCTTTAACGGGCTATAATATGCATTTATACTAATATAGAACTAGCCTAGGCAATACACTAGCCAGTCTCGGCGATCGAAGGTATACTAACTCTCGATGCTCTGTATCTAGACCGCACGACTACGGGCATTTGTTATCTAATTACTAACGACTAGGAAGAGTCGCTCTTCGAAGTCCTTGTCTTCGTCTAGGTTAAGGTTGTTAATAAAGATGTCCTTCTATACTTCTATAGTGCCGGCAATAGAGACCTCGTTATATATCGAGATTTTAAGCGGAAGGATATTAGCAGGCTTATTAACCTTAATCTCGTCGATATATAGCTATGCGAACCGCTAGGTAGCATAGGCCCTAACTCTAGAAGTCCTATCGTTAAACTTGAAGCCCTTAAAGACATCCTTTAAGTCCTCTCCGATAGCAAGGCTAATCGCTTTATCGATAAGATATAGCGATATCGCCTTCTAGTACTTGTCCTTTAGCATCTTCTTAATTAGGTCTATCGGCTCGAGTTCTATATCCTAGTATAGCATATCCTTCTTTAGACTAGTCTTCGGCAAGCGCTTATTAATAGCGATATAGGAGCTAGTTATATTCAATATAGCTAACTTGTCTCCGATAGTCTAAAGCCCTATATACATTATCTTCTTAACGATATTGTCGTACGTCTGCGTAGATTGCGGGTCCTTAGCTATCTCCTAGGCCGCCCTAACCTGCTCTTTCGCATTCTGCTTAATTAAGCCCCGGATAACCTTTAGCGATACATAGAGGCCTATATTATTAAGGACGTTAATAACGGCATGCTAATACCGCTAGTCGCTAGGTATATACCAAAGGCGTTGCCGAAGTAGTTGGCTTTCTTTAAGGCGATAGAACGTACTGCGATTATAGTAATAATCGTAAACCGCTTTTGTATACGCTTAGTCTTGTCTTCTAGTCGAGAGTGCGCGCTTGTAATATTGTACTTCTAGTTCAATAACAGGTCCTTCTTAAGGAGATATGTCTAGGTTAGTGCTATCGATTTGATATCCTAGAAGACAGCCTTAATATCGATAGGCTCTATACTCTTTGCTAGATCGTACTAGCCTATAAATAGATGTCCGATAAGGTGTTTTAGCTCGGAGCGAAAGATACGGCTACTACTGAATCTCTCCTATAACAAAGGCCCTTCGATTAACTCCTTTATACGACGCTTATGTATCGCCGTACTATAATTACTAACCTAGAGACCGACGAACTCAACGGGTAGCATACGGGCACGGCGCATCTCCGTAAGGATGTCGGTGTACTTCTCTTCCTTAGTGCGTCGTAGTGCGCGTAAGCGATTATCGGCGATAGTAGGACCTAGTATAGTAGCAGCGGCGGCGGCGCCTTGTCGGGTTGCTAGCACGCGAGTAGGGGCAAGCTTATTATCGTTATTATCGTATCTATCGCCTTCGCCTAGCTCGAAGTCGCTATTAGATCTAGTATAGTAGTCTTACTAGTTATCTACCTTATCTTCCGAGTCGCTAATCTCAACGCTGCCCTCGTCGTTAAGGCCTGCTTCTAAGTCTAAGTCTAAGTCTAAGTCCGAGTCGTTAGAGCTACTATTATCCCCTTCTACGTCTATCTCGTCTTCTAGATTATCGACATCTGTATCTTCTAGCTTATTATATATCTCCTTATCCTGTATCTAAGCCGCGATATCTAATAGCGGGTCTAAGAACGGTTTAGCATCGTCGCTAGTTAGATTGCCGAAGGCGCGAGTAACGTTACTTATATCCTTGTTCGATATCGCGGGTATAGTCGAGGCTGTTTTAGAAGTATTAAAGCGTACGGAAGTGTTAAAGCGCAAGTAAGAGTCGGAAATAGAAGCGTAAGCAAGAGTGTTTGCTATGCGGGTAACGCACGGATATACGCGTGCTTATAACGCGTGTCTTTTACATACTATATTGTCTTATAAAGATTGCTAAATTGGTGAAGTCTTAGTATATAGGATAGGCTATTCCCTCGATAGGCTATATCTTAACGACGCAACGCATTTAGAACGTCGCGTACGCGGCAAATGAATCGCTATGTCTTGCTCTACAAGCTCGATATAATATATAGATATATTTAAAAAATGAGATCTATGTTAGTAGGGCGGGCGGCTAGCTGCGTACCTAGCTGCACCTAGCTAAGCGAAGTAGCTTTAGCAGATTGACAATAACTTAACAACTACACGTCGCATGTACCTGATTTTTATATATACAAGCTCGCAAATGCCTACGCTATAACATGCACCGATAATATTTATATATTTCGTAGTAGTTGTTGAGATTGCAACCTCGTAGTGCAGGATTATTATACTAAGTACTTTCGGCAGCAGACCCTTGCTAACACAAGGTGCTACCGCAACTATTATTACATACCGAGATAACGCTAATCCTGGAATAGAATACTGCGGGATCCACATGTTTGTTTTGCTCCTGCCTACCTGCCTACAAGTGGATGGATGGATACAATACACACCTGCCTAGGGATGTGGCATCTTGGTAAGCAAGGGTCTGCGTGGAGACAGCATATAGTCCACCACTCTCGCCAACCTGTGGCCGTAACTGCAACTTTGCCTAGAACCATTATGTCTACCCAGACCACGCAGAAGAGGACGCACGCGGGGCATTCGCATAGACATGGACATCACCACCATTATGCTGACAATGCCTATCTTACGAGCATAAACAAGAATAACCCGGGCGTACGAATCACTCGCGTGGGGCTTTATATCAATCTTGGAATGGCTATTGCTAAAGGTGCTGGTGGATACGTTTTCAATTCTAAGGCGTAAGTCTCAACAACTACCCTGCACTATATCAAAGTGACAAGTGTCCGTATGCTGCGACTTCGAGCAGAGCACTATAGCACTCGGAGTATTCTAAGACTCGAGCTGACTGTATACTACAGCTTGACAGCTGATGCTATACATTCCTTGACCGATCTCATTTCAGACATCACCACTCTCGCTACTATCTCGTGGTCTCTCAAGCCAGCAACATCCAAATATCCCATGGGATACGGGAGTGGTGGTAGTGGTGTTGATGTCTGAGGCCAAAGCGGTGACGAAGAGCTCTCAACGGGGGGCGCAAGACACACCGAAAGGTAACAGCTAACAGCATGCAACGCCTGGCAAAGCCAAAGCCAGACAAGGCTCGCAGAATAGACTCTCAACTCTGTCCAGCTTGGCGACAGTCAAATCTCTGGGCGACCCGGCGACATTATTAGGTTCAACTGCAGCCGTTCAACTACCTAAATCTTGCCCTGCACTCGTAATATCATATGTATGCACTATGCACGCTATCTGGACCGCGTGCGACATGATCACACTTGACCTTTTCCGCCAACGTCGGGGGTTTCCCTCACATCCAACTGTTCGTTGTAAGGAGCTGACCCGACAAAGCTCCTTTCCAGACTCGTCAGCTGCCAGTCTCGGTGGATATCGGAATGGTAGTCTGTGTTTACGGCTGCCGAAGAGCCGCCTTTACCTATCTATTACTCTTCCTTCTACCACGCCTCTAAGTAGTATCGTGGCGTATAGGAGTGGCTGGTCGAGACAGTGATCCCTCTGATTTGTGACGCGTTTTACCAAATGCGCCTCAAACTCTGCTGCTACTCTATTTACCTGCGAGACACATTTCAATGCTTGATGGTGCTTGACTCCCTGCCGGATTGTGAAGCGTTAAGCTCGGCCACGCCATCTTCATGATATAGAGCTTTGTTCATGGCGCTGAAGCAGGTCGTACGGCGCTTGACTCAACGTGCTGGCCTCTCTATTGGTACAATATACTCTACAGTACCTTGCTCCGAGCCATGTGGTGGAGCCGGTGGTAGCGCCTTTGATATATGCATGTCATGTCGTTTCGTCTCATTTATGGCTTCTCCGTGCCTGGACCCTCGTAGTTGCGGTCAGGGAGGTACAGATGTCGGATGGCTCCCTTCGCAGTCAACACCACCATGCGAATGACACCTCCAGAGCTTCCATCCCACTTGATGGCCTCCTGTAATGCGCCCTTCACGAACTTGATGCCCTCTTCTTCAGTCATGCCTTCTCGCCAGTGTGCATCGCAGTAACCGTAAATGTATGTCGATCCAGATCCACCGATAGCGTATGCCTGCTTGTGTAGAGAACCACCCAGTGGGATGGAGTAGACCTGTCCGCCGTGCCTGTGATCCCAGCCAGCGATGATGATGCCCGCGCTGAGTGCATCCTTGTTCTCGTAGCACAGCTCTTGAAATATGGCCGCGGCGGTCTGTGTGGTCGGTGCTTCGTCGTTCGTTATGCCGTACATGCCCAAGTGGTATTGCACGATATCTGCAACCGCTTGCGTGTCTGCTGCTGATCCCGACCGACAGCACCATATCGTATCGTGGACTTGTGTGAGCTTGTCCGTAACTCTGTTGGCGATGTATGCGCCGGTCGTGGTTCTGCTGTCTGCGCCGAGGATGACACCGTCCTTGAAGTTGATGGCCATGATGGAGGTTCCGAGGTTCACTTCGCCAGACTTGAGGTGATTCATGTCGATGTGGATGCCATCTATCCAATGTCTTAGCCTGATATTGTTGGAGCGCTACCTATAGTGTTCAGCTCACCTTCACCGAGCATGCCCGTCTGGTTGATCATGATGGCGGGGTTCTTGGACAGTCTCAATGTTCAGTGTATAGTATGGCGCAGGATATGCTACGGTCGTTTGTGTGGAGGAGCTTTGGTGAGCTGCGGCGATGGAGGTGATGGAGCAAGGCGAGGTGTTTGTTAGATGGAGGCTGCCACACGATCGCGCGTCAAGCTCTAGGTCGATCCCGTCCCGATCCCGCTGCGAATTGTGGCCCAAGCTCAACCCTGGAGTAGGTAAGGTATTGGGCCATCTTTCCCACCACACACCACTACCCACAAGCTCCTTATAATGATCGCCTTTGACTAGGAGGCTTGATCTGAGCATCGCGATCTTTTACCTGAGCTCGCTTTTCCACGCACGACCGGCACCATGGCTGCCTCCATCTGGCCCTGGTTGCGGCTCCCTTTCTATGCGAGTTCGGCGCTCGTTGCCCTGGGCAGTGGTGCCCTCTATTACTTCCAGAACGAGATCATATACCCTCGCAATCTCCCGCCTGGTGCACGAACAGAAGTCCCAAAGCCTGGTCAGTTTGGAATAGAAGAATTCGAGGAACTCTCAATACCAACGCCTGATGGAGAAACCTTGCATGCGTTTCTGGTGAAGCCTCCAAACAAGCCCCAAGCAAGACCGATCACCATTATCAGCTTCCACGGGAACGCAGGAAATGTCGGGCACCGACTTCCCATTGCCAAGGTCCTTGCTCACGATCTGCAATGCACGACTCTGATGATGGAATATCGTGGTTACGGCCTCTCCACCGGCAATCCGAACGAACAAGGACTTGCAATCGATGCGCAGACTGCTCTGGATTTCATCCGGAATCGTGCAGACCTGAAAAGCAACAAAATCGTGGTTTATGGCCAGAGTCTTGGCGGTGCCGTTGCCATTGACCTGGTGAAGAAGAATAAGGGCACGGGTGACATTAAGGGCCTTATGCTGGAGAACACCTTCCTCAGCATCGCAAAGATGATCCCCAAAGCAGTACCGCCGGTAAGCAGATCACTTAGTGCGAGCTTTGCCATCACCACTCGGCGCAAAAAGCAACTGCGCTATAGCAACAGCACTTCCTTCGGCCTTCCCAGCTCACAATCGCTAACTCTCTTCCCAGGCCAAATACCTCACACCACTGTGTCATGAATACTGGCGAAGTGAGAACCTGATACCAGAGATCACTGATGTACCAATTCTGTTCCTCAGTGGTCTTCGGGATGAAATTGTGCCGCCCTCTCACATGAAGGAGCTTCTAAAGCTTTGTCGGTCACCTAAAGTCATGTGGAAGGAGCTACCGCATGGGGACCACAACAACACAGTTGCCGAGCCTGGATATTTCATGCATATTGACGAGTTTCTGGAGCGCTATGTTGCCAAATCCTAGGAGGACGATGCTTCGCAAGCGCAGGACTCGTCAAAGCTTGCACAGTCGGAGCAAGCGATTTCAAGCTCATCAAACGAAGACATTGAAAAGCCTTGGGAGCCGCCACCCGAAGACGAAGCCATAGGTCTGCATGAAAGAGCGTCGAAAGCCAGTTGTGCCGTATCAAATTCGCCACCAGCTGGTAGAAGTAAAGGATGCGATCCCTCGATAACCAGGTGAGACTGTCCATAGTCAGAGAGCTTTACTCCATGCGCGAAACCAATTTGTGCACTTGCCCAGATGTAAATACGGAAAGCTTGAGCACTTGAGCAGATGTCTACTCAACCCTCGGACGACGTGAGGCCCAACGAACTGGATAAATGACTGAAAAGGTGCTATTCCGGGCTGGCACGTTCCATTCTCAACGCAGAAGCTCTGTCGACATAGCAAATACTGTCCAACGATTGGTCCATGCTGGAGGGCCGATACTTTGAGGTATAGTATATGTTGAGCTGTTGCAGCGTGATGCGCTCAAAGCTGCCCACCTGATGGAAGGCATTTCAATGGCAAGCATTTTCGTTATGGAATACGTCATGCGAACTCTATATACATCATGGAGAACAACAAGCTATAGACATGCCACGACAACAGTCAAAAGTTCAGCTTCGAAATGTCTTATCCTCGCGACATCGTCGACAGAGCACAAAGAGGAGATCTGATACTCGTTCGCCCGTCGCCATACAATGAACAGCTGGATCACTACAATGACCGACTTCGAGTGCCCTCCCCTCGGTTGCTCATGGTTCAGACGACCTTTGAGCCTCAAACCGGCGAGACATCGAGGACCGTCAACGTCAAAGACATTACCGACATGGTCACAAGGCCTGTAGACTACGAGACCATTGAAGAATATTCGCACAGACTCCACCAGCAACTGAGAATTACTCGGGCTGCAGTAGCCGCAGCTTCAGGCGTTGGCTTTGGACTTGCCAATTACTTGCACGAGTACAACGTGGTGTTCCACGAGCCTAGTGACAATGCGATCCGACAGATACTCTGGCAAGGTCACTCTAGTTGCTTGAACAGCGATTGCGAGGAAGGTTTCTCGTCAAGAGCCAGCGTCTATGCTCGGTACCCCGACTTCGCCGAGGACATCAGCTTAGCTACTGTCTCGCACCTGCAAGACTTAAGGGGGTCTGGTTCACGTCTCATGCTTTGCCCCGACTGCCATACCTATAGGGTGGTTCTCCAACAGGAACGCGCATTTGGCTCGTGCCTGCTCGGGCTCTTGCCGGCACGATCGCAGTTGCAAGCAATTTTCTACAGCCTAAGCCGTCTACGAGCAGAACTCGGGTACCGACCCATCTCACAGGACATTTTCCTCCGATCTGCACACGCAGTCATCACGCCTTATCCGCCCCGCGACTCGTTAGCCGCTCGAGCAGCGTTTGAAGGACCTCCTGCGACTCTGGTGACTCTTGGCAATGACTTCAGAGCTCTCGGTCCTCCAACTGGCGCCGGTGCTTCTCGAGATCAATCGGCCACCGGCTCTAGCTCACGCACAGGCTCAGACTCTTCTGCTGGCAACACTTTACTATCTCAAATCTCCAGCCTATCTCTCGATCCAGCCTCAGTTTCCGATGATCTTTCTTCCACCGACAACTTCCCGAACAGCGTCGAGTTCAACCCAAATCCCGCTATAGCTCGGCGTCCAGTCTCGCTTGCCATCTGGCTGTCCCTGCCGAAGCTTTTGCTGACGCAATTTGATCGAGATGACGATGCATTTGACGAGGAATGTCCAATCTGTTTCGAACAACTGAGAGATTGTGCCGAAGGTGTCAGGATTGTTCGGCTTTCGTGCAGACATCTTGGCCATGAAGATTGCCTGGGATGTTGGCTCAAGGACCAGAATACATGTCCGAAGTGTCGAAGACGGATCGAAGAGATGGCAGCGAACGATTTCGAATGACTATGTGAGATGAACTGGATTAGGGCTACAGGAGCTTGCTTTGTGGGCTGATTGCAGAGTGTACTGGCTCAGCGCCATGGGAGGAATGGTATGGAACTTGTGTAGGTACTCGAACTTGTAACATCAGCCTATCTTCTCAAGCCTTTTCATCTAATTCGCAACAACTTTCCTCGTTTGATGATGACCGGTGATGTCGACCTTGGTCAAGTTAAGCATGTGACTCACGCAGACTTCAACAGCCACTCACTTGCGATAACAACAAAGTCGCCTTCTTGCATTTGGTCACACCTTCGCATCAATCAACAACACCTTCTTTGTTGCATGTAATGATCTCTTCTCGTCAAACACCTCCTCCTCCTTCCGCGTCCGACTGCCCACATCGAACACCATGGCAGAGCTTCACGACCTCCTCCACACCCTGCCACAAGAGCTCTTTGACAAGATCTACGACATGACGTTCGCCGTCAACCCAGCTGCGACCATCGCTGTCGATGAGTCCTACAAGCCTCCGGTCCAGCTCCAGATCAGTCGCGCCACTCGGGAAGACTTCGCGAAACGCTACTACGGCTCACAAGCTGGTTTTCGCAGCAAAGACATGCGCGACAGAAAAGTCTTTCAATGGCTGTCTAATCTGCCCGCGAACCACCAGAGACGCATTAGTCGGATCGATTTGGCCACTTTTCGACACTACACCATGCAGTCAAGAGACGTGAAGATGTACCTCCAGATCGTCAACAGTGTGGGCATTCGAAACCGGGATGTTCACCTGAAGTCTCGATCGGTTCTCCAGATTGGATTTGTAGACACGGCCACGGGCGAGGAGATGTACATGTCTGCTAAGGGTCCGGTAGCGCGGCAGTGAGGTCGAGCGGCCTGACAAAAGGGCTGGTTGAGGTGAGTCGACTCGACCGTTGGCTAGCTTCACCGTTGGAGTTGAGTACTGATTCGCTCCAGATTTCTCTGCACCAGCGCGAGAGAATTGCAACTTCATTGTGCCAGCAAGATCCTGCACGTGGCAAGGTCTCACGATAGCTACGGCGCGCAGACGGAGAAGCCTTTGCGAACAAGCAGCAGGAGGGTGGAGGTGGTAATATTTCGACCCAGGCAGAAGGACACGGTGTACGAGAGATCCACCCACAGCGGAAAAAGAGCCATCATATGCTTAGTAGTCTTGGTAGAAAAAGAAAGCCAGTATGAACCAAGAGCTCACGGGAAGAAGGCGAAGGCACAGCACAGGCATCACCAGAAAACACCAGAACCTCAAGTCTCAGATCCTCATAAATTCATACACTTCATCACTCATCATAACTTAACCTTCCCACTCTTAAGATCCTCCCAATCTCCCCTCCCATACTCCCTATACTCACCACTACCAGGCGGCAACCAAAACAACCTATCTTTACTCCCACTCTTCTCAATCAAATCCAAATCCACCCCTTCCCTCTTCGCCTGCCCCTTCTGAATCTTAAAAGTCCCCGTATAACTCAACTGCGGCGCAACCCTCAAAAAATACGGAACCGCATACCTCGGCAACCTCTCCAACACAAACTTCCCCAAAGCGCGACAATCCAACCGTTCCGGCGTCAACCCCTCTCTCAAAACCACCGTCGCACACCCACACCTTCCATCCGCATTGGGAACCGCAACACCATAAACATTAGCCTCAGCAATCTGTTCAAACTGTCCCAGGACATCTGCGACCTCATTCGTCGAAACATTTTCAGATTTCCAACGAAAAGTATCACCGAGACGATCCACGAAAAAAACCCGCCCGTCGCCATCCTGTCGTTGAACATCTCCACTCCGAAACCATAAATCTCCGGGCTCGAAAACATCGCGTAACCATCGCTTCTGACTCGCAGAAGGATTTTTGTAGTAGCCTTTGAAACTCGCTTCCATAGCTTCGGGTGTCGGGTCGACTTTATGTAGAACTTCACCGGGTTCGTTTGTTCGACAGCGCACGACGAACCCGGTTTTGGCATCTCGGATTAGTTCTTCTGTGTCCGGGTCGATGCGAGCTCGGACTTCTTTGTGGCTCATTTTCCAATTCCATAACGCGCCCCTGATGCCGATGGCGTTGCGGCCGAAGTCTCCGCAGTTCCAATTGAAAGTGGCGCCTAGACCGTCGGTTGCGGCGTAGAGTTCGTTGATGATGGGGATGTTGAAGCGTGTGCGGAAATTTTCCCAAACGTCGGGACGCATGCCGTTGCCCCAGGCCATGCGTAGTTTGTGTTTTCGTTCGAGCGGGTGGATGGGGGCGTTGAGGAGGTAGCGACAGAGTTCGCCGACGTATTGGAGGTGTGTTGCTCCGCTTTGGGAGACTTCTGGCCAGAAGGTTTGATGGGAGAATTTTTTGCCTAAGCGCATTGCTGCTCCGGAGTAGACTACGGGTGTCGTGCAGAGGCCTTGTGCTGCTCCGTGGTAGAGTGGTAGGCAGGTGTAGAATTTGTCGCCGGGTTTGATCTTCAAGTATGCGGATACGTTCTTTGCTGTGTTGATGCCTCTTCCTGTCATCATCATCACGCCTTTTGGGAGACCGGTTGTGCCAGAAGTGTAGATTAGACTTCGAATGTCCTGAGGACTGATACCAGAAGTTCGTGATCGTGGGAGAGGTGTTGAGTCTCGACAATCCTGTGAGATTGAGAGTTCATCGTAGTAGACGATCTTGACGCCAGCGTTGGTGAGATCTTCTCTGCATGGTTCGATACGTTCTGCGGTTTCTCGGTCGGCGAGTACGTATCGGCATTCGCAGAGCTAATAAAGTAATCATGTCAGCGTCGTACTCTATGGCAGATCAGGATGCTCTCGTACCTTGATACAATGTGACAAAGCATTACCAGTCAAATTGTGATTAATAAAGCTCTGACATGCTCCGAGACCTTCTAAGGCAAACCACAACAGCAGGTATTCCGCGCTATTTGGACCGTTGAGTGCAACCATCTCGTCACGTTGTATACCCAAATCGTTCATTAACCAATTGCCAACTCTTTGCAGGTCCTGGTAGAACTGCTTGTATGTCCATGTTCGTCCTTGATATTCTAGAAACGTATGATTCGGTATATCCTTCTTTGCCCAATTCTCAATGTCGTGGTAGAGCAGCAGCTGGTCCTTCTCAGCTCTTTCTTGCATGAACTTGGCAGCGGCTTCGGTAGCATTGTCCAATCCACCCTTACTGATATCCGATCGAATATGGTATTTCGCATCGAGATACGCAGCCGCGGCCGCAGCCCCTGCAATCGTAGCCGCAATAGCTTTTGGCTGTCAGCTCTGCAAGAAGCGGTCTCAATCGACAGCACCTACCAGCCATGTCGAAATGGTAAGCAATGCTCGCGATATGATCTATGAGTTTCGAAAAGCACCAATCGCAGTATACGAGCTCGCACAGAGCTTCCAAGAGTAAAGTGAGACAGTTGAAGAATAAACACTTGCCAGATAGATCCCTCGGTTGTACTACAGGTGACGGGATGTATAAACCCAGATGCGGGGATAAGTGGTAGGGTTCAGTGTTATGTAATAAACACGGCATCGTGTTGCAAGCTTTCTGGAGGAACCGCAATTGCCGAATCCAGCGCAGCCGCAATATAAGAAGACCAAAAAAGGTCTGTCACAGCAGAGACAATTCACACCGTACCAGGCTCTTTCTCGTATCAAATGCCTTGGAATACGGCCTGGTACGAATCGTGCATACTTCCTGGTACCATTTGGCAAAAAAGGCGAGCAATCCTAGTCCCAGACTTCAGTGTCAGCTGGCACGACTCGGAGCGACAAAGCTTTCGCTGCGACAAGGGAGGGCGCTTCAGATTCCAGTTTTGTCAGTCCGTCGGAAAATGTGGCCATTATGGATAAGAAGGAAAACACGGTTCCTGTCTAGAGAGCGTAGGACCTCCGTTCCATGGAGCTCGTCCTCGGAGAACTGCCTGGCCATGATGACAGATATAGCACGAGCAAAGTCCTGATGCGTTTCCGTTGGCGGTAGAGTCCGCATAACCGCGAGAGCACTTGCCATGCTCTTCGGTAGCCTAGTCGTCCGTTCGTTATTTCATGTTTCGCCTAGTTCAGGTCAGCGTGAAATCACGACAATACGAAACACGAGCATCCTGGTATCCTGGACCCGAATGCTAGCGGATGCCACCGAGGCCGTGTTTTTACTTACGCTGCAGCTGTTAAGGCTGCCCTTCCATGAGCTGTTCGCTTTGCAACCTCGGCGCGGTCAAGAACTTTGCCCGAGACCAGTCTATCGTGAGAATCAGCAGACCGCTTCTGTTACCGTCTGGACGCCTTACTCCTGTTCGCTACGAGCGAGGACGTTTTCGATCACCTGTTTTGTCACGCCTAGGTCCTGGTCTGAGTCAAGGAACACTGCTCCAAATACAGCCTGGAAGGAAGACAGGTCAGTGATCAACTTCGCTGCACAAGTTCTGTATGAAACAACAAAATTGTCCTACCTCGACCATGGTTGCAACTGCTATCTTCGAGGCCTTGATGTTTGGCTCTCCATACTTCGCACGTCCGGCTTGGGGAATGGTGGTATCCATGGCTTTCGCAAGCCCGTTGTTCCAGGCAGTAAAGGCTAGGGCAGAATTTGAGGATATGGAGTCAAAAGGACCATTCAGACTTCCTATCCAGGCGTGAGCATGATAATTGCCGGCGCTTATGCAATCAATATCACGCTTTACCTTCTGTAGTATCTGGAAAATTGTGTGTGAAGTATGCCAGCCTGAGCAGCGAATCGCCGATGATAGCAAGTTGGCTCTGGCATCTGTAGATGGGCTCGCCATGAAGAGGAGCGTTACCAGGACGCAGCGCAGCCTTCAAGTACTCATCGTCGCGGAAGTTGTAGCCCGTAATCGCCTCTGCCGTGGCTTTCCGCGCGTGGAAGTTGCTGTATGATTCTGTCTCTAGGGGAGGCGTCTGAGGGAATGCTTTCGCTGACATTGTGGCGCTGTGTTTCTATGAGCACGATGCTTCCGCAATGATATTGGTATGTCCGCGCTGTCGATGACGCCAGAATGCCATCTTTTCAATCATTGATGGATTGAAATCGATGAAGCAAGAAGAGGTTCATTACAGTATCAATGCGGGTTTGACGCCAAGCCAAGCCCCCAAACTCAAAAATCTGGCATCTGCACAGACGGCACTCTTCGCGAGTTCAAGGTCAGTATTTACCACACTTCTCATATCTCGTTTTCTCGATGAGAGCGCACCAATCGCAACGCCTTCACGTCTCACTACAGTACAGGAGGAGTCTTGCATCAGTCTCCGTGGACGCGATGCTCGGATTCTACGAGGAAGGTACATCAATGCTGCAGAAGCCATCCGCAATGGCAAGCACAAGATTCTTCTATCTGTTATACACACATCTGTGGCTACCGACCATCAAGGCCTCCGCCCGTGTACGATGCCTCTATTCACACAAGAGTTCCCCATTACTTCCCTTCTTCACACCAGCAGAGCGCTTCCGCTGTGTTTCGACGTGACGCCCATGTAATTCTAGCTTCCATCCATGATAACTCAATTGGTATCTTCGCAGTACAATCTTGAACGCCTTTTCATGCTTCAATGCAAAAAACAGAACCGACTCGCTATGCTTTCAGGTGTAGTGGGAGCTTAGAGAGCCTGCAAAGCTGTTAGGATGCGATTCGAGATGATTCATGAGAGATGAAGTGCGACCTACGAGAGCGATCCCGCCGACGAGGACGAGACCCATGGCAGCGGAAGCACCAACGCGGCTGCCAGCGTTGGCAGCCTCGAAGGAAGCAGATGGGGAGCTGCTGACAGTGCCGCTCGGGGAGGCAGTGCCATTGGTGGAGGTGCCGTTGGCAGCAGGAATGAGAGGAGTGGTGGTGTTGGTGTAAGTGCGCTGAGCAGAGACGGCAACAGCGGCCATGAGAGAGGCGGCGATGATGGTGAAGTGCATTTTTGCGACTGTTGATGTGAGGAGGACCGTTGACTTGGTGGTGATGGGAGTCGTTGAGGAAGGGTGTGAGCCTTGTTGGTGTCGGGTGAGGTAGACGAAAGGGAAAGAATCACCCCCTACCTTTCTAATATAATAAATGTCGCGTCACGTTGAGAAGCAGTCCCGATGACGCGGTGCAGCGGCGAAAGCGTTTGAAGTCCGTTTGTTGCTCGGCCACCTCGCACGCTTGTCAACGAGAAAAAGATGGCGACGCGCAAGCTGCCTCCGCGTTTCACAAACCCGGCCTCCAGACATTTTTCTTTCGCGCAGCACGGACGAAAGCTGAGAATAGCAGGCTGATGGGGGATGACCAGTGTGACGAGACGAAAAGTGGATGAGAGGTCGGTGATCGCCTGCGACATCTCAGGAACAGGAACAGGAACAGGAACAGGAAATCCCTGTCTGCTGCACGCAGCTCGCCATGGATTTCGCCACGCCGCGTCTTCTGTGCAGTGCAGGTGGTGAGAAAAAGAAAGAGAAGGGGGTGCGGTGCGGTGGAAAGCGATGGCAGGACGCGCAGCCACCTCTCGCCCCTCTACACTATTATTAGCAGTACTCGATATTGAATATTGCCCAACAGCATCGCAGAATGCCTTTTTGTGACAGCTGTCGTCGTCAGCAATACTTGCCTTCTCACCGGCGTACGTGCGCGCGCCGTAGGTGGGTGGGTGGCAGCTTTGCACCTCGACCAGCCTTTCCTTTCTGGCCAACTTCAATTTTCTCCATCGCAGCATCGCAGCCGTTCACAATCAGTGACCTCATCCTGCTGACTCTGAAGAGCTTCCAACTCGGACCCAACATGAATAATGTCGTCAATCTCGACCTCCAAAACGCACCGCCTATAGTATTGAGAAAAGATCAACGCAGGAAATGAACAGTGTCGTCAATAGCAACTTTGATGTCCGTCGCCAAAACATAATGAACTTTGTGAGCCCATGGAGATTTGAAACTCATTTTGGCAAGATCGAGATCAGCCATACCAGACAAGGATATAGCGATTGAGTTTTCGGCTTCTTGCAGGCGTTTGAGACAGGGAAAGTCAAAGGCCAAGATGGGAAGGGCTGCTTGTGTCAGCTTACCATCGGAGAAAAGAAGAGGAACATGATCACGCTTGATGCTTTTGAAACGTCGCGCTCGTGGCTGTGGTGGAGCTCTCGATCAATGATCTGACGCAATAGAAATTCTGTCGATTGATCGAGAAGTCTGTCCTGTCACGGACACAGTAGATAGTCATCGGTAGACAAACGTCCTCCACGCATCGTCACAATTCCCCCAAACTCCTCGCTAGACAACACAATGTTCCGTTTTCCGCGCCCACGTCAGAGTCTTACACCTTTGACAAGCAACCATAACGCCACGGGCACAACAACATTGTCATTGGCACCTGTCAAAACGGCTTCCATGAAGCTCGCTCCGCAAGCGCAAAAGACAGCTTTGATGAAAGCCCACATCCAGTCCAAAATGAAATGAGTCCAGTTCGCCTCCCCGAAATAAGAAGTTTGGTTCGCGTCATTCCAGCCTCCAAAGAACTGCCATGCCCGGGCAGCCATGAGACCTATGGTGACGGCCACGACAAAAGCAGCAGAGCCTTCAAGCGACTTTCCTCCAACCCAGATCCACTTTCTGCGACCGTATCTTCTGCCAATGAGAGAAGCTGCTGCATCACCCATACCAACGCAAATGACGCCGGAAACCATAGCGACTTCTCGTTTGTTGTCCGCAAGCTCCCATTCCCGCCACGGAAGATCGCCGGCTCGTGGAATGGAAGCCAAGCTGAACCATAGCGGTACTGCGCAGCCGATAAGGAGGAATATGTGGCTGACAACGACCGGACCGCGAAGATCTCTGCCGTCGACATAGGGTGCCACGAACCGTCCGATTGCATTCCCGATGGGTGGCACTTGGCCTGCGCGGATGACTTCGAGGATGAGGAAGATTGCCAAAACTAGTGCGAGGGCCAGAGCGCAGAAGCAAGGATCAACGAACGCTGTTGGTACGAACATGGCAACCATAACACCATGGAAGACTTTCCGGCGGGTGTCGACTTCCACGAATGCTGTGAGCGAGAAGACCGTGAGCAGGCCTAGGAGGAGGACCAGCACCCAGTACGCGATGAGGAATAGCCGAAAATTGGCGGACCCAATCGTTGTGGCTCGAAGGTCGTCGAGGTAAACTGGCACGGCGAGCGAGAATTTGGCGATATTGAGGTCAGGTAGTTCCGGCAAGGGTACCCAGAAGTCCAGTTTCAGGTCAATGATTGTCGAATGTAGCCATGGTAGCTGTCCAAAGAGGTAGCCAACCGCCCAGCCAACAGGCTCGAGGTGGAACAATGCTCTGGCCGAGACATACCACCTGACGAGCACAAAGATGATTGAGACGATAGACAAATACACAATCCCAGCATAGAGCCATTTCCGCCTCCATGCTTGGTCCGGTGTGAGCTGCAGGCACCATAGCAGGTTAGATGATTTGATTCTTCTGCGACTTCCACTGACTTGTCTTGTGCTGGCGTCGTTGGTCGTAGGTGACCCTCGTTCAGGTACGGTATTTCGTCTTGGCCGTGGCCGTGGGACTACATCGATCTTTTCCGAGGCACAAGTGTGCTGAGAAAATTCCGCATTAGACGCTGTCTTGAACAGATTGGTCTTGAACGTAGGGATAACCAGCTGAGAAGCATTTCGAGTAGGTCTACCATTTGTCTGTCGCTTGATTGGCTTGCTTGGCATGTCTTCGTCTGCGTCGCTATCACTTTTGTGGGCGCTGAAAGCCCCAGCGGCTCGCTGTAAGTGAATGAGATCTGACACGGCATCCACCAATGACTTGCGCTCCTCTGCTGTGTGACCTGGTCGTCGGAGCTTCCACTTTGGTATCCTAGCCAAAGTGACGTTCCAATGCAAGACAGGCCTGCACAAGACGAATAGAGGAATACCGCCTATCCATAGACATGACTTGAGTATGACCGCTTGCGGCGACGAGACGAGGAGAAGGAGGTTGATCAGTGCTGCCGACAGAAGATGCAATTCTGAGATCAGCAGGCTGGTAGAGGTCAGGTACGACAACGGCTGTATGAGCGCATGATGCAGCGGATAGAGCGAGACCAGCGTTTCTGGCGAAAGGCCATTTGGAGTCTTGAGAGAGTAAGGAAGCGGCGGACTCTTCTTGTCAGGCCATTCCGTATTTTCTGAAACAATGAGTGGTATGATAGTCAGCATCCAGTGCACGGGATTGTAGCCTCCGAAACGGCTCGAGCGCGGAAACAGTCTTTGCGGCAAGGAGGCAAGTCCAAGAATAATGTTGGGCAGGATGACAGCGGGATTGGAAGGAGCCACTGACAGAGCGACCAGAACAGGCAGGAGCGGCGGATACAAGACTGTAGCTGGGTCGAATGATGCTGGCACTCGGAAGCGCTGCCACAGGCTTGTGTGTGTTGCTGCCGTGTCCACCACCGACAGTTTGACAGGATATGACAGAACGAGTGCCATGATGGTGAGCACATGGCTCAGCAACTCTCGCCGCCATATCCATGCCATTCTCCCGACGCCCTTGCCGCTCAGCACAGCAACCATTATCACACCCATAAGTACGACTTCCGAGACTCTTCTCACAAACTCTGCCCAGCGTCGTCTTTGCAACTTTTCGCGATCGTCTTTCTCCTTTTGCGCATCACTCGTGGGCTTTTCGCTAGCTAGCTCAGAGAAGTAGCCTCGAAGCTCTCTTTCGCGATCGTCCAACTGGCTCGGCGTGAGCAAAGCATCTTCGTCTTGCTCTCCAGTCTTCAGACCTTTCCTGGGCCGGACAGTGCTCGATGGCAGTGCCTTTACGAAGCTTGGTCTCTCATCATCGGCTTCGGTTCCACTTTCGCTGCCAGATATGGACACCTGTCCGCTATCTCGCTGCCACTCTTGCCACTCTGATTGTGCATTCTCTGTTCCAATGGTGTTTGAATTGTCCCTCGCCGTGGTGCCGTCAGATCCGGCATATTTTGGCTCCTGAGATATAGTGTCGCCTCGCTGTCGATACGGCCGAGGCGTCCTTGAGAATTCTCGCAGGCTTTCGGCCTCTATTGTGCTTACCACAACTCCATCTTCATCGTCGAATGCCTTGGGAGCTGGCTCTGGAGGCTTCAGTCCGTTCATCCTGAGGCGCCGGCCGCAACACTACACTTCGACCTGCGACATGTGTAAACAATGACAGCTTGTCGCATGGTGAACGGCAGGAATGCGCGACTTTGCATGTGATTGTGGTTGAGAAGCGAGATGCATCGTCATCTGCAAGGCGCAAGCTTCTGCTCTCCGCGGGATCCACTATTGAGTCCTTTTTTAGTTTCAGGGTGTCCAGTGTCCACGCAAGCGTAACGGCAACGACAGCCGTGCATAGAAGTAAGCAGGCAAGCTATTTGGCAATAATGTGACTACCACGATGATACAAGACTACGGCCTCACCACCGCGTCTGCTCTGTTGATGTGACAACTTCCCTGTCCACAGCGAACCTTCATGTCGGCGAACCCTTCCGAAACTCAGCATCTCGGCCACGGCCCCAATGAACCATGAAAAACCATAAACTTTCCATTGTTCCACTTCTTGCAGTCCGCCACGAAATCGGGCATCGTCGCAGGCTCGAACAGATCCCCGAGAAACGGACTTCGCGGACAAGGATGTCACAGCGGCGATACCATTCAGAAATAACACGCCTGTGATTAGATCACACCTTCTGCTCTATCTCTCTCGGAAGCTGCTTGAAGATAGGTGCATGGACTCTAAGCTCGATACGCCGGAGCTGCAGGCGGTGGAAAGGCGGAAACCTGCAGGCGAGCCATAGTATCGGCAAGCGAAGTCTAGTCGTGTGGCGTGGCGCGGTTACTCTGAAGCTGGACCGGAGGCTTCCAGCTTTTCTGTAGTACGACAACAGTAGTAGCGGTGTCAACGGCGAAGGTGAGATTATAGATCTTGTCGAAAAGCTCCTGCGGAAGATTGAAGAGGCGATCACGCAGGTCCATGGTATCGGGTGTTGTTGCTGAAGAGCAGTCGAGACCAGAAGTTCTCGCGACTCTTTTTAAACTGATTTGCGAGCACAGTACTGAGACACTCTTGTCGGACAGGAGACTAGTCTGGCACACGCTGAACAGATCAGGAGTAGCAGAGCTCCGGCGCTGATGAAGAATCATGTGCGGCCCGTCTCTGATCTCCAAGCACAAGGTTGAGCAGCGACACGCACGGACCATGTCTCGACTGTGGAGTGAATGTCCGGATGCATGACCCAACCTCACCGCAGCTTCCGTTACGAAATGCTTGATCAACAGCTGTTACAGAACAACACTCGATTACATCGCCTGTGTAGCACTGCTTGCTTTGGCGTACAGTCCACTCACGATGAAGCGAGCAGAGGATTTGTGCCCACAAGCGATGAGAAAGTAAGTAGAGTTTATCCCCCTCCCAATATTAGTCTGCTCACCATCTTCGCGAATTGGGGGTTTTTTCCAGGGAGTGGAAGCACAGCAGGACTGAGCAGAAAGGGTAGAGTAAGGTGCGGCACCTGTAGTCGCTATGGCTATATCGAAGCCATTGGCAATGAAGATGTACAGTGGTAGCTCCTTCTTAGATCAATCGGACTTGAAGTGACCAGGGGAGCATTCCCAGACAATGGTCTGTAGGCAGAGAACAAGCAAAAAGCTTTCTCAATGTTGGATACAAGTCTTGCCCAGTGAACGCCCAATTGTCCATGTTGCCGCCTTTCCACGCGTCTGGACTCTGCACCGGTCCCCGAACTACCTTTGAGGCTCTGCGGTCCGCACAAATGCCTGTGCCTGCAATAGAGTACAGTATGTATTTGCAAGCCTCTCTCTCCGGCCGGACCAAAGCGATCATCAGGACAAGCCCAAACGCGTCGGCGCAGTGCTGACATACGCCAATCTCTCGGATGGTGCTCCTATAGCAAGAGAAGGCACTGCTGAGGCAGCAACAAGCCGCGGGAATCCGAGACGATCACGCCTTGATCACAAACTCTGTTTGGCAGCGTCAATTTCCTATGGCCCTATGACGTTTGGGCGCGGCGACTATTCTAGGTTGATGGATGCCGCCACGACAACATGCCTTATTATTATGCGCATTCTCTTCCCGCTGTGTCTGCTCTGCGCGTCTGCTCCGCGCGACACTGCCACAGCCGCGCCTGTTTCCTCTACTGGAGCCGGTGGCCAGTGTGTTGTCTGAAGATTCCCGAGTGCGACCGCTGAGTTCGCATACATACCAAGGATATCGTCGTTGCTAGGCACATCCCAGTTCGGAACATTTCTTGACGACACCTCGCATCTGGCGCACAAACGATTCTTACTTGTGGAGAGCGGCAGAAAGAAGCAGGCAAAATGTTGGGCATATCATACTGGTTCATTCCTCTCTTCTCAGGATGCGTGTGGCTGGGTGTGTAGCACAAAGACAAAGACCCCCATCTTGTCCTCTTCCTAACCAGTTCTAGGCACTCTCCTGGCCATGCTGGGAAGATGGCTGGCTATTGGTAGTCCGCACTACGTTTCGTTCAACGCCGGCCAACGCATTGCGTACATCTCCGACATTGGTGCCACAAACTGGGGAAAGCCGCTATTCATTGCTGGAAGTGCAGTCAGTGTTGTGGCATTCGATCTGGTGTTCATCGCAGAGAGATGGTTGCGACACCGCGGACGTCTGACGCAGAATTACAACCTGACGGAAAAGATTTTGAGCGTCTGCGCTACGCTTGCTGCCATCGTCGGTGCTGCAGGTCTCATTCTGCTTACCATCTTCGATACCAGAAGGTATCCACATGTGCACGATGCGATGTTGGTAGTTTTCATGTGAGATGGGACTAATTGCTTACTTTGGGCAGTTCGCTAACATCTTGCGCAGCGCTGGCTACATAATATCCGCCATATTCATCTGCGCTGAGTACCAACGCCTCGGAATCCACTACAGAGACCAGCGAATCCTTGCCCATTCTTTCTGGATCAAGCTTGCGTTCATCTTCGTGGAACTGGGTCTTGCGATCGCCTTTGGTGTTTTAGGCAACCAAGGCCACTACAACCGCGCCGCAGTTATCGAATGGGTCATCTCTCTCATCTACATCTTCTATCAATGGAGTTTCATCATCGATTTCCTCCCAGCGACGCAGACCAAGAACAAGAACGATCGCTATCTCCCGCCTGTCAAGAGAAAGGATGATGAAATGGCGATGAACACGGAGGCGAATGGAAACCAGCTGGGAGGACCAGTGTACACAAGCGGTGGATACGGAAGCGATGGAAGCACCGCAGCAATGAACGGAACAAATGGCAGACAGAATGTGGCCCCGTCACAGAACTTTTAAAAGAAGGTCGACGTGATTTGTGGCTTATGCGAGGCGTTTAGCGATGTGCACAGATTGGATACAGTACAATGAGCATGGCCTCAAAGCAAAATGTATAATGACTAGATAATGCTACTCTATGCGAGATGATCTTTTATTTTCCAGCTGCTGTCTTTGACAGTGTGCTTTCTTGTTTGCTCAGATTTTTACTTGAACACATCCAACCAGCTGAATCGCCATCGTCCATAAGATTATCAGTTGCAAATCCTATCGCAATGGCATACATCCAGGCTGCGACACCTCCACCTGAGGCAGCTTACTCTTCCAAGCTCATTCCAGGGAACTTTAGCAACAGCCTTCGAGAGCTGGCGAGAGACGAAACATCCTCCGACTTCACGATTGGGTGCAAAAGCAATGGCCGCGAATACAAAGTTCACACAATCATCGTCAAGCTCAGCTCCTCATACTTCACGCCCGTTTTCAACAAGCAATTCCAAGAAGGTCAGACAGGACGGATTGATCTGCAAGACGACTGGGAAGAAGCAATCGAGATCATGGTTCACTACTTCTACAATCTTCACTACGCGTTGCCAGAGTGGGCTGACACCGCCGAGAATGATCGCGGACTCGGAAGGCTGAAGGCTCATGCGTACGTCTGGGCGACAGCAGACAAGGTACACCTCCCTATTATCCTGAAAGCCCTACAGATGCAGCTGACCGCGCAACAGTACCAAGTCCCCAGCCTCAAAATCCGAGCGGCCGAGTATTTCGAAGACGTGGCCACCAAGGCTGGCAACATGTTTGTGTGGAACCCACAACTTCAAGGACCTGCTCAGCTAGGACAACAAGCAATGCGTGCCTACGTCGTGTCGCAGCCGCACGTCTCCGATCTCGTCGATGCAATTGATTTCATTTATCAGCATCCGTTTCGCGAGCTTCAAAAAAGTGTTGTTAAAGTTTGGAGTGAGTTGCCACTGGAGGTCAAATCGGCCATTCCGGAGGAGTCGATGCTGAGCTTGATGAGGAAGTATCCAAAGTTAGGTGTGGACTTGGCTTTAAGGTGCACGAGTTATGGTGTAGTTTGATGGGTTTACTTCCATCAACCGCGTACCTACATGCAGTGCTTGAATGATAGATGGCGTTTCCAGATGAACAACATTGAGATGTAGAGAGAGCAGCGAAGGGTTAAGGAGAATTGGACATCGGAAGATTAAACCATGTTGAAAGTCTTGTAGTGCTAATTTTGCGGCAATTCTGTAAAATTCTGCTTCCCAGAGTAAGTCCACTGTCATGACGACTGTTCGAATGTGCCAGGTGACTGACACGGGGAGACTGGAGCAGGTCTTATGGAGCCTACTACCTACCCTCACGAAACTCCCAGGCGTCGCGCCTTTGCGCTTTCTGAGACTCTCTTCAAAACAAAGCATGCTCCGAGCTGGCATCGGCATCGAAGGAGAGAGAAATTGAGAAGGTTCAGTGTGGGAGACGGAACAAAGGCGAGCCTTCACAATATACTTCCATCCAGTCAACTCCAAAGGACCAGACATGGAGAAGTGGTCCAAGGGTTGGGCACAGTCACCTCGAATCACTAGAGGTAGAGACAGAAACTCTCGAGCTGGCGTTACGGGCGTATGAAATGGTGGCATATGAAGTCGCGAGATGCAGGATTAGATTCGTTATCGCCTCCATCGTCTCGTGAAATTGAACTGACATGAGACCACAGCTCGGAACCCGGAAGCCTACCCAGCTTCAAGTCATCATCTTGTTGCACCGCCTCTTGAGAGAGTATTGACATGATCATTGCCCCGCTACTTACGTCGCGTCATCAGGAGAAGATAGTATAGCAGCAGGCTCGGTAAGCTTGCGTGAAGAGCTCTCGGCTCTCGTGGTAGCTTCAATTGTTGGCGTTACCAGATAGCTTAATCGAATCATTTCTGCCACTAAGCACTATCGGCAGTCACTCTGATACATACGCCGAGAACTGCCATCGCTTCTTGAGTGACTAAGAGGCCCTCGACTCAAGGTTACGTCCTGAGGGAGTATCAAAGACCTGACGAAGGATTCCTGGCATAATACGCCAGCGTACAGCTTGCAGGTCTACGTAGACCATTTGCATCTGCATGTGTACTGATTTCATGAAGGCAGATAGCACTCATCAAATGAGTAACCACTGGAGCGTCTCGTTACTTATGCACAATATCCTGAGGCCGCAAGAGGCGGTCGTTCCGACATGACATGTGAGGGACACATTCGTGGGCGCTCCGATGCACCTCTCGCATGTACCCGCCGTGCGTTTGCAGCCTTCAGCCTCACAAGGCGATTCACGTGTTACGGTGGATCAGCACGGCCCGGGCCATGACGCAGAATGAATCATAATGGATCGATGGATCGCATGCATAAGGTATGTGCCAGATCAGTGGCAGCTACTGGCATTTTCGCAGCATGAGCTGGTAGTGGGCGGCCTTTGCGACTGAAGGGCTAATTCGCAGGCATGCAGATTTTGAATTTGGCATCGGCTTGGCGTGGAAGCTGTTCCCGAGCTGAAGGCGGCTTGTCGTGTCACTTGATGTAGCGATGAGCAATGCAGCATGTGCCAGTCCCTTGTAACCATGCCGAAGGATTTGTGAGGAATTTTGAGGATTTTATCCTAGTAGCGATCGTGACATCTCAAAGTGTCCTCGCTGGTTTCCCGGGTACCGCGCGAGATGGGTGACGAATCGCAAGAGAATGTCAGGTTTTGTGTATGCGACCATTGTCTCATGGAGCGCTGGGCTTGAAAGCTATCAAAGATGGATACCATAAATAGTTTCCGTCCGGGCGGGCTATTTGAATTGGCCCTCATCCGTTGCGTCTTAGGCCATGATTTTGTCGGAGGATCCAGCTAGGCCACAATCCCTGTGCCACAGGATCGGGACATTCATTACCAGCCCTTTGTGTCTGCATTATACGGCCGAGTACCGGCAGCGCGGTGTATGAGCAGGTGTTTCCAACCCAAGAGGGCAGGGCAGGGCAGGGCAGGGCAGCCATATCGCGCCTTGACCACGCGGAGGCAACGTCGGGTGGCTGTAAGGCTGTCGAAACACATCTAGAGCCAATCATGCGTCTTTTGATACGAAATAACAGGCCTCATGGGCGTTTCCAATTGTAGGCCCGCCATTTTTGGAGTCTATTTCAGCCCCCAAAGCGCCGCGCCATGCAGTGCAGTGCTAGGCAGTGCAGGATTGGAAGCAGAAGAGTTTTGTCTCATGCGGAAGCGCTGTGCGAACATCAATGCCAGAAGTAGATCTTCGTGTTGCGCCATCTGGCATCGAGTGTGGCTTTCTTTTGGCCCAGTAGACGGTGTACCTGCAGCGCATGTCGATGTCAAGTGGGTGTTGTTGTGAAGGAAGAGGGCGGGGCTTTGGGGTTCAGCTCGATCTTCGGTTCCTTTGCCGAGCCGGGGCCCGTGCGCCGAGCTTTGACCGCATCCTTCACCGGAGTGAAGTCACCAAGAGCAGCACTGCTTTCAGCGTGCGCAGCGCAGCGCAGCGCAGCATGCGTCTCCAGTCTCTTCTTCTTCCACAGCACGTGAGCGCTGCTACAATCTCAAGCGCACGGAGTCACCTGTTTTTCATGCAGGCGCAATGACTGCAGGCGCGGAAGCTGCCGTAGCCCGAGGGCCAGCCGCCTTCTCCCATGCATGGCCTTGTGGTGCCTGAGAGGCCGTCTGGCTGGCCGCCAGTTCACTCACAGTCGCGTCTGTGACTGCATTGACCGGATCAGCACCATTCGCTGGAATCGGAACTCTGTCCGTACCTTCCCCCATGCCTTACCGGCCCATTGCTAACTGGCCGTCTGCAGCCTGCCCAGCACGCGTTCCTTCACCTACACATCCCTTTCCGCCTAGTCTGGTAGCTTCCGAGCATAGTCATCGCCACGTTGACACCAACAAATCGAACAAGACAATGTCGTCTTGTTGCACGAGACGATTGAACGCTCCACAAGGGGTGACAGATGTCAGACCCACTACCTGAGGGAGGCTTTCCTTTATGCCTTCCAGTGACCGCATGCTAAGCCTACTCCCTATGAGGCCGCTCATCGGAGTCACAGGCTACACTGCCTCTGAGGCAGAAACTTCTGTAGGTCCAATCGTACTTGCTCTCATGCGTCGAGGAAAGTATAATATCTTCTGCTGTGTTCACTTGATCAACTGTTCCTTCATCATCAATCAACCACAACACAAGAAGAACATAAAGACCAACACATCAACGCCTCACCAAGTCACCGGCACAGCAACCTTAACAGCCAACAACCACACAACACCAGATAATCAACACCACTTCCAGGCATGAGGATCCAACCCAGAGGCTCTCCCAACGGCCGATACATCAACGTCTACGATCCTCAGCCAAGAGATCCTCCTCCCAGTTTCATGCTTGCTCACGCACCGCAGTCTCGAGAGCCCCCAAACGGCTACAATTTCACCGTGGCTCCTCTAGGCCGGGCTGCTAGACAGGCAGGAAAGCCTCAACCTCGCGATCCCCCGCCCAGCCGTCGCTGCTGCCGTGTTGCTCAAGGTCCCAAAAAGCCCCAGCCGAGAGACCCTCCCCCTTCCCGTCATTAGGTCATGACCGACAATGAGAGGGACGGCTGGTCTGCTGGGGGCGTTGAGCGTCCACCCTCCTCTGCTCTATATACTAGACCTCACCTCGTCGCCTGAAATGTCACCGGTGACTCTTCCAGGCCACTGCAACAACTCATATATCTAGGCAGCTGAGATGCCTATGTCTGTGCCACACTCGCTTCGCAGGCGGCCTGACTCCGCCAACCAACAATAGCATCTTACTCGCTGATCAAGGCACTCGCTACGACTACACAACGACTTCTACGCTTTTCCGCATTGAATTTATTTACTGGGATAGAATACTTTTTGGGGGTCTTAGATGGCAGATTGGTGGCTTCGCTGTCAAAATCGATTTACATGCATAGCAAGGGACGGTGTTCAGCAGCATAGATGGAGGAACTTTCGTCTTTTTCATTGAGATTCATATTGCATTGCGACGGAGTTGGAATTGGCAGACAAGCTAGACCAAGCGCTGGAACCTGGCAGGTGGCTCATCGGCCGGTTTTACTCACATGGAATGAGAATTGGTGAGGGAACGCTGTGTTCGGCATCATCAGATAGACATCTTGCGATCACTCGCACAAAACAGGATCTTTCAATTTGCGCAGCATTGAGTCACTTCTCATTTCATGCGGTGTCTGAAGTCAGTATATCGGACAAGCGATTGGCTAGGCATTTCCTGCAGTCATGAGGGTCAGGTGCATTCGCCGGGCTCAGTCAACAGGTGGCAAAATCGACCGCGGCCGCCAACCCAGTTCCGCCAGCAAAAGAAGGTGTTGGTTCAGCACCAAAGCAGACAAGTGAAGTAGAAGGATTTGGGGCCGCCCTGCGGCCTTGTTGGTCGGGTCAGATTTAGCCGTTCCTGCATCTTGGCGCTGCCCAAAGCTTCAGGCAGAACTTCCTCTATCTTCACACCCGCCTGTGAGTGCGGTCTCGTGCAAGATGCGATCAGTGCACAGTCCCTGATGCAGAATTGCAATGTTCACACAACATAGCTATGTAGGTGCCTATGGTCTGCAAAGACATGCTCTACTTGCCATTTCTGCGGCCTGAAACATCCCTTCCCGTCCTCCCGGACGGATGAGAACATCCGTAGGCACTGATTTTTACATTGAGAGTCACACAGACGATGATGGCTTCAACAGAAGCCGAAGACTTGGCTAGCGAAACGAACAATACGGAGCAAGTGCCCACGCCAAGCGATCTCAACCCGATCGCGTTCATCTCTGGTCCTCTAGACGTATCCACGGCGTACTTCGACCGATACTACAAGCCTCGTATAGCAGATGCCATCAATGCTGGTCCCGGCTTCGAGGCATCGATGCACTTGCGTTCCAGCACTTGCTCGACCAGCATGTAGCTCCACCACGTATACACATTTCCATGGCCGGCTTTGAGATCGCGTCTCGTCCCAGATTCGTAGAAGAGCTCGAAGCTCAACTCGGCCTAGAAAGCATTGTAGAAGCCAAGAAAGAGAATGGAGTTGAGGCGGAGACGACCTGGGATCGTGATGCAGCCATGACTCGTGCGAGTGACTGCGATATCCTGAGATTTAGGACGGAATGGGAACAGAAAGCAATATATGGTCATACTTGGAGGCCGAGAGTGTCAAATACTGAGAGGAACTGGAGAAGAAGGTCTGGTGATCCTGGGATGGAGGATCATGATATCAGATATGTCAGACATGTCAGCTCTAGAGAGAAGACGTTAAAACCTATCCGCTATTTGAAAAAGTCGAAAGCAGACGCGCAAGGCTCTAAAGTGGAAGAATGCGATGGGTCTTGTGATTCGCATAGAGATGCTGTGTTGATGCCGTTGGTCCTGCGCGAGCAGGCCTTTGGGTTCGGCAGTGCTGGTAGCAGGACAACTTGACAGATTCTTCTCGCCATTCCTGTCGTGAAAATGTGCGCAGCCTCGCGATGAGACATGATGCTCAGCTCTCTTGTTGTATAAGCGGAGACCGACTATGAAGATTACGGACGGATCTGAAGCAGAAGTGTCGACCACTGAAATGCTCCCAAGTTGGAAAGGGTAATGATCCCTCCTTGTATTGGATGGCCGCATTCACTGCCTTTCGAAAAAATGACTAATATTGGACTTCCCTTACAAATGCAAGCTTGAGACTGGACTATCCTTGTTGGAGCAGCGTATCTTGCTCGACGACATCTAGCTATCAGCTTGTCCATACCCTGCTTCGCGCATGGCGCAGAGGATGTGCGACAGATTTGGAAGATAATGCTCTACAGTGACAGGATGCGTATACTGAACTCCGTCCTGCGACTTGTTCGCCAGAGTAAGCCACCGGGCATAGCTATGCAAAAAGATTGTGGATCCAAACTTTTAGCACAACAGTATCGGAATGACTTTTTTCGTTTGGGTGTTCGCAAGCTGGACAGTAGTGTGCTTGTCTAATTGTGCCAGGAGACTCCGTAGTGTGCCTTGTTGTAGAAGTCAATGCCGGAAGGTGATGTTGTCTCGCAGGATGGGATGGCAGCGGTGATCAGAAGGAGTTCAACAGAGCAAGGATGAATTGACTTTGCGCGTCGGCCCGCAGAAACCGAGAGTGGGTCTTGGCCAAAAAAATGCCATGACACATCTGCCATTGAATGTGCGAGCGGTGTGTATATTGCCTGTACGCCGAGTACTCCGAAGGTCAACACTTAAAAAAGACTCATATTCCGCGTCGACTATAATCGTACAAGATCAGTGTCTCACAATGTCGCCTACAGTCCTTCATTTCAGAGCAGAGACCAAGCCATTAGAGCATCGCTCGGCAGTCACACCGACAATCGCAAAGAAACTTGTCGAAGCTGGCTATGAAGTCCACGTCGAACGATCGCAGCTCAGCATATTCGCAGACTCCGAGTATGAAGGCACTGGTGCTAAGCTAGTGCCTACTGGATCGTGGACAGAGGCACCGAAGGAGCACATTGTCATTGGCTTGAAGGAACTCCCCGAGGAGGACTTTCCTTTGAAGCATGTTCATGTGCAATTTGCTCACTGTATATCGAAGCCGGATCTGATTTCGTTGCAAATCTGCTAACGATGTCCAGGCTACAAAGGACAAGGTGGCTGGGACAAGGTTCTCAGTAGATTTCCAAACGGCAGAGGCACATTACTTGACCTTGAATTCTTGGAAGATGAGCAAGGACGAAGAGTCGCTGCATTTGGCTACGTATGACTGAAATTTCAACTTGTGGACCTCAAATGCTAATAACGACCAGCATGCCGGATTTGCTGGTGCCGCACTTGCTCTCATGGCCTGGTCTCACCAGCTCGTGCACGGCAAGGACAGCCCTCTTCCGGGAGTGACACCATACGAAAACGAAGGTCTCCTTATTTCCGATGTCAAGAAGGCCATCGAAGCTGGCAAGGCCAAGGGCGGTTGCCTCCCAAGAGTGCTCGTTATTGGCGGACTCGGCAGATGCGGTCGTGGTGCCGTTGACCTCTGTGTCAAGGCTGGCGTGGAAGACATTCTAAAGTGGGATCTTCCAGAAACAAGTGCCAAACCAGGACCATACCAGGAGATCATCGAGTCTGACGTGTTTGTCAACTGCATCTACTTGTCGGCCAAGATCCCGCCCTTCATCGACCAGGCATCTCTCGCATCGCCAAACCGCAAACTGTCTGTGGTCTGTGATGTATCCTGCGATACCACGAACCCAAACAATCCTATCCCAATCTACGACATCAACACGACTTTCGACAAGCCAACGGTGCCTGTCAAGCTCTCCGCTGAGGCCAATGATCTTCCGTTGAGCGTAATCAGTATCGACCATCTCCCATCCTTACTGCCGCGAGAAGCTTCCGAAGCTTTCAGCTCCGCGCTGCTGCCCAGCTTGCTTCAATTGAACGACTGGAAGAACGCACGTGTTTGGCAACAAGCCGAGAAGCTGTTCAAGGACAAATGCGCCACTCTCCCAGAAGGCGCAATCGATAGCCATGCCGAGCTTCTTGCTTCGCAATCTTGATTATCCAGGCCCTTAAGTTGCAAGAAAAGCTGTAGATAGACTATGCTGCACGCAAAGTGCATGAAAGCTTGAATCGCCAGGTCGAAGATGTGATACAAGCATCAATCATAAGTACGGCAATGCAACAGTCAGTTGCCACTTCTGACCCACACTGCAGATATCCCGCGGCCTTCCATTAGCCGTACCACCACAAGCTCAAATTAAGAGAAATCTTCATGTCACTGACTCAGCCATTGCATCCTCTTTAACGGATCAGCGTGGCACGAAGGTCGGAAATACGCATCCAGCAGCTCCCTCCAGTCGCACCAAGCTCCTTTGCTGGACGTAACCAGCTTCGGCATTCTGACAGTCTTCAACTCTCCATCAGCGCCCAGCCGAATTCCCCATTCCACCTCGTTTCCCAAGCCCCCGGCCGAGATCTGGTTCCACTTCTCCCAAGCACGTTCATGACAAGATTCTGGCAGGATTGTGATCTTGTCGAAGAGAGCATACTGTGGATTGTGCTTGCAGATGGAACTGAAGCCAAGTGTGACGCGGGCTCGAACATCATACCAGCGATAGTGTGTACCCGAGCCAAGTGTGTAATTCAGACATATCGTGAAATTTGGTATCGTTTGTGATTGCACAACATCTTCGGCTAGAGCTTGGAATCGCTTATTCACATGCCGAACTGACAGCCAAAGATCTTCGGACGAAGTGTGATGGAGGATCTCGAGCCATAGCTCTTCTGGAAGTGGAGGACATTCGATTGGCAACAGGTTGAGGAACATTGTTGTTGAAGCAATGTAGTAGTACTCGTATGAAAGATGACCATCACACTCATCGTTATGGTATTGTCCATATATACATGCTCGTTCGTATCCGTTCGTCCAATGCCTCGGTTGGCGAATCGGGCAAGCTCGGACGGTAACTTTTGCGGGCAACCTAGCTTCTTGCTGCAGGAGCTTGACAAGTGAATGTTCGCCAGTGCTTGAGGATGCGCATATCACCGCACATACTTCCTACGCGTCTCACGCCTCTTCAGTCTCTCATCGCGCGTCGGTGGCGGCCCCAATGGATCTGCCTACATCGTCTGCGCGTTCAACAGCCATGGCTTCGAAGCCTGGCTACGAGCACCACAAAGTCAACGGATGAGAAAACATACTATGTGACGACGCCAATCTTCTACGTCAACGCCGCTCCCCATGTTGGACACATGTATACCATGATTCTGGCCGATGTCTTGAAACGGTGGCAAGTGCTCAAAGGCCGACGCGCGGTCCTCCTTACCGGCACAGACGAACATGGCCTCAAAATCCAACGCGCCGCTGCGAAAGCCGGGATAGATCCTCAAGAATTTTGCGATTCAGGAGCAGACGTCTTTAAGGAACTGGCTGAGAAGATGGACATGAGTAATGAGATCTTCATTCGGACCACGGATAAAAAGCATAAGGATGGTGTAGAGTACGCGTGGCAGATGTTGGAGGAAAGAGGATGGATCTACGAGGGCAGACACGAGGGGTGGTATAGTGTCAGTGATGAGACATTCTATCCACAAAATCAGGTCCAGTTGGTCGTTGATCCTCCAACCGGGAGGAAGATCATGGCCAGCATCGAGACTGGGAAAGAGGTAGAGTGGACGAGTGAGAGGAATTACATGTTCAATCTGAGCGCTTTTCGAGGTCAATTGCTGGAATTTTATGAGAAGAATCCGGACTACATCACGCCCAAGAGCAGGATGGATGATGTTGTGAGGCAGGTCAAAGAAGGGTTGGAAGATCTGTCGATATCACGGCCATCGGAGCGCTTGCAGTGGGGCGTGCAAGTGCCTACAGATCAATCACAAACGATTTATGTCTGGCTTGATGCATTGTTGAACTATGCGACTGCTGTCGGGTACCCTTTCACACCTGGTCAGGAAACTGCAGCTGGATGGCCTGCAGATGTACAAGTTGTGGGCAAGGATATCGTGCGCTTCCATTGCATTTACTGGCCTGCATTTCTCATGGCTCTGGATCTGCCACTGCACCATCAAGTCCTCACTCATGCACATTGGACACTTGGCAAGCAGAAGATGGCAAAAAGCACCGGCAATGGAGTCAATCCATTCTTCGCCCTCGAGCGGTTTGGTATAGATCCTCTACGATGGTACCTTATACATGAAGGCGGCATCGCGGATGATGCAGATTACGACAACAGCTTCATCATCGAGAAGTACAAGAAGGGCTTGCAAGGTGGGCTCGGCAATCTTGCGAACAGAGTAATGCGAGGTCAAGGGTGGGACGTACAGCGCGCGGTGAAGCGCTACAGTGGAGAATCCTCGCCACTACAGTCGGAACTTGACACTGCCGCCAAGGACTTCTACCAAAGACTGCTGCAGCTCCCGCCAAATGTCGATGAGCAGATGCGATCGCTTCTCCCAAATCGAGCACTGCAAACGATCATGAGTGGGATCTTTTCGGCCAACGCTTTCCTTCAACACGCCTCGCCTTGGACGATCGTGACAAAATTACGTTCTGCAATGGCCGACACCACAGGCAAAGAGCTTGCGGACGCAGAGCGGGAAAGTCAAGGTCTTGAATGGATGGAGGGCGAGATCGACCGCAGCATTTACTTGGCTGCCGAGACGCTCCGACTCACAGGGATAATGCTACAGCCCTTCATGCCAACGGCAGCAAAGAAGCAGTTGGACTTCATCGGCGTCGCTGAAGACAGGCGGACGTGGGACTGGTGTCGCGTCGGCGCGGATGACACTTATGGCGTGTCTGCTGTAGTGCTTGGGAAGAGCGGGTTATTCCCGAAGCTCACCAGCGACTTGTAGTGCCAGCATATGTGAGCGACCCGTGGGAAATATGTGTACCTTAGCTCTGCAGAGGATGCTTGCTTCGGTAGCTTATGCTATGCCTAGGGCGCTGGTGTGAAGTCTGCTGTCGCTTCAGAAACCGCTATTGGTTCCAGCTCCACATTCGCAGCTGCCGCGCATCTCGTACCCGGTAAGCGTTTCTTCTTCACCCTGCCGCAACGTTCTTTGAACCAATGCCGTGCATCTTATCTGATCATTCGATCTGCAACTCATGCCGCCAGCATACCTGATTGGCCGTGCACACATACCCTTTTCGGGGTTGCATCGCATGAATACCATGTGGCGACCAGATCGACGCCTGCTCACGGTTCTGGGCACGTATAGAATGCCGGTTGGAAGCATGATCTTATCAGATGCCATGCTCCTCCAGGGACACACCAAGACTTTCCGCTATTATGCACGCCCTCTTTGAAAGCTTTGGAATTTTCTGGCTGCTTCTGTTCTCCTTCACAAGCCCTGTCGAAGCTGCGGGCTGGCCTCAACCAGTCGACATCTGCGTAGAAGGGTGCTACGACTGGACCGACCACATCAACTGGACGCTTCCAGATGCGCTTGCTGGGGAAGATGATTACTACACCAAGCTCTGTCAGGCCACTATCCTGCACAAGTCCATCTACTACTGCTCACAAGTCTACTGCACTCCTCACCAAATCCGTCATGGCCTTCGCTGGCTTAACCAGACTTGTCATGACAATGGTGGCTTCCATTTGCCCAGCTATGAGAGCATTGCCCTGTCGCCGGCTGAACTCGCCCAAATCCAACGAGTGCCTCCCGAGTACGAGGATACTCATGCTGAGATCAAACAGGACGTGCCCATCATTCCAGATCTTGCTTGGGTGCAATTGAGCTGGAAGACAGACATCATCTACAATCGGAACTTCTGGTGGGGCTACGATACTGCTTATGGAAGCTATGCTTTCTGGAGCCTGGCTTTCCTGATTGGCATGATCTATCGCGTGGCGGGTCTTTTCAAAAGCTCTAAGAGATCAGACGACGGGCGTCAGTCGCGTGGCCAAGGCGCATGGACCTGGTTTAGAAGGCGTCTTTTGCTTCCAGCGACATTTGGAAATCACTGTCAAGATCCTATAGCTGGCGGCACGATCCCACCTCGCCTGGAGACACTGCTCCTAGTCTTGTACATTGTCATCCATTTTATCATGTGTTTCCCAGGCTATGAGCTTTTCAGCGACAATCAATAGTACGTGGATTGCGAAATCGCACCGGGCTCCACTGACCTCTTCGCAGCTTCAAAGCCAGTGCCATACAATTGTCCAGATACGTTGCCGACCGGACCGGTGTGCTCTCCCTCGCAAACGTTCCTCTCATTTGGATATTCTCTGCTCGCAACGATCCACTCATGTGGCTGACGGGTTGGAGCTATGCTACTTTTAATCGCTTTCATCGATGGGTGGCGCGTCTATCTTTCGTTCTAGCATTTGTGCACAGTGTTGCATATTCCGTCAACTTTGGCTACTACCCAGGCGAGTATACAGAATCTTGGAAAGAACAGTACTTTTACTGCGGCGGTATCGTAAGTGCCGACTGCAACGGATCAGATTGACATCAATTGCTAACAATGGTAGGCTACTACCATCATGGCTATCATCCTCGGGGCTTCCATTTGGTATATCCGCGAGAAAACCTATGAGGCCTTCCTCCTTTCGCACATCGGCATGGCTGTCATATTTCTCGTAACACTCTGGTATCACGTCGAAGTCGATCCTGGTGTCTTCACGGGCTGGCTATGGCCTTGCGTGGCAGTCTGGATATTTGATCGCCTTCTTCGTATCGTACGCATAGCACGGATTCATATCAGAGCAAGATCCATGAACGCGATCGCGACCTATGACCAGGATTCTGAGCTCATTCGTCTGGACGTGACTGGCCTGTTTCCGAAGAAAACCTCCATTCTATCGCCCGGCTTGTACTACTACATCTACATACCCTCTGCACTACGCTTCTATGAAAGCCATCCATTCACGATCTGCTCCTGGAACTCCAACACATCTAGCTTACCACCATCTCCTACCATCAACGACAAAGAGATCGCAAAAACCACCACTACCAACGACACGTCCATCTCCCACACCTTCCTCATCCGCCCATACACGAGCTTCACCAACCGCCTCCTCACTCACATCAAGACTAAACCCTCCCCACTTAAAATCCCAATCCTCCTCGAAGGTCCCTACGGCACACCCATAAACCTTCGCACTTACACCAACATCCTAATCCTCTGCGGCGGCTCGGGAATCACAGCCGCAATTTCTCACACATACAGCAGTCTCCCCACCAAAGCCAAAATCCTTGTAATCTGGTCCATACCCCAACGTCATCTCGTCGAAGATATCTACGCCAAGGAACTACGTTCCGCATCTTCACATCCGACTAATTTCAACTTGAAGGTTTATTTAACTGGTGGAGCTGGTGTGGTTCACGAGGAGGATGTTGAGAAGAAAGGTGGAGTTGCGGAGAAGATGGATGGGTGTGGGTATGAGGTTTATCATGGTCGTCCGCCGATCTTGGAGGTCATGAGAAGTGTGAGGAAGGAGGCGACGCGGAACCTTGCGATTGTGACGTGCGGTACGACGGGCTTTGCGGATAGTTGTAGAGAAGCTGTTTGTGAGTTGCTGGGCGAGAGGGATGGTGTTGAGGTCGGGTATTATAATGAGACAATGTTGTGGTAGGCGCATCGGAAGACACAGCTATCGTCTAAAGCACGTGCATTTCATAATCTCCACGACTGACAAAGGCAGACGAGGTCTATGCCAGTCATGCTTCTTCTAAACAATGTCCTATCTCATTATCACACCCACACACAAACGCACAGCCAGGAGGCGGAGAACACTTTATCCACAGATCCAGCTGCAGTCCTGTTTTCACTGTTTCTGATTTCCTGTTCTTTTCAGTACTCGTCCCAAGCAGCCGAAATCTATATCCTGTTGCACCCAGTAGTAACCTGTATTCTTCCTTTCGCCTGCTCTTTACTCGACGGTGACCGACTTGGCCAAGTTTCGTGGGAAGTCGACGTTCAGTCCTTCAGCGACAGCCAGCCAGTAGGACATGAGCTGGAGTGGAATGACGTTGAGGAGACCTTGGAGGACATCGACAGTGTGTGGAACCTCGATCTTGTCGGTCTTGTCGCCGGGGAATTCCTTGTCGTTGGTGTTGCAAATGACGATTGGGCGTCCCTTGCGTGCAATGACTTGCTGGTAGGCGTTGAGCGACTTGGCGAAGATGTCGTCGCGGGTGAGGATCATGACGATTGGCAGGTTCTCGTCGACAAGCGCAAGGACACCGTGCTTCAGCTCACCAGACATGACAGCCTCGCAGTGAAGGTAGGAAATCTCCTTGATCTTGAGGGCTCCCTCGAGAGCAGTAGCGTGCTGAGCACCACGTCCAAGCAGAAGGAGAGACTTCTGGTCCTTGAACTTGAGGCAGAGCTGCTTGACTTCCTGGTCCATCTTGAGGATCTCGCGGAACTGCTCAGAGATTCTGCCAAGACCCTCCATAATCTCCACACGTCTCTGCTGCTTGCTAGCGCGATCCTCGGAGAGAAGGAGGGCGAACATGATCATGCAGACGAACTGCGAGGTGTATGCCTTGGTAGACGCGACACCGATTTCTGGGCCTGCGTTGATGTGGACACCGCAGTGGGTCATGAGTGAGATCGAGGAACCGACCACGTTGACGATACCGACGGTCAGGGCACCACGCTCCAAGCAGTAGCGGAGAGCCATGAGCGAATCGGCAGTCTCACCAGATTGCGAGACAAAGACACAGGTGTCGTCGCGGAAGACTGGCGCCTTGCGGTCGAGGAAGTCAGACGCCAGCTCGACGGCGATCGGAATCTCAGTCAGCTCCTCGAAAGCTCCACGCACAGCCATGCAGGAGTGGTATGAGGTTCCGCAGGCGATGAATATGAGGCGTCTGCAGCGACGGATTGTGCTGATGTATTGCTTGAGACCACCAAGAGTCACAGTCTTGTCTGCAAGATTCAAGCGACCACGCATGGCGTTGACCACGGACTCTGGCTGCTCGAAGATCTCCTTCTGCATGAAGTGGTCGAAGCGGCCCTTCATGATCTCCTGGAGCTCAATCTCCAGAGTCTGGATAGCACGGACATTGCTAGTGCCGTCGGTCTTGCCCAGACGGTGAATGTTGAGCTGACCCTCGTGAATGTGGGCGATGTCGTCGTCTTCGAGGTACAGCACCTTCTTGGTGTGCTCGACGATGGCGGCGGGATCGGAGGAGAGGAAGAATTCGGTTGGCTGTGGGACGCCATCGTCGGAGAGGAAAGCGCGCGATTGCGAGCGGTGGAGGAGGGACTTGTCGGGTGGTGCAAGGAGGTTGCTGCCAAGCATGTTGGGGCTCTTCTTCAATGCGACGTTCTGGCTGGCCTGCTCAGCTGGGAGCACATTCTCGCCATCACCAAACTCAACATCAACAAAGTCAACCTTCATCTTCTTGGCGGTGCGCACACCGACAACGAGTGGAGAACCCTTCCGGGCGGCCACGACCTCGCCTGGGAAGCGGACACTCTTCACAAGCAGACCGAAGGCACCCTGCAGCTCCTTGATGACAGCCTTGACCAGCGTTGTGAAGTCGATGGTTGGGTGCGAGTCGTAGATGTACTTGGTGAGCTTCGCAATTGCCTCAGTATCTGTCTCGGTCTCGAACTTGAAGCCCTTGCTCTCAAGCAGCGTCTTCAACTCCTTGTAGTTGGTGATAATGCCATTGTGCACGATCGCGAACTCCCAACTGGGGTCGGATCTGTGCGGATGGCAGTTGACTCTGGATGGTGGACCGTGGGTGGCCCATCGGGTGTGTGCAATTCCTGCGTGGTTGTCGAAAACCTTGGTGAGATCGGGCTTCTCCTCATCGATAAGCTGCTTCAGCTTGGCAACCTTTCCCACCTCTTTGAAGGCCAGCACTTCGTTCTTCTTGTCGCCGTCGATGGCCAGACCGGCGGAGTCATAGCCGCGATATTCAAGTCTGCTCTTGGTGGTTGTCAGCTTCTGTGTGCGAAGCGCTTCAGGGTATCAACAGTGCCGGCCGTCGCGACCACCTTGGCCTGCAGCTCATCTCATCTATTACTCACCAAGCCATTGACCAGTGTCTGAAGTATGACGCCTCGTTCCTTTTCGACTCGCGAGGGTTGTTAGCTGGTATGCGTGAATGGAGGTGTCAATAGCCTTACAGGTAGTTGATGTAGCCTGCGCGGAGGGTTAGCAAACGTACAGCAAGGCGTAGGCGCTGGCAGGAGCTTACCGAAAATGCCACTGCACAAATGAATGTCAGCGCAATGCTTCGAATAGAACAAGTGTTTGCAGTCTCTCACCACATGTTGACGGCTTCTTATGTGTACTCAAGGAAAAGGGCTCGTGCGGGTCGTTGGCGTGTAGCGCTGAGTCGATGAAGGGATGGCAGGTGATCGAGGGAAAGCGTAAGTCGTAGTCGTAGCAGTCGTCAATGAACGATGGCAGGAAACAACGAGTGATGAAATGTTGGTCAGGAAAAAATGTGTTTGAGGACGAGAGCTTCGGTTTTGACGCCCGCCCAGGTCGGTCCCCCTCCTTGTTTCATCAAGATTCCTATTGCGTGTTAAACTTCCTTGAGCCGCGAGCGCTCAGCCTCACCTCAACTGATGAGAGACGTGGCCCTTCTATTTTGAAGCGCGCTCTTTCTCGTTCGTTCTGTCTAGCCTAGCCTAATGCATTACTGTCATGGCCATATGCAAGCGGCCCGTCCTTTGTTCAATCACCATTGAAAACACTCTTCGCTGGCCACAAGCGTGTGGCAATTGCAGCTATATAAAGGCACCGCTAGTAATAAACTTGGTACCTGCGTCCGAGCTGTCGCAATTGTTGGCCGATCGCCGTCGTGGGTGCTGCCAAGCTCGTACATGACGAACGACCACGGGTCTGCACATTCTTCTGCCATCGCTAACGTTACGAAGAACCTTGTCCTGTGCGTTTTGCCGTGCCGATTTGTGAAATAGTCTCTTCGCTCTGAGTCCAAGTTGCACTTTCGCCAGTCTTGCCGAGAAGCATTGTCGCTGCTGTTATCGCAGCCGCAAAGGAAGCTTTGGAGGTTCCTTCCATCGCTCTGCCAACCAGCCCAACGAGAGACGGCGTAATGCCAGTTTCATGTCAAACGGAGGGCTGCCAAACAGCTGCAGCTACTGGCAGGGTCGCGCCGTCGTTTGCTTTGGCGAAGACAACTGACAGCGGCTAGCAATGCAGATAGATGACGGGAGTGTTACAGTGTAGCTGTCAGAGATGTAAAAACCTTAGTAAACTAGTAAATAGTAATTACTATAGTAATAGTAAAATTACTATAGTAATCACTATTACTATCACTATTACTATTACTAGGGACCTTCGAGAAATAGTAATAGTAATAGTAATAGTAAAATAGTAATTACTATTCTACTATTATAGTAGTTTTTCTACCTATTCTAAGCTATAGAACTACTTAATAAGTATAGTATACTATAATATACTATAATATGCTATAATATAATTAAGGATAGTCTAATGTTGATAGTAGAAATATATATTACTATAGTATATATATATAGTATAGTAGCGGCTACTACTAGTCGCTATAGTCGGTAATATATATATAATAGTATAGTAGCCGCTACTATTAGCCGCTATAGTTGCTATTATCTAGTAAGGGTAGGTATACTTGTGTAGATAGTCTTTCTAATAGCTAGATAGAGCCGTTATCTATTTTATACTATATAATCGTTACAATTCTATTATATTATAGCCGTATACTTAATATATGTTTTCTATATTTATACTAGCTATAGGATTACTTATATAGTACTCTAGACTATATGGATATTTATAGTATAATATAGGTATAAAAGATTAATAGTATCTACCTAAATAAAGAAACTACTATATTAAAAATAATATAATACCGGTATTCTTATAGAAAGTATCTAATAGACTATAATTACTTAAGGTTTCTTTCTAATATAGTTATACTAGTACTATAATCAAAGTCTAGATTATAATAGAATTCAAAGCGATTTATATAAAGAAAACCCTTTAATACCCTTTACTCCTACTACTATATATAATACTATTATACCTAGATAGCTAAGACTAGGCTAGTTAGTTTAGTCTAAGTCTATCTCTCTATCGGCTATCTCCTCTAAGTCCTTATTATCTTCCTTACTACTATCTATCTCGATACTATTTCTAGTACTAAGAATCTCTTCTATAGTACTATAGCTTAGAGATTTAATCTCCTCCTTTAAGGCCGCCGTACTTAAATAGGCCTCTATAAGAATCTTTTCCTCCTCTTTATACTCTAAATTAAAGAAGTTAAGCCTACTAAGAAAGTAGATATCGTCGTAGATATCCGTATAGAGATAGGTATCTCTAGCCGACTCGATACTAGTACTAATAGTAGTATAGCCCTCGGGGGATACTATACTACTATCTAGAAATAGTCGAATAAAAGCTATAATATCTATTAGTATAGAGATATTACTAGATCTTAAGGCTAGTATATAATACTTACTATAGTCTTGAAAGTATAGCGAGTATCTTAGAATATAGAGCGTAAGGTATTCAATTCTAGAAACGATATTGTTATCGTTTAAAGAGTCGATATAAGCTCGAATATCTAGCCGAGAATTAAACTTGTCTAAATTATCGATAGAGAATACAAAAGCTAAAAACTATTAGTATAATACGTCAGGTTAATATATTAGGATATAATACCTTTAATCCTCTTATATTCCTTAATATAGTACTGCTTAATCCGGTTAATAAAGTAGGTAATACGAAGTCGATTTAGATATTCGACTCGGACGATTTCTTTATTTCCTTTAGCTCTATTACTTAGCAAGCTATTAATAACAGCCTTAATAGTTTTGTCTATGCGGCTAGACGCTACTATAGAACTCTTATTAATAAACTCATTAATAAAAGTAATAGAGGTTAATAAGGTATCGTCGAAGGTATATATTCTAATAATAATAAAATTAGTATATTACTAAGTAAGAAGTTTCTTTTATATTAGTAGACTTACTTCGTATTATAGTAGTAGTCTACTATTGAATAGACGTCTTATAAGAGTATAGCATAGTAGAGAGTGGCGTAGTTAGTTGTGGTCTCGTATGCTAGGGTGGTGTAGAAAGAAGAAAGATCTTTAGAAAGGAAAGGACGAAGTATATATATTACTCTCTCCTTTTTACTAAGGTTTATATACAATAGTTTAACTATATTTAGTTACTAAATTATAATAATATATTTAAATAAATTTATTTATTTATAACAGTATATTAAAATAATATTATAAATTAATACATTTATTCTAAGATAAATTAGATAATATATTATTCTATTATTCTAAGATACTATTATAAACAAGTAAATAAATTCAAATATACTATTATATCATTATTACTATATATAGTTATACTATTGTATATAAACCTTAATTCAAGTAGAGAGAGCAATATATATATATACGGCTTCGCTCTCCCTAAGTTTAGTTTCTTTCTCTATAGTTCCCTAGTATATTGTGTATACTATCTTAGCTTTTAAAATATATGTTCTACTCTAAAGAAGTTAGAGTACCTTACGGAAAAAAAGTCAAAATAAAAATAAACAGTTCGACTACTAATCTATAGATTATATAATATACTTTAGTAAATAATTAAATTCTTCTAAAAAGTTAAGAATTCGGCCTTAAGCTTTTTTAGAAAGAAAGTATATTATAATATACTAATTATATTATTAAGAAATAGCACAATAATATAATAATTTTATTCTAGAATAAATAAATATATTTATTCTAAAATAACATATTATTATATTGCTCTAAGATACTATTATAAATTAATATATTTATTATCAATATATAATGTTATACTTTTACTACTATCTGTATAGTTATAATATTATATATAATTCTTAACTAATAAAAAGAGCGTAATATATATCTATAGCTTCGCTTTTTTTAACTATATATAATTTTTTTAATAGTTTATCTATTAAACTTATAAAGATATTAACTTCTATAAGAACCTACTATTAGAATTTTAAAAATTAATATCTCTATAGTTTTACTAGATATATCTATAGTAAATATATTAACACACCCTAGAAAAATCAACACTGGGACTCGTACAGAATACAATTTACCATACTAAACAGTCTAATAGCAATTACCACAGTAATAGTAACATTACTACAGTAATTACTATCACTATCACTATTACGATTACTACAGAATTCTCTGTAGGATTACTATTACTATTACTATTACTATTGCCAATTTGACTTTACTATTTACTATTTACTATTACTATTACAATTACTAAGGTTTTTACATCTCTGGCTAGTAGCTGTGCTGTGCTGTCCGGAGCGGGAGTGGCTGTGCGACTGGGTTTCAATATTCTATGCATCCTAGCAGCGTCCGACGATGGCGTGAGCTTGTGCCGGTCATAGTTATGCATGGTTGATGCCGGAGCGTGGGAAGGAAAGAAGTCGACTTCACCTTCCTGCCATGGCAATGTCATCCGCCCGTCGATTGATCTCTCAATCATGCGGTTTCCCTCTCGTGAGAACAGGAGAAAGTTGATGTCTGAATGCTGACGTCGGAGCAGTAGCCCACGCAAACACTTTCGCCATTTGCAATCCATGTTTCCCGCAAGATGCAAAATACGGGCCCATTCACGGACACGCACACGGACACGGACACTGGGCAGACGCGCTGGCTCGCTCGCTCGTTCTTCTCGTGCGAGCACCCGTGATCTCTGCGAGCTTCGCGATGTGCCAGATGTCTCCAGTAGGCGGCCCGTAAATTCTGATCTGGCTTGGGCTTGGGCGGAGGTACCGACGGTCGACGTTGCATACCGTCGGCGCACTGCAAAGCTTCTTGAGAACGCCATGCTGGCTGGCGGACAAAGGGCATAGTGTAAGCAGAGGTCGTAGGACGTGCGCTGAGCCGAGACAGCCTTCGCGTTTCTTTCGCTCCGTCAGGCAGCAACGCCGTTTGCTGGCGGACTGAGGCAAGCGCGCGTGCAAGGCTGAAGCACGCAGCCAGCTCTAGCTCTAAACTTCGACCAACAAGCCGACACCTTTCATCACTGCTCTTCATCTCAACACCGCACCGCACCGCAGAGCGAGCATGCAGCGGTATACGGTGAAGACAAGTCTGGCGACGCCGCCACTCGCCATTCTGTTCGACGATGGCATGCTGGTGTCGGCCTTCGTCCAGGAGGTTCGGAGGCGTGTCACCAAGGTCGACGCGAGCATCACCCCCAGCACGCACCGCGTGAGCCTTCATATCGAGTCCGACGCCGGCGCGCTGCTGGATGAGGAGGACGTCCTTTCCGACCTGATTGAGCCCAAGCGCGAGAGCATTTTCGCCGTATTCGAGCTCAAACAGCTGCCAGGCGCCACTCCCCATGCCTCTACTGCTGAGCAAGTACGTCAATCCAAATCCCGAGACCTCGTGCTGCAGTTCCTGCTACAATTGGCGGTTCTGTGTGTCCCCGATTACGAAGCGGTTGCGCTGATCCATGCTCTAGATCACGTCTCAACTCGCGGATAGTACCCTCGCATGCGTCGAAGACCGGTATCTCGTGCGATTCATCACGCCAGCATCGGCAAAGGACAAGAACTCCCTTCATCCCATTGCCGTGGCCAAGTCTGCTACCATCAAGAAGCTGCACGAGATCGCAGCAGCTCATTTGAACCTGCCTTCCGTTTTCGACAGAGAAGCAGTTGATTCGGAGTGCAACTGCAGCTTCGCAAAGCAGCTCGCAGACGACGAATCATCTTCAGATCATGTTCTGGTAGGTAGCCCTGCAGATGCCGCGCCAGCGAATTCACAAGAGCTGACGCATTTCTTAGGTCGTGTCATCAAAGAGCGTTGTCGATCGCTTGGCTCTCGCTACTCCCAGTGATGGCGCTGTCCATGAAGCACTCTCCACCAAATTCAGCGCTACTGACCTGAACAGCAAGAAGGTTATCAAGCATGGAGGCGTACTCAGTCTCTCCGACTCCAAGTATGCCAAGACTCCAGTGGTAGCAATCTGCTCCAAGCAGCGTCATGTTCCAGTCCACGCTCGCACCGATGAGCCAGACGACGGCGGATTCCGCTTCCGACTCATCGATTTGCACACATCCGAGCTACCGATCAGCAGCAACAGCATGGATGCGACACTTGCCGAGGCACATCTTGATCATATTGTAAACGATGGAGTGCTTGACATCTATGTTGTCAGCCGCGCCTCCACAGGCACAGGCATTACTGCAACTGGACGTAATGCCATTTTCCGCGCGAGACCGCATTGGGACCCGAACGTACAGCAGACTGAGCGCGGCACCGCAATGTTCCTGTCTGCACTCCGCGTTTTTTGCCACCTGGTCCCTTCTAAGGATGCAGACCGCCGCATGAAAGACGCTGTGCTTCATGTCTTCGACCTCCTGACTAGATTTCCCCCGGCGCTTCGCTCTCTGCTGGTCTTGATCGATGGCAAGACTCCAACGGCTGCCGAGAGCTCAGCCTTGGCTCACGCTGTTTACGAGTCCATTCACGAAATCATCATGCCGACTGGCATCATTGGCACTGACAAGGCACGCGTCTTTGAAGGTGCTCGATTATTCTTCGGCTTCGTCTTGGAGAAGGCGCGCTCGGTAAAGCTTCCGGACACCGTCAAGGACGACGACCTCCCATACTTGTCTGCATTCGATGCTATCGAGATCAAAGACTTCAAGACATCAGAGCCAATCAAGTATCTGATGATGACCGCGTCTGGCATGGTGGAGAAGGGTCTGTACACGGCTTTTGACAAGGAGAAGAATGGTGTACTGCACGAGAGTCACCTTCAGCCAATGTTGGTGCCTCTCGAACCTATGCCACTGGCTTGTCGGACGGCATTGCTCAGCGCTGGCTCGGCTGCAGAACCTCTCATATTCGATCAGAAGCGTCTGAATGGCGCTTATGGTTATGCTGATGGTGGTGAGCTTGGCGCAGCAGTCGATGTCAGTGAGCTGGCAGACTTTACTCATCTGGCCGAGCTTGCCGCGCGCAACAAACTCGCGGTCCATCGTCCGAGCCAGCTGGCCTCGTCAGTCGCGCCATGCCTTACCTTCGACCGCAAGGGTCATCTCGCTGTCTACACTGGCCAAGCTGGATGCGCTGCTCCCGGGGAATCTGACATGATCTTCAGACCGATGCACGGAGAAGAGACCATGAACCCGCCGGTGGTCGAGCAGCTCATTGCACCAATCATAAAGCAGTATGAGGCTGAAGGAACCGCCGTCTTCGACAGCTTTGGTGGCGCAACGGTGCGCCGCCTTCAGGCACCCGACGAGCTCCTCATGTTCTGTGTGGACAACAGCGCGAGCATGCGCTCAGCCACAGACTTCGCTGAAGTCAATGACTTCGAGCCAGCGTTCACGAGCGATGAGATGACTGCAGACAGCGTTGTTGAAGGCGAAATCTACAATCGGTCTAGCTTTGACGATATGAAGGAGTACCTCAACAAATATGAAGGCATCTCTGATATGCTCGCCATTGTCGCAGAAGCGCCGTTCTACCTTCGGCTGCACTATTCCCACCAGGTCCTTGAGCTTTTGCGGACCATGCTTGGCAACGAGATAGTGGCAAAGCATAAGGAGCGAGAAGAGAGATCTCAATACCTTCGTGGGTGGTATGCACGTCAACACAACGCTGAGCTGGACACTAAGCTCAGGAGTCTGAAAGCACAGTGGGCAGGTCTCAAGACGCACGAAGAAGCGCTCACTCAGTTCTTGATATTCCGTGCTACCACGACTCCGGCTGCTGCCACGGACTGGAAGTGGTCTCCTGGAGATGAGCTTCCGGCAAACTCGGCGCCAAACAGGATACCTACCCTTCCAGAAGCCTTGACAGAGATGCCAGATCGCCTGGTCTGCCCTGTTAGTCGCGATCTCATGTCGGACGCTGTGAAGGCCAGTGATGGTTTCACGTATTCTCGTCAAGCAATTGAGCAGTGGTTCTCCATTCGGAAGTCTTCTCCCATGACCGGCCTTTCGCTTACCGATACTCATTTGACACCCGATGATGAGGTATCTCGGGCTGCCGCAGACTGGGTCCTGGGCTCTGACGATCATGCTTGTCAGGCATCGCCACCAGCGAAGAAGACGCGTTTGTCTGCTCCAGACTCGACAGAGCTGAAGGTCACATTTCTTAGCAAGAACGGACCATTTACGAGGACCATCACAGCCGACACCAGCGTGAACGAGCTGTACAAGGTCGCCTTCCGTGGCTTGAAGGCACGTTTCACTGTGTTTCAGCTTGCGCTCGACGAATCCAACCCTTTGAGACCTTCCCCGGAGACTGCGTCCTCTCGTGGAATCCAGGACGGCCAGCAAATCATCATCCGCTTGGCCGAAGAGATGGCCGGTGCCGATAGTGCAAGCTCTTCTTCAAATGGTAATGCTACCGCCAACGACAATGTGCTGATCAAAGTCTACAAATACCAAAGCTTCTGCTTCAGCTTTTGGGTAAAGCGTTCCGCTACAGCTGGGACTCTGGCATCCATCGCTTGGAAGTACTATCGCCACTCCTTCCACGAATCTGGAATTCCAGGCTTTCACGATGTCAATGTTTGGACTGACCTGTACTCATCGGGCGATGGTCTGCTGAACGGAGCTTGCAATGAAGTCACTACGAGCCTCCATCAGTTCCTCAACGCCGCTCACTGTCGTGGAAAGCTGGAAGAGGAGCCAGTACACTCCGAGCGCAGCTTTCTGCCGAGCTCTTCGAGATCGACTCAGGCCCTGGTACTTAAAGTCGAAATTGAGAAGCGTCGTACATCCACCGGCCACGAAATTCCGAAGATGTCTCGACTAGACGTTCTCAAGCAACTGTTTGAAGCGCTGATTAACAGATCGATCGCCTACGGCTACAAGACTCACGTTGGACTCATTACCTTCGCTTCGAACGTTGAAGTTCAGGTCCCGATGACGCACGTTGTGGAACAGTTTCGCTCTCAGTCGAATGCTATGCATGCCCAAGGCGACACTGCCTTGTGGGACGCTCTAGCGATGGCGAAGGATCAGCTGGACGAGTACGCAAAGAAGTATCCTACTGCCCGTCGTCGCATCATAGTCATCAGCGACGGCGAGGATACAAAGAGCGTTACTAATGCGCCACAAGACCTTGCTTGGAGCTTCATGCAGGACAAGACTGTGGTAGACAGCATTGCTCTCGGCTCACACACTGCTCGGGACCTTCGTGGTCTCTCATATCTTCTTGGAGGTTACGCCTTCCATCCAACTTCTCTGGCTAATGCGCTTGCCGTCTGCGAGCTGGAACCATTTCTGTCGATCACCGAGCGACCAGATACGCCACTGCCACTGGGAACTTCGACTTCCCGACCGTTAGTGAAATCAAAATTCTATCAGGCTCGGAGCAACGCGAGATGGACCAAATTTAACGAAAACCAGTTTCCAGCTCGAAAGGAGCACCCAAACATGAACAACAGTTTCATCCTTCTCTCCGCAGCTTCAGCTCGGTCCATCGGCCATTCGGCGCCAGGCAGTGCCGGAGCATCTCGTGGCCTTCGCATCAATCGTTTGATGAATGAGCTACGCAGCATTGTGGCTCATGTCAGCGATCGCAAATACGACGTCTACGTCAGCGAGCAGGACATGACGTTCATGAAAGTCGTCATGGAGGGCCCAGAAGACAGTCCATATTCTGGAGGTACCTTCATGCTCTACCTTCATGTTGGCGAGCAGTACCCGACTTTTGCGCCAGACGTTCGCTTCATCAGCCGCATCAGTCACCCAAACATCTCGCTGCATGGCAAGGTCTGCCATGCCCTTCTGTCCCGTGACTGGACTTCAGATACTAGTCTGCTCACTGTGCTGGACACTGTCTATGGCCTGCTCCTTCAAGCAGAGACCTCCGATCCCGTCAACACGACCGATGCGCTTGGGTACTTACACGATCAGGTGGAGTGGGCAGAGTCGGTGCGTGAGCATGTTCGCAAGCATGCCAGCAAGACGCGGGAGCAGTGGAAGCAGGAGTTGTTGGAAGTTCTGTGAACGTCTCGCTCACGAAACAGCACAGTAGCCATGCAAAGCTGCAGAAGTGCAGTCTTATCGCCTACACGAGTATGAGCCTGGACGGGCTGAGATTTGCTTGTTCTAAAGAACTTATGTAGACGATGAAACTGAACTGAACGTCAAGCGAAAATTCGCATTCGTAGTCTCCTCTCTCATCGACGCTGCTGAAATCCCATTTTCGAGTTGCAGCCTAGGAGCACAGCTTCAGATCTTGACGTCTCACGACATGATCCTCCTACGGGGCCACAACATCAGCAGCGAAGTTGTGCTCACATGCAACAATACGATTCTGGTCCTTGGGAACTCTTGCCTGCCTGCCTGCCTGCCTGCCTACAATGCGACTGCCCGCCCGCCCGCCCGCTTGCAGTTGTGAAGTTATAGTAGTGCTTTTCAAAAGTTCTCCATAAAAGTATAGCCATCTTCCTTTGACGTCCGGTCGTCGTAACTAGTTGATGTAAGTGTAAGACTTGAACATCTCTCTGCTCAAGGAAAATTTCGACATGAATTAGGTAGTCACTCACTCCAGCCCGCAACACAAGAAAATGTAGTGTGATCTTCGTGCTCGGATACGCTTTGTTCACTGAAAACATCATGGTCTCGAAGATCTCCAAAAAAAGGTATACGCAAAGATCATAAGACTTGTTTCGATGAGAGACGGAGGAAGAATTGGTGTTGCAAGTTTTTCATCACATATCGATACAAGTTCATATATACATACATATGCTAGCCATGCTTTCGCTCAGAAAAAAAGATGAATGCATCCGGGGAGAAAGCCATCTTAACATCTACTTTACTTGCACGAGTTCCTTCATCACCTCATGCGTGTGTCTGTCCAAGGCCGTTTCTGTTCCCGTCCGTCCGTGAATCCTTGGTATATCCCTCGCGATGCATATTCAAGAGAACAGCCGTTTACCCATGACGATAGATGCTTTAGCAAAACAACTTGTATACACGCTTCCACGCTGGCCATGTGGCGCGTTCTGCTTTCTCTTCTTCTATGAGCTCTGCGATATTTAGATCTCGGATACCGGTGTGGAGATCCTGCGGAGATTTTTGTCAGTAAGTTTATCCGCATTGTTGAGGTAGATTCAAGGCTTACCATGTTATGCGTCCGAATGAACGGCGTCCTGTACCAAATCTTGTACACAATGTAGAAGACGATAACAATTGGCGCGGCGAGATACAGCTGGAAGAAATTCTCCACCTGTCCAGAAGGGCCAAGTTCTTTATAGTCGATCGGCCAGATACCGACCCAGAACTGCCCGACAAGCACGAGGCAGTTGAAGATAAAGCCGATCCACGAGCCAATGACACCTGGTTGAGAGCGAAAGGCCAGCTCATCCAAGCTGTGGCCTTGCTTCTTCCAGCCTGATCGGAAACGAATGTGTGCAAGACAGATACTGCCCCAAGTGAAGATAGATGAGAGGCCGGAAAGGGCCAGCATCCAGTTGAAAGCGTCTTGCTGCTTGTCTGATCCAGCGAAGAACGCTAGAAGGCCGAGTACCGAAGCGACAGCGATGGATGCGATTGGACGCCCTTTGCGATCGATATATCCCAGGATTTTCGGAGCTTGGTTCTGGTCTGCAAGAGCCGCCATGGTTCGGGAGCTGCCGTAGATGGATGAATTACCGACGGAAAGCACAGCAATCATGATAACAACGTTGAAGACGGAGGGAAGACCGGTGATTCCTGCGTTGATGATTGAAATGACGAATGGAGATGCCTTTGCGTCTGCGCTGGAGCTGCCGTTGATGAGACGAGTGTCATCGTAAGGAACGAGAAGACCGACCAATGTCAGCGAGACAATGTAGAAGAGAGTGATACGCCAGAAGACCTGCTTGACCGCGGTTGGCAGAGACTTCCTTGGATTTGCAGTTTCGGCGGCGGCAAGACCGACAAGCTCAGTACCAGCGAAGGCGAATGCGGCGGTGACGAAGACGGAGCAAAGGCCCTTGAAGCCATGATTGAAGGCACCTGGGTTTGACCAAAACTGCCCTCCGATGTAGCCACCCTTATCGACGTTCCGATATGCCGAAGAGTACTGGTAAATGTCGTCACCGTAGTTGCCAGGAGCGCCACCGCAATTCAGAATGATGCCCAGGAGGATGTATCCGACAATGGCAATGACCTTGACGATGGCGAAAACGAACTCAGCCTCGCCGTAACCCTTGACTCCAAACAAGTTGATGACAATGATCAAGACCAGGAAGATGGCAACCCAAGCGTCGTTGTTGATGGATTTGTCACTCCAGTATTCAATGGTGATGGTCGCGGCCACGATTTCCAAGGGCAAAACAACCAGCCATTGCATGGCGTAGCTGTGCACGATATCAGCAAATGTTCATGACGATGTGAGCATTTCAAGCACTCACTTCCAGCCCATGGCAAAGCCCCAAGCAGGGTCCAGGAATCGAGTGGAATATGCCGAGAAAGAACCGGCGACGGGAAACAGAACGGCCATCTCTCCAAGGGCATGTACGGTGCAGTACAGCATAATGCCGACAAGCATGAATGCGATGATGAGCGATGCTGGGCCACCGGTTGCCAGAGCAGAGCCAGAGCCAACGAAGAGACCAGTACCGATGGAGCCACCGATGGCAATCATCTGGAGATGTCGGCCCTTCAGATGGCGCTGCAAGGGCGACTCGGCGGTGGCAGCGGCGGCACCCTCGACATCAAAGACTCGTCCATCGGAGCCTACGACGCCTTTCGGCGTGGCGTGCGCGTTAGGATCGCGCTTGAAGCTGTCGACGAGTCTCGCCTTCCAGGGGCGGTGGTGGTCCATTTGCGTGCCATATTCGGGGAGGCCGGGCGAGTCCTGCGAATACTCGCCTGAGGCCGACTTGATGTTCTTCTCGTCGGAAGAGTCCATGCTGGGCCGGGCGAGCGTCGGGCTGGAGCGAGTGGTTCAAGCGTTCGGTAGCGTGGCTTCGTATTGTAGAAGCAGGAACGCTGCTCGATATCGATGGCTGCGGACAGATGGTACGTGGAGGCGGCCTGGACATGCGCGACGCAGCATGCACCCGCACCCGCACAGCGTCAGCGTCAGCACCAGCAGCAGCAGCAGATGCGAGACGGTGAAGTTCAAGGCAGATACTGTAACAGGTGAACGGTCGAGTGTCGAAGGATGGTCGGGCGCTACGTTAGCGGAGAGTTTGGCTGCAGAGACGAACCGAATCGCGAATGGGACGACGGCGAGCACCACCGGATCGGGCTTGGCGCTCTTTGGACCCCGACCTCTCGGCTTCCAGAACGGCTCGCTTGGTGCCTGCCTTTGTCGCCATACCATTATTATTATTTCCCCGCTGTACCCATCGTGACATGCTGTACAACCACAGCACCTACTAGCACTTCAAGCATTCACCCGCCGGCGTAACCACAATTCCCTGCATTCGCCGCTCCACATCCTGCCCATCGTCGAGAGAGAGCCTCCGTCGATACAGTAGTACCTTGTAGTTGTTCACCATTCACGGCCTGTGGAGCTGTCACCATTCCAGCGCTGACAATGACTCTTTGTCCGCCGTCATGCTGACCTGGCCCTTTCACATTGCCAATTTCCTTGCTGACTTCCAGTCTGCCTCCAGAACAGCATTGTCCGGTCCGATGTTGATGAGACACGATCGCAGCACATGCGTCTTTCCGAGACCAATCCATTTTTAAGCATGTCGTTGGGCTCCTGCTGTGTATCCTAACACTCTCCATGCATGCGCAAAGCTGGATGCAGCCAGAGAAAGATCCCTGTCGTGTTCATCCAGCTTCATTACTGGCCGAGCACGCTGGGAAAACGTGCCGCCATACAGCGAGCGGTACGACTTCCCATCGGCATCGAATCTGCTCCTGCAGCATACATTCGCTGGTACATGTAGTAGGTCGACATTGGCATCCAGGAACCAGCAAGATCTTGGCTTTCGCACTTTCACGTCTCATGAAAATGGCGCGGGTCGAAGCAGTAGCACGAGGTTCTCGCGTGGCGGTGGGACTGGTAAATCCATGACTGTGGTGCAGTCAGAATGCGCGTCGCCGTCTATTGGAAGTGCGCCCCGAGGAAAGATGAATTTCATCTTCGTCTTACGCCTTGGCCTACAAAGCATCATTTCCACTTTATTGATGCGCGGCACGAAAGCGGACCACGTCTGTACCTGGGATGATCTGTCAACCCTGTGCAGAGCACGTCCTTCGCCTGGAGGAGACTGTCGGTGAGCACGTCATCTGCATAGCATAGGTGACGAGAAGTAGACGTGCATATCCACGAGATTTTTTTTTGCATGTCAGCTGGCTGGCAGATGGGGCCGGTGATCGGGGTGCTCGGCTCATCAATCTGCGCCTTCTATTCATCATCACTGTCAACACCTCTCTTGCCAAGCTTCTGATACCAGACGTCATGCAGATTTCGCCGTAAAAGTCATCCACCTCTTGAACGCTACACGCTGCAGTTGGGCATGTGCATCGCTGTCACGTCGTCCAAGGAGAATGATGTTAGTTTCAGGACTGACAAAACAAGTGTACGACGGAAGCACCAGGTCAGAACGGTCACCAAGAGACAAAAGTGCATCACGACAAGGCCTGAGGATGACGGAAAAGGAGACTCGAACGCTTATCGCCGACAAATGAAACAGAAACGACGGCAGGAGCATAGACATGGTAACCTGGATTTTGGAATACTTCTGGGTATAGCTATTGGGGACATGCTCAGCGTCAACGCTCGCTTTTACCTCCTGCCGGACGACTAACATCCCGAACACCATCATTCTCATGACTATGATGCTCTCCTCCTAAACCTCCGTCTCAATGCCCGGCTCCCTCGTATGTCGACTGAAAAGACTAGACACCTTGTCACCCAACTTCCCGACCTTTGTCTTCGCGCCATCAGCAACTCTCGGAGCCTATCGTCAAAATCAGTAAATTGAAAAAAAAAAATTCACCCCATCTCTCCATCTCACCTTATACTGCATCAAACCCCGCTGATGCCTATGCTTTTGCTTCGCGTGTTTCTTATACTCCTTCGCCTGATCGATCAAATTCATCTTACCCTCATCACCATCAACAGACTTCTTCTCATCCTCGTCGTCACTGCTACCATCGCTTTCCTCATCCGAGCTCGAACCCGACGTATCATTCCCATCACCCTCAAGAATCCCAAGCTCTTCCGCATTCTTCTTACTCTCGTAATTATCTCTCGCGGTATCGAGAACTTCCATGACTTGTTTCAAATCTTGGTCTTTGTTCGCCCAGCGCTGATGAGCGGCACCCAGACCGGCCCAGAATGTGAGCTTAACTTTGATTGTACCGACTCTTTTCTCGCCGGGTTCTTTAAGAGTGTTGGCGACGGCGCGGTCGTAGTCACCCGTGTAGATTGGAAGCTCGATGTCGCGTTCTTCGTCATCGGGAAGGTCTTTGAGCCAGAGAACTGCAAAAGCGGCGGTCGTGTCTTTGCCGACCATATTGTTCTTCTTGAAGCGAAGGGATAAGCAGGACGCGTAGCGCTTGTGGACGGGGAGGAAGAGGCTTCGCGTTGCTTCCTTTCCTGTTCGTCTTCGGGTGTTCCAGGTGCCATCATTGTTGGGATACATTTTCCCTGTTCCAATGTTGGTGTGCCATTTCAGCTTGAGGTCTTTCAAATCGCTTTGAATGTCAGAACTTGAAATCGTCGGGGAGATTTCCACAGTGCCATATTCCCATCCGACTGTTTCGGGAGGAGCTTGAAGCTGGACACTTCGCCAGACCATGGAAATTCTCGCTCTGCCATAGCCGACTCCACCCGTCAGTGGGTAGAAGCCGTTGACTTGAGCGCGATGCTTGAAAACTTCTCCCAGCGGCAGGTGCACTATCCCGAGGAGGGCATCATTTTCGTCGACACGCGCATCTCGCACAGAGACATGGACTTCCGCGCTGCGCCAGTCGCCAATAAAGCGTTCGGTGCCTGCGTTATAGAAGGGCTTGGCGTTCTTCGGTTTCGTCCTGGTCTTGAAGACCTTCTTGTGGTTGATGATGACCGTGCAGTAAGCAGAGGGTAGATCTTTTCCTTCCTCTTCTTCGTCTTCATGATGAGCCTTCTTGTCGACTTGAGATTTGCCCGGAGTCTCCAGTTCCAGGCCAGTGATTTGGTGAACAACAATGCTGAAAATTCCACTGGGGTAGTCATCGGGCGGAGGCGCAGATATGATAATGGCATCTTCAAGCACCTTCCTTTCTTGCTCCTTCTGCTGCTTGAGCTCTTGATCGGTGCGAGAGTGACGACCTTTCTTGATCATTGCTTCTCGAAGCTTCCGCTCACAGGTCTTTTCGACTTTCGTGTCCAGGTCTCGTTGAGAACGAATGGACTCGTCGTACGTCTGCTCCTCGAATTGGCACTCCTGTAGTCGCGTTTTGGAGAAATAGCCGACCTGCCACTCAAGCTTGCCAGGCATGCTTTCGCCGGCTTTCAGAGCCTTGAAGCCATCCGTGCGGTAGCACATCTTGCCGTTGGTGTCGCTGGATCTCATAATCTGCTTTAGATCGACCTCAATCCTCCCTAGGTCATCGTCGGCGGTGAAGCGATCAGAATCCCACAGCTGGACACGAAGACGCTCATCGACATTGAGCTCTTGTGCTGTTACGAGCAGATAGCATCTCTCATGCCAGTACGGCTCCATCTCCTTGATCAGCACTCTGGTTGAGAACATAGGTTTGCCAAACTTTGCCCATCCGACTGAAACGTGTGGATCCGAGCCACCTTCCGAAATGAGCGGAATCGCTGCATCGCCCATCTTGAAGTCATACCCGTGCATGATGTCTACAACGAGGACGCCTCTAGCATTGGTGTCTTTCTTGAAGTCGTCACCCGCAATCATGTCCTTCAGGTCGAGAGTGAGTGACTTCGGAGCGACACTAAAATCCGTCAGCACAGTGTTAGACCACTTGTTTCTGGTCCTTACTATTCAGCCATTGCCGCATCCACTGAGCTTTGCACGAAATTAGAGATCAATGGCAGATCCATGATATTTAGAGCGCGCTTGAAAAGTGGGATGCAGCTGATGTCAACTTTTGGTTGTCCCAGGAATGTCAAAGTGCAGAGCGAGAAGAATGGCGGATCGGGTGTCAACTGCAAGCGCAGTCTGCAAGTCCCAATGATGCCCTTCATGTCTACCCATACCGGCAGCTTGATGTTGCCGGGAAGGTAGAAGGCCAGGTACATGTGAATGTCCTTTGTGCGGTCGCGGAAGGACTTGGATGCACGAGCACGATACGCAAAAGCCACTTCGAGGTTGATAAAGTCGCCTTCTTCAGCCTCCATACCTTCTGCAACAGCGGCTTTCTCAGTGCCGTCGCCCTTGTCCTCGTCACCAGATGCCTGATCGTCGTTGTCTTTCTTCTTTTCGCCATTCGGCTGATCTTTCTGCTCACTCTGCCCTGCGTCGTTGTCGACCTCCCCTTTCCCTGGTACTGCTCTGTCATTCGAATGATCGTCTTTGTGGAGCTTGCCGTCATCACCGACGGATCGAGCAGCAGCGCCGCTTGGCAGCCACCGAATACCGAGTATGCGAAGACTTTCACTGCCTGGAAGGGAGAAATACAGCGATCAGCAGATATCTTGGAATGGATGAGGTCCGGAGAAACAGGACAGCCATGGAAGGCTACGCTGCAAGCAACGATCAAAGCACCCGAACTGCTCGGTGAAGTGTAGAAGGTGATAAGGCTGGCTGGCGAGTTTGCTTCACTTACCTTGTCCAATATCTTCTACCGAAACCATCTGCACCAGCCTAGGCAAGGACGCCTGCATAACGTCCTCCAGCATATCTGCCACGCTAGTGAAGAGATCGGGGTTGATGAGAGGCCAGACGGAGCTCACAAGAGAGTTGAGCCAGGCGACAGACTCGGTCTGGTGAGCTTTGGCTTCCCGCTCCTTGGCTTCCAGGTTGGCCTCCCAGATCTGCTCCTCCCAAACATCGTTGATTCGGTTCGCCATCCACATTCGCACTCCAGCAACCAACTCCCAGATAGCTGCAATGGTGAGCAATGCGAGCACGGCCCAGACGCCAGACTTGTACAGCCACCATCGCTCGTTGCTTCTGGTCCAGCGTGCAATGCGATTGGGCTCGAGGATATGTTCTATTCCCACAGCAAGCAGTAATATAGCTGCGGTCCCCAGCAGCCCCACAGTGATACCGAGCTTGTTTATACTTACGATGTCGCCTCTCAGCACATCATAGCTAGGAGGTGGGAAAAGGGAGTTGATGGACTCCAATCCCTCTTGCATATCTTTCCGCTCCGATTCAAGCTCTTTCGTCGATTTGCGCTTATTACTGAGGCCGGTCGCGGTCCTTGCGGTCTTGCCGAAGGGGACTTCATTCTCGTCAACGTCCTTAAGCGAGTCGCTTGTGAAGTCGGAGATGTTGACAGGCAGATGCGTGACTGGATCTGTGACTGTGCGCTCAGCCCTCTCTTCCCTCCCCTTCTTGATATCCTTTCGAATGCTCTTCGGGTCGCGGGCGATTGGTGCTGCTTCGGAGGTGTCTATTGTATGCTCCTCATGCTCCAGCTCGTCTTGGACTTGTTCGTTGTCGTATTCAGCGGACTTGGCGCCAGCATCTTGCTGCTCATCCTTGTGGTGAGGATGATGAGCGCCCTCGTCAGCGGTCTTCTCCTCACCTTTCCAGTATGCTCGCCAGTTCTCCTTGGCACGATCGGTTCTAGATGGCTCTAAATAATGCGCGGCTTCTCCAGCGTTCAGCCTTTCCTCCTTTTCTTGACGATACTTGGCTATGGTGGGCACAGGGTTATGACGATTGTACGGCGCGATATAGTTTCGCCTCGAACGCTCAGCATCCTCGTTGCCGGACATGGCTCCGGGAAGGCTCCGGTGCGCGCCCTCGTCACAGCGCGTCCTTCACCGGCCTGATGCAAGGCGCGAGTCTACCTTTTACCGCCTCTGATAGCGGTCGAAAGGAAGGCTGGCTGCAGCGCTATCACTGTCACGCCGCTCCGGTGAGAGGTTCACGACAGTGGCAATGTGTGGAACAGAGGAGGTGTTTGCATGGACGGCAGAATGGGAGAGGTCAAGGCACGAGCAAGACGGGAACACAACACCAGCCTTACGTCACTGGTGTTCCACGCAAGAAGCAGGAGGCTCCAAGGACCAAGGAGTGAAGTGGAGACGAGTTTCGACGCTGTCGCTGTCAGGTCCGACTCGGGGTGGAGGAGAGTGTGCTTGTCTCCTGCCTGCTAAACGAACGCCTGGTCTCGTGATGTGCATGAGACGCGTAGGTAGTAGGTGCATAGAGATATACGGTACTCGAGGGAGCATGTGACCTTTCGTACTGCTCTGTAAGATGCAGCTGGCACTGGCCGCGCCGAGCCTCACTGCTCCTGACGCTCACGCTCACGCTCACGCTCACGCTCACGGACACACATCGCCCTCGCCATTCGCCGTTCGCCATTCGCCATTCGCGCCCCAAGCGAGCCTCTCGCCCCGCCTCTCGCCTCTCGCCTCTCGCCTCTCCCTTCCGCCCTCATCGTCGCATAATCGCATTTCACCCCACCTCCACTTCAAACCTCACCTCTCACTTGCACGACAACTTTTATACCCTCATTCCATTCAACCCGAACCTCTATCTCCACCTCGCACTGCACCGCCACACGGCTACCCTCAGACACCCACACTGCACACCGGTGAGACTCGCGGGACACGGCTATCGACCGGTCAAGACAATAGCTCCCGGAAGGATCTTGACCCTTCTCAACCTCAGGCCTGACGCCCTGCTGCCGTACCGTGCGCATCACATCCAGCTCGAAAGCGAAGAGCCTGTCTGCGCCTCGCCTCGCCTCGCCTGGGCATCCAATGCGCAAGCCGTAGCCCGCATTCTCACCGGCGGCTGAGGCCGTATGCTCCATCAAAATGGCCGCGCCGTCCCTCGCTCCCTACGGGGCACTGCCATTTCCCCCTCTGGGTTACGACTCTGGCCTGCCAGAGCACTTTGAGGACCTGCTCTCGGATCCCTCCCTCCCCCCTCTGGAGCAATTTGCGGTGGACGACATGGCCGTCTTGCAATTTGACGACAGCGATATGCGATGGATCTCGCCCTCACTCCTTGACCATTCTGCTGTCCAGTCTGAGCTGGCAAAGTCACCTAGCTTGGGGAGTCACCCGGCAGAATCGGAAGGCAGCATTTCGCTGTCGCCGAGTGCTGCCTCCCACTCCATACTGACCCCTAGCTCGACCTTCAGTCCCTACGTCACCAATCTCGATGACCCAGAATCAGACGCAAACAACTCAGCTTCACCAGAGAGCGACGCTTCGACAAGCCAATATGTCCTTGTCGATCAGCTGAATGCTGAGACGCGAGCCTCAAATCACGGAATGAACGTCTACTCAGCACGTGCTTCGCCCAACATCCCGCCGACCACTCAAGCCGCACGTCCGTCATCAAACACATCACGAGAATCATCGGCGCCTCAGCAGCAAATGGGCAATCCACAGTTGCAATCATTCGCTTCCTCGTCCAGTGGCGCGATACATGACTATTCGGGCAATGCCGCCGCCCAATACTCATCCTTCAACGACGGTGACTTCGACCTCTTCGCAAACACCGGTGGAAGCTTCGAGGACTCCTTCGGCACATCAAGCGTCGCAAACCATGCGAGCCTACCATTTCGACCGACTCAAGGCGCCACCATTCCATCTCAATCACCCTTCCAAACGGCGTACCAACAAGCCGGCGAGTTGAGCTCGAATGCTTTCACCCCTAGCTCGACCTACCCAGTCCAAGGCCTCCGCAACCACTTCCACGCCGGCCATACCTCCTTCACTACTCCGGTGCAGCAGTCCACCAGTGATGCTGCCTTTCAACAGTTTCTCACTGCCAGTAGAATGGGAAACCCGCCCACTCAAAGCGCCGCGTTATCGCATGCTCACCCCACACCACAGGCTCCATTCAGGTCGGTGCCGTCTGCAAGTAGCAGCATGACACCTACCCAAGCTGTACCAATACTCAGACCGGCATATCGGCAGCCACGCCTTCAGGTCAATATCACTTCCGTCGATGGTGACTATAGCCCGCATAGTAGCCAGTCTGGCACATCACTAGACGATCATAGCACCTCCTTAGGAGGCATGTACACGGCGATTCGTCAAGCCGACCCTTCTATCCGATATACCCTTGCCACCCAGCGTGCAAGTCAAAACGAGCACAAGGTGCAAAAGGGCGGCCGCAAGAGAGGTATCCATTTAACGGAGCCATCTCGTGCTCGCAGCCATCAGATGCGCAAGATAGGTGCATGCTGGCGATGTGCTATGCAGAGAGATCCTTGTGATCACGGCGATCCATGTTCTAGATGTGCTATGCGCTCTCAGCGAGGTCAGAACTACTATTTTGGATGCGACCGATCGAAATTACCGGACTTTGTGACCGACTTCTTACCCCAGTCACTCTGCTTTGACCACACTAAGGGAGTGCTTGAAGATACTGTGAGGACCGAGGTAGTGAATTGGCACCGCGAGAATAGCATTGATGTCTATCTGTCCTGCGGCTATGGCCCTCCGCTCAGATGGAAGCTGACAGAGTTTTCGCCAAAATCACCAAACCTGCTTTGGCAACTACAGTATTTCCAAGACCCTCGCACTGGACGCTCCATACCCAGGAAAAAGTATTCGCCGCCGTACGGATTGCTGAAGCTTGATGGTGTCGATGACAAATCCTTCGATGACTACCTGAAGGACCTTCTCGAGCCGTTCCACTTGAACGAGCTTGGCCAAAGCTTCTACGCCGAAGAGAACGAAGTGGACCAGGACATGTTCCAATGCCAAGTCCTCCATATGATGTCGCGGCTGTACATTGGTACTTGCGATGACAAGCTTAAATCTCTCCTGCGAGACATCTTGCGGATGATGGTGATCACATGGATAATGGGCCACACCTTGACAATAACTGAGGACACCCTACGCCCTGTCATCAATAACGTTCGCCATTCCAGGAAACCAAACGATTACGAACTTCAAGAATTCACTTCGCCTCGCCTCGCCAATAGGCAGCTCAAATTCTTCTTCGGCGTCTTGCGCAACCAGATGTATGAGAAGTTATTGAAATGGCTCCAGCAGACCTTGCATACTGCTGGCAAGAAAGAGCAGACCTGGTTGCAGTCATTCTGTGTTATTCTTGGGTTCGCTATGGTATTGGAAGAGATTCAACGCACCATACAATGCCATGCCGATGCATTGATCGTACGTAGTGAAGCCACTCCTGAACAAGCCGAGACACAGGCTTTCAACAGTTGCAAAGGCATAGATGACCGGTTTAAGCTGCTCGTCGGCCTGTTTCAATGCAAGTATCGCGACAAGAAGTGGGGAGAGTATGGCAGCTTCGGCAATGGTACGCCAGAGCTAAAGGAGCCCATCGCGCATGAATTCTGCTCCATATTGCGCAACATGGTGGAATATAAGCAAGGTCACTTGCGATCGCGAGAGAACGTGCCATTCTCGCTCGAAAACCAATGCCGCTACACCACGAGGCTAACGGCAAGATTCCTGTTACCATTCCTGGATCTGCCCAAAGCATAGCGAAGCGAGCATGAGTCTTGGTTTGAATTACGGTATGTGTTGGCTCTGTCATATATGACATCCTTTACTAACATACGACAGGAGTCACTTGGCACGAATGGATTGACGGCGACCTGGGCTGCGTAGCAACATCTGTTACCCGGCCGGTCATCGGCTGAATCAAAGATACCCCAACGGAGTTTTCGGTCTCTCAAGATACGACGAGAGAATGAGCTGTGATGCTTTCAGCTCGGCATGGTTATACAGGACGGCGGTTTCTGTCCTCACGATCTAACGATAGCGGCACTTTGCCCGAATGCGGCAACATAATGTCTTGAACGGCCGCGGATGGGAAATGAATCAAATGATGGAAGAGCTATCTCGCGAAGCACTTCACCGTGCTCGCAACCGCGAGACTAGTACTCAGATAGGTGATCACTGGGGAATCCCTCGTGCTGTAATGCACAGAAAGGGATTCCTAGCGTCCCCTCAGCATAGTGTCAAAAAATGAAGTCCAATCATCCACAATCTGACCTTCAACCCTCCTTCCTAAACACTCAATCCACTCACCACTACATCCCTTCCCGTCTTTTGATTGCACCATTTCACATTCTGTAACCACTGTCCCAAAGATGAAAATTCCACGTGGTGAGAAAAGAGAGTAAAGTTTTGCCAATGAGCCACGGAATGGGTAAGCGAGGGTCGTGGAGAGTAAATGTACTATTTCAGACTTCGCTGCTGACCTGGCACATGTCTGAATGCTTCTTCGTAAGGCTTCCTTACGCTATCGAAGAGCTCGGCCGCGACGAGGGCTTTGAATGCTGTTGTTTCATTTCCACGAATTGTACACTTGCGGAGTGCTTGGTCGTATCAGTCACACTACGAGAGATGCAAGTCTGTCAGCAAGTCGATATATACGTATACACTTGAAACACAGGGTCCTGTGGCTTGGACCGTGCACACGCGCTGCACCTATTTAGCGACTTCTCGCTTCTTCCGTAGACACTCAATTAACCATCGAACATACACACTTCAAGTGGTTATGAGCCCTCGACTGCTACCGCAGACCAACTGACTGAACACCCTCCTGCGCAAAGCAGGGGGTGCGACCGACCGACCAACCAACCTAAACAGCCAAGATGGCTGCCACCGACTCGACTACACTTCCGGCCACTGGCATTCGGAAACTGACACTAAGCAACTATCCCCTCTGGAGCGTCGACATCAAAGCGCTTCTGAGGCGCGCTAAGCTGCTGAAATACACTACGACCGACCGAGTTACTGCACTCAAAGATACGACTCTGCTATCTCCGGTTCAGACCCTTGCTGACTGAGCGTAAGGAAGTGTAGTAGGTATGGGTCTTCTGCCTGCCTTCTACTACTATGCTCCTTCTACCACTACTACTACTACTACTAATCTATATCGGACTACTACGCGACCGGACCTACACCACTATACTAACCTCCTTGCGCTAGCAAGGGTCTAAGGACAAATGTCGCAAAGCTACAGAGGCAGTCCTTATAAAAATACTAGGTTATTAACCAGCGTGAAATCTCGTAATTTAGCACTCGCATCTTATTGTCCCGTTAATTCTAAGTTATTCTATATATATAGTATTCAAATGCAACGCGTAGTTGTTAAGAAAATAAGTAATATTTAATATAGGTAGCTATAGGTATGCGACGGGTTAGTGCAGTGTCTAACTACCTAACATCTAATATACGAAATATATATATCTAAGACTAGGAGATTGTAGAGCGACCATTTCTAAATACTGTTTATATAGACTACGTATGTCCCTAATGCCTACCTACTAAATGCTAGCCCTCGAGCGAAGCTAACTTGTTTGCTAGAATTGAGACCTTCGAATATCGATAAGCGACAATGCGGAGGTTATAGAGCGGCTATTTCTAGATTACCTTAATACGAGCGATATATACGTAGAGCGTAGTATTGTTATATTGTGTCTAAGTAGCGGAGGCTATTTAGCTAGCTTAAATCTATCGACAAAAGCTAGTACTATAGGCCAGCATTATAGACTAGCATTATAGGCTAGCACTATAGGCTAGCACTATAGGCTATCGTGGATTATGCTTATCGCTGATTGCGCTCCGTTCTACGCTAAGTAGTAGAAGATTCTCGTATACGGCTTCCTATAGGTTGTCGTTTATCGCGCTAATTAATATCGTATATGCCGCATTAATCGATCTCGTATTTATAGAGGTGCTGCTGCTACTACTACTACTGCTACTACTACTACTACTACATATTGACGAAGTCTTATCGGCGTTGCGACTAATCGTGCTATCTTTATATATAAATCGTGAGTCGTAAACCAAGCGCTTTATACTTCCTTAGTTAAGTGGGTCCAACTAACAAAGCCTTGCCGCTTTAAGCTACAGGTATAACAGTAGTACGGACGCCCGTTCTTCTGCCTGTATTTAGCACTCGTACTGCCGCTAGCGCTCGCATCTAACACTCGTATCTAATACTCGCATCTAGTACTCGCACTGCCGCTAACACTCGCGTCTAGTACTATTATTGCCGCTAATATATCTAACTCTGACTCTAACCTACCTAACGCGCTATCCGGTCTAGCGCCGCTATACCTCGACCCTAACCTCTTATCCGAGCCGCTGTCTGAAATAAACTTAGACTCCGATTAGTAGGCGGAGATATAGGCTACGCTTAATGCGGACCTTGCCCTTTAGCAGAACGAGCGTAATAAGCGCAATAAAGACGAAGCGCGTCGAGAGGCATTATTATAAGCGGTCGCTAATAAGGATATATACGAGCTAGAGGCGTATAAGTAGGATAAGATAAGCGATGATAATATCGCATTAGAAGAGGCGGAAGAGGCTCCTATTAAGGAAGATAAGGCTATCAATCCATTTAGCGATAACGATAACGAGGATAGCGATAATAGTAATAAGTAGGCGGATAATAAACGAGCGGAAGATACTAGCGGTATAGCAGCTCTACGCCGCTAGACTCGATAGCAGGCGAGACTAGCCGCCGCCGCCGCCGTAGGTCTTTAGCAAGGCGGAGATCGCGGTAATCGGACGACTCGAGGCACTTAGCGTATCCGTAGCTATCGTCGTACCCGCGAGCAGAAGTATACTAATATCTTCGGAGAGATAAAGCGCGCTAGGTTGCCGCTAAAGTAGTAGATAATAATATTCAATAGGTATAGCAAGAAGCTAAACAAGACCTATCGCAACTATATTCGCTAGTCTATAGCCGCACTAAAATATAAGCATATCGTCTTAGCTCGGGTTATTCGTAATGAGCTAAAGAAGCTTATTAGTAAGCGATTCTTTAACTAGTATAAGCTAGAGGATTCGATATAGGAGGTTGACTTGCGGGAGATATATAGTATTATCGAAGAGGTAGCGCTAACCTAGGTTAACCTTCTACGTAAGCTACTTCTAAATAAGAAGGTCTCGATCGATAAGGAAGATATATAGCTTCTATATAAGTAGGATCGCCTCCGCAAGCGTATCGCGGTAATAATATAGATAGCTGTTCGTTCGATCTCGCTAAAGAAGGCGTCCGTATTTAGCAAGCAATTCGGCCTATATTTGGTCACTAGCGGTATACTATACTATATTATTAGTATTATTAACAATATAGGCTTGTCTAGCGCCGCTCGCACGATCTAGGTGCTAATGCGGAAGACTAAGGCGGTTTAGGACTAGCGCGTTATTGTAATAGCTCGTAATAAGCGGAGTTTCTCGGTGTACAACAATCTCGTAAAGTAGAAGAATCGCAAGGGTATCTAGAAACAAGGCGATCGCACGGAGATGCTAAATATAACTACATTATACATTGGCATTAATAAGCGCATCCTAGAAGAAGGTCTAACTAAGGATATACTAAATCTAGACCTACAGCTTAGCTATAAGTATATACTAGACAACCTTGCCGATAATGCGAAGGATAGGACTCGTAAATACCTCTCGCTATATTATATAGACTAGGTATTAGGTGTTGTATTCGGACCGGAGCTAAAGGCGGTATTCGAGAACTACGACTTCGACGAACGATACCGTTCTATCGTAATGCATAATGTTAATGCAGCTATTAGGCTTAGTACTTAGTACGTCTAGCAAGGCACTAACATTAAGCGCTTTGTATAGCTAGAGATAGATATAATAGATCCGGAAGATGCTAACGATCTAGTACTAATAAAGCTGTCGATAAATGACGAGGTATTAATTGCCGGATCTAAGGAGGTGCTAAAGGACATCTTCCTTAATAATATACAGCTTAATAAGGATAAGGACTTCGGCAATCTAGATCCTATTCGAGATAGGAAGAGTCGTCTATATCTAATCGTTAGAGACTAGATAATATACGCTCGCTTTAACAGTTGTTAATCAGAGGGTGTTAAGTTAGAGCGTCTGTACGATCGATACGACTAGGGCGTTATTGTACCTAGTTAGTTATATATCTATATAAATAAGGCATTCGGCATTGTTAAGACCCATTTCGACAAGAACTCCGAAGAAGCGCGGCTTACTTATTATCTAGTCGACGATGCTTTATTCTGTACAATAAAAGGCATTAGTAAAGATAACCCGAAGTACTTCCTTATCTTGAACCTACTATATCGCATATTCCGCAGCCGCATTATTGCCTTATTCTAGTACGAGCTAGACTTAGAGGGTTTGCTAGACTATACTAATAAATTAAAGAGCCGCATCGAGGTGTTGAAGACTACTATTTCGAATCTAGATCCAGATTAGTATTTTCGGTTAGTTAAGAACATCTAGAAGAAGGCGTTTACTAAGGAGGCATAGTAGAACAAGTATGCTAATAAGGATAAGGTGCTTATATAAGATGCCGACTATACTACGATGTGCCGCTTGCTAATACAGATCGAGGAACTAATAACTATACGTACCGCTATTCGGAAGATAGACGTCGGTTATCTTAAGCAGATAGTCGACTACCTAATCGTTCTATTCCTTAGTACCAACTAGACTAATTACGCTAAGTATATGCTAGAATTCCGATAGTTGCTGCAACAGGATTATATATTAGGGTACTCGTTAATAGCTATATCTGTCGTTAATCCATCTAGCAAGAGAGGCAAGGGCATCGCTATAGATGAGGAAATTGAGCTTATTAATAACGACCTTACGCTAGACCTGAACCACTTTAGTAACTCGACCTATAATATAGCCGCTATCGCTCGCAAGAAGGCTAGAAACCGACGTGCTACTCGTGCCCTAAAGAAGATGTTTACGTCCGCGATTAGCGTAGAAGGCACTAATTACTACACTAACAAGAACGCCGTAACTAATGTAATGAGCATAGTAGACAAGCTATTCCGAGATAGGCTTGCGGAGCGACAGCCGGTTAGTAATAATATCGATAAGGACAACCGTACCCTCTTAGATAATATCTAGCAGATAGGGATCCAGAAACTAGTACTAGCAATTAAGGCTCTAAACGAAGCACACCGTGCGCGCTCGCTATACGTAACACTTAGTATAAGCGAGGCAGCTAGTAATAGTATAGATGGTATCGATAGCGCAGATGCTCGTAGGCATAGTAGAGATTACGGGCCACTTAGTGCTAGCGCTATTAACCGGGTAGACGAGCTATATATAGATGCTAATAGCTTTGCTTAGCTAGGCGATGCTCTACCTCTAGTAGGATATGTCTAGGCCTTAGGCGGAGATAGCAATAGCAATAGTAGTAGTAGTAGTAGTAGCAATAACGGTAATATTAACAGTAGCAATCTCGGCTTCTTTACTATAGCTAGCGCTATACTATACAACGCAGCACTCGCGAATTCAGATATCCTTTAGTCTAATAACGCCGCGCGTAACCTAGTTCGCGATGCAGTACCTAGCGATAACGAGAACGACCTAACAATCATCTATAGCGCTATCTAAGAGACCGCCGCTACTGCTAGCTATTTCGATTATACCGACTTCTAGGATCTAGACTTAGATAAAGACGAAGCTCTTGCTACGGCGTTAGCAATAGAATAGGGTTTATAGAGGATACAATTAGAAAATTCGCATCGAATACTATACTAGAAGGACGACGTTAGAACAATAGACAGCGAGCATAGATTAGTAGATTGAGATAATATTTCTTACTTCTAGTCTCCGTCGTTATCGTATTGATTACTTTTGCTAGCGCTAATTGCTAGAAACGCGCTTAATCGACGTATCTCGTGCTAGCTAGCCCTAGACAGCAAGTAGCTTCTCGATAAAGTTAACTAGATAGGCGTCCTTCTAGCTAGCTAGCTCTAGGAAGGTCGTAGAAAGATAGCTCTAGTAGGTTAGTAATAGCTCTAGGAAGGAAGGTCGTAGAAAGATAGTTCTTATATAGGTTCCTAGATGAGATCGCGGCTTCGGCTAGGCCGCTAGATAACCTATAGCAGGATAAGGTGCATCTAAAGAGATAGTACCAATTAGAGTTTGCTATCTTATAGCTATCGCAGCTTGTTCCTACTACTATACACTATACTCGACCTAGGGCCTATTGCGCTACTTAGGACGACAGAGCGGCCTTAGGCACAATCTATTACATACTAGCGTCTAGTAAATAATGTCGCTCTTGCCGTAAAGGAGCGGGTTAGTTAGTAAGGTAATATATAGCCGTTATTACTGCCTATTGTCGACTACGTAGCTTAACCTTACCTACGTAGATAGACCTTCGCTTTCCAACTTTAACTTCTTCTTCTTCTTCTTTATATTAACTATACTGTATGCCGGTATCCGCCTTACGCGTAACTAGCGACAGTAAACACCTCTACCCCTGTTAATATACTAGCTGTCTGCGTATTCGCTTCGGCGTCGATATTAATAGTGTCGATACCTCTTTGTCGTAAGTAGAAGTAGCTCTCTACTACGATTAATACTATTCCTTGCTAGTTCTGCGACTTGCTACCGATAGAACCGCTTAGAATTGGTCGAGGTCCCTTAACAGGTGTTGTTTGTTTAGTCCTTCTTAGTCTCCGATAGGCTTTACCGAAAGGTAACTCTCCTAGCGAGTGGGTTTAGGAATCAATCGCAGTCTTAGTATAGCTGTTCTATAGTAGCATTGCTATTAGGTGATTCCGCATTAGATAGTCTTCTTGTCTATTGCTATAATAGGCTTTCTGTATTAGGCTCTTCTCGGGATACTATACGTATATCTAGTTAAGCTTAGTATAACGTAGCCTTTGTAAATTCGGCGATTAGGAGCGTACGATATCGGATATAGCCTCTAGGCAGCGAGCTGTTAATGCTGTAGTTCCGCGGTACGAACAGGCGTCCTTAAGTAAGACGTCTTTATAAGGGCACTGCTATACGACTGTAGTAAGCGCATCGACTCTACTAGATAACTATAGTGCGCACCCCCCCTTCCCTCCGAGCGCATTAAGACTGTTATATACCTATAGTACGCATCCCTATCCGCGAGACCGAGCGCATTAAGACTGCTCGAAGTAGTACGCAGCACGTATTAGGCTTCTAGGGGCATATCTTTTTAACACTGTCTTTTTAATAACTTTAGGCGCGGTTCGACTATTGTTCTCTAGGTAGCTTTAGTCGGTACCTAGTTTCTAACTCTTTAAGTTCGCTAGTATTATACGCTTAATAATGCCTATTCCACTTACTTCGGTGCTATAGTTAGTAATGGAATGCGTTAATAGCTAGCGAGAGAGTAAGCTTATAGGTAATGTATGCTTCTAGTATACTTCTTATAGTGTGCTCCTAGCAGGCCCTTAAACCGCTAGTTATATTAGATCCCTATAAACGCTATTATTCATTTCTCTGCCTTATATAGCAACTAAGGCCTCTGGTTTTAGGGAGAGGTTTAAAGGAGGGCGAGGACGTAAGAGGTCGCTTCGGCGGTTCTCGAAGAGATGCTATTTATAGCGCTCGTTGTATGTTATCGCCCTACGCTTCTATTCTACCGTATATATTGTAGTACCTACTAACTAGAGTATATAGTACAATAAGTATAGTATTCTAGTTAGTTGTCGACTTCTTTATAGCTAACTCTAGCCTCTTCGCTTCGATATAACCTAAACAACCGTCGACTTCTTTATAGCGCGCTTTGCTAGAAACGCGCTTAATCGACGTATCTCGTACTAGCTAGCTAGCTAGCGCGTCGTATTGATGTTAGAAGGTATAGTAAGCGAGGACTTCTCGAGATAGGACATCGGTATGCCTAAGGCGACCGTCGTTATCGTGTTAGACACTTTTGCTAGCGCGCTTTGCTAGAAACGCGCTTAATCGACGTATCTCGTACTAGCTGGCTAGCGGGCTAGCGCGTCGTGTTATTATTAGTAGTATCGTGTTGTAAAAGCTCGCAGTCTTAAGTTAGAAGGAACTAGGATTCGGATCCCGCTAAGACTCCGGTTTTAGTACGGTAAAGCGCCCGATTAGCGGGAATAGGTATCGCGACTTCTTCCTTTTACGGATCGCGACCTCTTCCTTATTATCATTCTCGAGCTAGCAATATCTCTGTCTCTGCGATATTATAAGGCGATAGCGACATAGCATCCTTATTACGAGACGACTCTTTATCCTTAGACTTAGACGACTACCTTAGCGAAGAGATAAGGGCTGCGGTTGTTCTAAGTGCGAAGCGTAGCACTAGTATAATATAGTAGGAGATTGCAGAGATATATAATGCTACTAGAGAGCCTAGATAGCCGCCTAGGAGCTAGCATGCTATAGTACAGTATATTCATCGACTTGTATAGAAGTATACGAAGATAGATATAGAGGCAAAGGTAAGGGTAAGGGGAAAGGCAAGGGGAAAGGCAAGGGGAAAGGTAAAGGTAGCAACGAATGTTTATATTAAGGTTAAGGAACGAGAAGGAGAGCAAGAGGCTAATAAAGATTAGTTAACTAGTCGAGATCAACTAACTAGTCGAGATCAAAGGGCAGTCTAGGATGCTATTAAAGGATTCAATACTATAGTATAGAGGGCGATAGATACTCTATAGTATACGATCTTGCAGCAGTAGTAACAGTAGCAATAGGGCTCCTTACGAAAGGGCAAGGAACGTGCAACCTAATGTGTCTTCTCTTAGTACATCTACTCTACTACTACGATAGCAGCAGGATAGTCTTACGCTGCATTCAGTTCTCGCCTTTTGCCCTGCCTAGTTTATTAGCCTCCGCCTAGTTTATTAGCCTCCGCCTAGTTTATTAGCCTCCGCCTAGTTTATTAGCCTCCGCCTAGTTTATTAAGTATAGCATAGTCTAGCCCTATCGCTGCCTACGAGCCCGAGTTAGACTCTCTTCGAGCAGATTCTTAGGTGGAATGTCCTTACTAGCTAAGGCAAGATTCTCTCGTGCTTTAATAGTTAGCGAGCGGCTGCGGCGTAGGCGGGTGCTTGTAGTATTACGAAGTATAGACTTAGCGACCGATATTAGAGTACTATATTTACCGTCTTTATCGTTCCGCTAACGGCGTAGGGTCTGCTAGGTTGGAGTGCGAGCAGATAAGGAAGCAGTACTGCCCTAAATAGGATCTCCTATACGCTTGCCTGTCGCCTTCTTAGTAGCTAGTTACGACTGCGACTTCTTAGCTTTCCGATTGCCTATAACGGCCTTCTTTACTAGCGATATATTAGCATCGCGAGACTTGTTAGAGTCCTAGCGTAATTGGCGGAGGCGTTCTTATACTATTGGTAGTGCTAGCTAAGCAGCGGATTAATCGTTAGTAGTACTATTATCCGTCTCTGCCTCCGCTACTTACTTGCGCTCGGCCTACTTGCGCTTCCGCTCTTTATAATACTTCTCCTACTCCTCGAAAGCCTTACGAAAGTTACGGTTAATATATGCAAGGAGCTTACTAAGGCCTAGCTTGCTACGGAGGTTTTCGCCGCTAGCCTAATACTAGGTATCAAACCTAGGCGTACTATCTAGCACTTCCTATCTACTTATTCTAGTAGACGCCTCTTCCGCATCGCTAAGTACTAGATGCCGCATTATATTATAGAGCTCCTAAATATACCGGTTATCGATAAGTGTATTAGATAGGAGGTTGAAGAAGTATATATTAAACCGGCCGCTAGCTTTATTAGCCTTGCGATCGAAGAACTTCTGCAGGTATAGTAGCAAGAAGGACTACTTAGAACCCTTCTATAGTGCGACTAGGGCTTTTAGTAGATATAGCGCTTCTATATCCTATTGGAATACCGAGTTAAGATCGCGATTGCAGACTATATTGCAACAATCCTTCGGATCTAGGCTCTCTTTAGGATCCTATATACGGAGGTGTTCCTAGTATCGCTTATTTAGTATAGCGCGTAGGCAACGAGGCGTTGCTATATACTAGCTATTAAATAGTAGGCGGAAGATGTCGGGGATCTTATTGCGCTTTTCTATGTTACTCTTAGACTAGTTCTTGCGAGTAGAAGCGGCATTAGTAGCATTAGCTACTACTATTTCTTAAGCTTCTCGAGCGGCCGTACCTCTCGGTACTACGATAGTAGTGTCCTTATTATCCTCGTCCTAGTCGCCTCTATTATCTTTACTAGGGATCTCTATGTTACGTAAGCCGCTTAGTCGATATAGCTAGTATGCGATAGCGCCCTGCGCGAGCTGCTTATACTAGTCGGCATTGGCCGGTCTACCGTCTCGATTGATAACAGAGGTATAGTTAACACTATCTAGAACTCGCTTTGCCGTATTATCGATATACTAAGGGAAGAAGAAGATAGTATATAATCGCTGTCCTACGCCGAGCTTGCGACTAGCACGACTAGCTCGCTATATAGCATTATTAATATCCTTAGTAATAGGTAGCTACTATATAATAACAAACTTAATATCGCTAATGTTAGTGCCTATAGCAATTGCTAGAGTGCTAACTATTATACGCGTCGACGACCGAGTACTAGGCTTCTTAAACTTATTATATCGGACCTCCTTATCGTGATTAGCGACGTACGTAGTATAAAAAGCGACCACTTTGTACACATTATAGCTAGTATTGTTCTAGGCATACTTCTTAGTCGGATCTTCTTAGTCTGCTATTATCTAAACAAGCTACTAGCGCAGAATATAAGTTAGCTTATCGACCTTGCTACGGCTATTAATAAATACAATCGCCTTGTCGATATTCGCAGGTGTAGCCTGTCTATCGGTAACGGCCTTCTTTAGCAATAGATATAGCAAGTCGAAATCGCTACAGTTCTTTTACGGGATAGTCTTGAAGATGTACGTAGTATTAATGCGGTTAATGCTCGTATAGATAACCTTAGTCTTAAATGCCTCGCGGCTATTATTACGGAAACCGCTATTCTTTAATATAAACTCTAAGGTTTCCTATAAAATAGTCGCAGAGGCACCTAGCTAAAGGGTATTAGTACGAAACAGGCTGCGAAGCGTATAGATTTAAGCAAACTCCTCGCGGAAATCCTTCTACTTATATACTAAATACAGCTTATTAATAGTAACTAGGCCGATGCGATCACTAATCTTCTTAAATACCTCTCGCAATTCTAGAGTAGACGCTTGTTCTAGGCTATAGAAGATATAGTAGTATTTGCTAGCAACGATATTATCGTACATCTTCGGATCCTTGCGCTTAGTCTCTGCAGAGATTATATAATAACGCACTAACTCGACGCCGCTATCTCTAGTAACTATATTCTTCTATACGAGATTACGTATAGTCTAATCGATATCGGCCTTCTGTTCTTTACTAAGGCGGTTTAATAGAATAATCTAGATGTTGATGCGACTAGTTAGTATAGTATATGCCTAGTAGACTAAGCTCTTGCTACTACCGGTCTTCTCGATCATTACAATATCCGTCCCTACGAATACTAGGTTATATAGCACCTCCTATTAGAGATCCGATAGCTTATATCCCTTACTAGGATAGAAGGCATTAAGTACCTACTATAGGCTATTCTTAATAATGTCCCGCTAGATAGGAATCGCCTCTCGCTTAAGACTAGCATCCTATACCAACATTTGAATCTCTTTTAATGTAAATGGCTTATCTAGTATATAGTTAGTCGCGGCCTAGAAGAAGGCGGTCTTCTACTATAAATCTTCTAGAAGAGCTAGCTTCTTAGTAGACCAATTTGGCTGCTAGCGGGTGTATACTTTACGAGATAGCAGGATTAGTATAGCGTGCTATGCGCCCTATTATAGCGGCGGCTGCTGCTACTGCTACTACTACTGCTAGCGGCGTAGGTCGTACGTATTTCCTAGACGCCCTACTATATTCTTGCTAGCCTGCTACTTCTTCTTCTGTTGCTGTTCCTTACGACGGCCCTTGCTAATATTAGTATTCCTACCGGTCTAAAGAAAGCTACCGCCTATATAATAGACTAGCTCTAGAGTCGCAATGCGTAGAGGCGGGAGATTAGACTAATACCCGCCTAGGTTGGATTCAGCCTAGTCGTGCTGTTTATAACAATAAGTGTAGAGGTAGCCGTATTTATGTTCTTCGCTATCGCTACTAACTACGATATCGTCGTATTTAATGCCCTCGATCTTATCGACCTCCCCCTAAGTTAAGTCTATTAATAGATGCTAGCGCGGTAGACCTTAACGAGCAGCCGCACGCATTAACTAGCGGCGGTGCGTACGCTATCCGCGGACTATACGCTAGAGAATCGGACCTTTAGCCTAATAGGCAAGCTAGCGCTAGCGGCGCTATTCCTCGAAACGAACATACTCCTCGAAGCGGTCGGTAATAATAGACTCTTCTAGGTCTTAACGAAGGATAGCATTGCTATTACTAGTAGCGAGGTAGGCCTACTAAGGAACTTCCTCGGTAGCTATACTCTAAACTAGGCGATAGAGCAGGAGTGTTCTACTATTGCGCTGTTTAAGGCGGAAGTAGTCTGCTATCGCGCTATATCCGGAAATTAAGGCGAGTATTAGAGCTGTGTATATATATATATACGTATACGATATCGGAAACAGTAACGGAGATACGAGATAAGTATGCGCGAAGTTACGCGTATTTAAGTAGGCGAATGTAAAGCGCATAGACTAAGACAGCCGTATTTCAGCCTATTCTACCCCGATAGGCCTAGTATATAGTAACGCGACACTTTCGCGTATAGCAAACACTTAGAGGTTAGAGAGCGGCTAATTCTAAGGGAGCGCGTATATTTCGTTTAATATAAATAGCGTTAGTTGGTGCCGCGACAAAGGCTATTCGGATACTGTTCGCATAGCGTTTATTATAGAATAACGTTTTGTAATTTTTATTTCTATATCTTTAGAAATATACAATTTATTGTATAAGCAAACATCTTTATCTATATTATACCTAGGTGCGATTCTAACATTACTTTTAGTGAAAATGTATAGTTGTTATACTATTCAATATATCCTATATACTATAAGGATAGAATAGCCAGATTGCGACATTTGTCCTTAGGCTCTTTACGAAGACATCTCTACTAGCACTATACTATATCGAGAAGAACCGAGATCCGATCGACGCTAAGAATAGGATGGAAGGTAGAAGGTAGAAGGTAGAAGGTAGAAGGTGGAAGGTGGTTACGACAGATAGAAGGTAGGTGATGTCTACAAGAAGAGCCTGAGAAGGAGGTAGCGACTCTGCCCGACTATAACGACAAGGTAGCGGATGCTGCTGATCTAATTACCCTCACTCTGAGCGACTCGATTAAGAGCCGCCTGTCCGCATCTGATAGCGACTTTGACGACGGCTACAAGCTGATGACCAAGATTAAGGCTATGTGCTAACCAGATACGGAAACTGAATACTTCTCATTGTGGAGGGAACTGTTTAAGCTGCGATACGACGGCAAGGATATTGAGGCTCATATTGCTTAGATTCGGACACTTAGTGACCGCATTGAGTCGTTCAATACTGAACTGACTGCCGACAAGCGCGACCTGCTTATTCTGCTAATAACAACTAGCCCCTATTACGAGTCACTTGCCAACTACTGGACAGTCAACCTAAAGGATATGACTTTTAACAAGGCCTACACCAACCTGCGTGACGATAATCGTCGCCAACTGATAGCAGCTGGTGTATTCCAAACTGCTAATATGGCTAGAAGCAAGAGCACAGACAAGACAGACGCCAAGAAGCACTGCAGCTACTGCGACAGGAAGCATGGTCCGACCTGCTTTAAGAAGAACCCTAAACTAGCACCTGAATGGTTCAAGAAACTGCATGAGAAGGACTAAGACAAGCTGAACAAGCAAGTGGCCAATATAGCTATTACACCTTCTGCCTACAACAACCCGGCCCCTGAGCTATCAACTAATAGGACCTATGCCTTCTGAACCGACTGAACCTGAAACGACTGAACGGCTGCTTTAAGCACCTACCTGCAAGAAGCAGGGGGTGTCGTGGCTACTGACTGAACGGCTGCTTTAAGCACCTACCTGCAAGAAGCAGGGGGTGTCGTGGCTACTGACTGAACCGCAATCAACACTCAAACCTGCTGGATGCAGGGGGTGCGGCGGACTGACTAAATGGCCATCTAAGGGCAAGATGCCTGGGCTACTGACTGACTGAACAACCATCTAAGGGCAAGATGCCTGGGTTGCTGATTGATTGACTGAACAACCAATAAAGGGCATAATGCCTGGGTTGCTGACTGGATTGACTGAACAACTAATGAAGGGCATAATGCCTGGGTTGCTGACTGATTGACTGACTAAATGGCCATTGTAAGGGCAAGAAGCCTGGGCTATTGACTGATACCTCTATGTTTGATTTAAGCGACTTTGTACTCACCTACGTGCCTTGCATGTGCACGAGGGGGTGACTTGAAACACAGGGTCCTGTGGCTTGGACCGTGCACACGCGCTGCACCTATTTAGCGACTTCTCGCTTCTTCCGTAGACACTCAATTAACCATCGAACATACACACTTCAAGTTATACAGCGACTGAACACGTCGGAGGGCTAAAACGCTTAAGCTTGACCAGGCAAAAGGCGGGTTCAATTGGCAGAGATCCTCGCTAGCTAGAACTTGGGGAGAAAACAGTAGCCTTCCGAGGTGTTCAGACGCTTTATCTTCGCAGCGCTCTACGGACGCTGGTTGAGAACGCAGTGGCTCTCTGGAGAGGATGGCGGAGAGCTCCATCCTCGGTGTGGGTACCAAGAAAGTGCCGAGCACAACAAATGCCGAGCGAAATTATTAGGCCCTTTTATCTCGCGAGCTACAGAGAGACGCGCGTAAGACGGGCTGCACGTGAAGCCAAGGTATAGCTCCTTTCCTATTCTGGCCGTCGCGAAGGAAGATTCCACGTAGAGCCGCCAAGCATCGCGCGTTGCTTCTTGGAATGTATTGCTTCCTTCGTTGCGATGGCATGCGCAGAGATCCGCTTTTATCTCGACCTCACCTGATTGTCAGCATGCAGCTTACCGCTCCTTACAAGCATCATAAACCTTGTGATATTTGTTCCTGGAATTCAAATGCGTCGCGTTCTGACTCCTGAGGAATTATGAACACATAGTAGTGTAATCGCAGCAAAGCCAATGCGAAGGATATCTCTTTCTCTTCTACATCTTCGCTTTCTTCCAAGTGCTTCCTCTTTCCGAATTCTCTCCTCCATCTCAACCCCATCCATGCTCTTCTTCTTCTCTACAAAACAGCCAAAAGACCCGCAGCGCCGAGGCCAAACCCGAGAACTTGTTGGACAGCGTTGGTTGGTGCAGCTGCGGTGCTTTGTTTTGAGGCGGAGGCGGCCGAGGATGCAGCGCTTGCAGCGGACTTGGTAGCTGTGGAGGCCATGCTGGAAGCAGATGCATGGGCAGAGGTGGCAGACGTGGTCGATGGTGCAGAGGTCATAGACATGGTCCCAGTCATTGTCATTGTCGCGGAACCAGATGCGGTCGAAGAAGCGCCAGCCGCGCTACCCGTGCAACCTGCCGCGGTTGGAAGAGTTGTGACGCCGTAGCTGCCGCAAAGCGAGTCGGCGAAGGAGATGACATCTAGGTAGTCACATCATTAGCCTCTGAAGCGTGAGTTGTGTTAGCTGCATGAGAGTGTCGCACCAGCTTGGCCTTTCGCATCGCACTTCTGGCTCACACAGCATGAGAGCTTCTCGAGCAGCGGTACATTGGAGCAAATGCACTTGACATCGACCTGGTTGCATCCACCGTAGTCGGTGATACAAGTCTGTGAGCAGTCTGGCAGTCCAGGAATCTGTGCGAAAACGGCACTGGCGAAGAGCGCGATCGTGGCGATTGTGTACATGTTGTCTTCGTGCAGGTGGGTATATTACGATTTCGGCAGACAGCAGCAGCAATGGTGTAAGTTAGAGATATAACGAGAAGCAAACAGGCGCGCGTATGCCGGAGGGGGGAATACGAAAGTTATATACGCCTCCTTGATCCAGCTATGGTAGCGGATGACTAGCATGGGCCGCATAGCGAGCATGGTTGGGCCTGGTTTCAAGCCATCCCGTAGGCCGTAGGTAGGGCCGTAGGTAGCTTTCTCGCTCTGGCTACCTAGCTCGAACGTTCTTATGTGTGTCCCCACGAGACAAGAACGAAGGGTGCAGTCAAGGTAGGTGTGTGGCCACCCGCCAGCTGGAAAGTAGTGACGCTAAACTCATTAGTAGTATCGAGTCGTGGAGACTCTGATGTTGTGGTTCAGTCAGGTGATATGCTGGTCAGCTGATACTATTAGCTAACCTGTGCTAAGAGGAAGGATATATAATGGGTATATTAACTGCAGTTTCTATAGCAGGCTCCTAATTCTTCTTTATACAGTTATATAGTTGTTAATCCGATAATTAGTTGCATCCTTAGCACGATTTACAATAGGTTATAAGCCCGGCGTATACGCTTACCTATCCAGTTCAACTATAAAAGAACTGTTTCTAGAGTCTACTAAATAGAGCTAGCTATCTAGACCTATTAGGTACCTAGTTAAGAGCTCTAGTTCGGACCAAAACCTAGCAAGTGTCCCTTATAAGCCCTACCTAGCACTATACTAAAAGGCAGCTAGGAACGATAGACACTAATTAGATAAAGATAGCAAAGGAGAATTAGGTTCTTAGGAAGGGGATCAACTTCTAAGACTAGAAGCTTATATTCTAGGCAGCCCTTCTAGAAAAGGACCTAGTTAGTATAGTATTCTATAGACTTAACTAGGCTAATGAAATAAAACTACCTCTAAAAAGCATATTTATAGGGGACTCAGCCGATTAGCAGTATAGAGATATATTTAGGGACTAGAAAAAGAAAGACATCTAAGCCCTAGGTATACTTATTACTAGACTCGACCCTGCTCTTAGACTAGACTTCGGTAACACACCTAAATTAGCTAAGGATATATACGACTACATTAAGGCTCTATATAAGCCTATTGTAACCGTAGACATATTTAATACTATCAAACTTATTAGGCATATTAGGATGCCCCTTACTAATCCGAATACCTAGCAGTACTACGAATCTTTTCAGTAGTAGTTTAATAGATTCTAAACATCGATAGAACAATTTGCTAGCTCAGTTATAATAATAGAAGCGCCTATAAAGTCATTAGACATTAAGATGCCTAATATACTTGTTAGGATGCTGTTTATTTAGGGCCTTTCTAGTTACGAATAGCTTAGATCCTAGAAGCACAATAATAAGCCTAAAGCTAAGGACTCCTCCCTTAAAGCAATAATAACGTCTCTAAGGAGAGAAAAGCCTCCTAGACAGTTATCTAGCGGCTTAAAGCTTATTAGAGGGGCTATTGGCAATAATAACGACTAGTGCACTTAGTGCAAGTATAAATACACTAACGCTAAGTGCTATAAGCAACACCCTAATATAGCACTACCTAGTTAGGGAAAGAAAGATAAGAGCAAAGACAAAGATAAAGGTAAGAAGGGTAAAGGCAAAGGAAAGGGAAAATCTAGTAGTGCTATTAACAATAACAAAGATAAATTAGACTCCTCCTCTAACTCGGAAGATAAGGGAGACTATTAGCTAGACGGCCTTAGTAGGGGCCTAATTAGGGGAGCTATTGCAAAGCCGGGACTAGCTATAGCAAGCTCTAAGAACCTAACAGCTAACACAAAAGTTTAGGATACAGGTATATTACTGCATATTATAGGGAATAAGAGCTAGTTCAGCGATCTTAAGCACCTAACTAAGCCTGTTCAGTTCTCCTAAGCAGTAGGAAAATTAAGTGTATTACGATTAGGAACTGTTAATATCTTCCTAACCTATAAAGGAAAGAAAACCCCGATTACTCTAATAGACGTCCTCTACTCCCCGAACTTAGATTGTAACCTAATCTTAGTAGAACGTCTTTAGAAGAAATATAGCATTTACTTAGATAGACCTTTAGGCACTTTAATGCTTAAAGGCAAGCTAATTAGAAAGGTTGAGGAAGTATAAGGAGTACTCGCCCTTAAAGATGCTAGAGTCAAAATACTAGGCTTAGCTTTAAAACCAAACTTAGAATCGAGTTAGAAAGGGCAGCTATTAGCCTTAGCTATCGCTAGACTACGAGCGGATATATTGAGATAGTATTAGAGACTTAGCCACGTCGGCAACAAGATCCTAACAGCTACTAAGGAAGCTATTCTAGGCCTAGAAGAAGTTGATATATCTAAACTCGAGTACTATAAGACCTATAAGCTCTCGAGAGCTTAAAGAGTTATATTAAGAGAATATAGAACTAGACTAGAAAAAGCCCTTAACGAAGTCTATATTAACCTTGTTAGCGTACAACTATTTAATCTGTTTAGAAATAGGTACATTATAATCCTAACTAATGCTAAAACTAGGCTTAGGTAGGGTCTGTTACTTCGAAACAAAGATAAAGTAACAAGTGGTAATAAGCTAACTAACTAGATAGCTAGAATTAAGAGGCAATATAACAAAATCCCTAAGATTATCTTTAGTAATAGCGGGGGAGAGTTTACTAACAACGATCTAGTACATTTTATAGAGGAAGTTAGCATTAGATAGGATATATCTGTACTATATATACCGGAGTAGAATAGTATTGCAGAGTCGTTAAATAAGACGATTCTGCTTAAGGCAAGAGCAATAATAATTGACTCTAGCCTACCAATATACTACTAGTACTTTACAGTAATACATTCGATTTACCTAACTAACAGACTAGTAAACTTAAGAACTAAGGAAGTTCCACTTAAGGCTTTCGAATCAGACTTGAATATCGGCAGTATAGACATTGACCTATCTAGGACGAGACGATTTAGCTATAAGGTATTTAAATACCTCGAATCCGGGGTTAAACGACTTAACTCCTAGAAATTTATACTAAGAGCTTTCGTTTACTAGTTCATTAGATTCTAAGAAAATTCATTAATAAACTATCTGCTTTAGAACCCGTACTAGAAGGATAGCGTATAGCAGTATAATATTAGATTCTCTCTATACGTTACCTTTAACGAGGACTTTGTCTATAAAGACAATTTCACTAAGCTTCTAAGTACCCTTTAAGCTTAGGGGGAGTATTTGAGACTAGCTGTCCCTTAGGAGACTATTTAGGTACTTGAAACCTAGTCTAACCTTTTATTTAAGTTAGGAATCCTAGCACTATTCCCTAATAATAACTAAACACCTTAGTACTCTTTAGAACCTTAGGGGGAGCCATTTAGAGGTAGCATCCCTTAGCCTTAGTAGGCTTATAATTAAGAAGATTAGGAAGACTCCCTTACAGCTTAGAGGGAGCAAGGTATACTTAAGTAAGGAACACTACCTTAGCTAATACCTATAGCTAATAAGCTAATACTCTAAAATCACTAACTAGAACTACTAGCTACCTAGTAGGAAGCTGCTCCTAAGAAAAATCAGTATACTTAAGAAACAGATACTACTAAACTAGAAGACACCCTAATTACTCCCTTCTAAGTCCCTAAGACTACTAGCAAAAGAAAGAGGGCTCCTAACCTACCTTAGCTAAACCCTCCTTAAGCCGAAGTACGACTTAGGTCTAGTAGAGCCGTAGCTAAGTATAACTATAGCAAGATTACTAAGATTACTATAGCTACTACTACAAAAGATGCTTAGAAGCTAGCTAACCTAACAACCCTAGCTAAAGCCCTAAAAAGGCCTAATTAGGATAAATAGAGAAAAGCCGTTATAAAAGAGATAAGGTCTCTTAAAAAGTCTAGTACAATCGAGTAGATCCTAGCCGAATCCCTGCTAAAAGGCAGAATACCTCTAATAGGAAAATGGGTTTTTAAGATCAAATACCTACTAGACGGCTCTATTAACAAATATAAGGCAAGATGGATAGCTAGAGGCTTTATATAGAAGCAAGGTCTTAACTATATTAACACCTATACTCCTATACTAAAAGCAGCTACTACTAGACTTATCCTTAGGCTTTTAGTAAACAAAAACTAGAAGCGAAGACAGGTTAATATCGAGACTGCTTTCTTGAATCCCCCTCTAGACAAAGAGATTTTTATTAGACCCCTAGAAGGCGCGCACCTATTTAAGAAGTACCCTCTAAAGTAGATTATCCGTATTAGAAAAGGATTGTATAGCCTTAAGTAGGCTGCTAATCTCTAGCACTATAATGCTTTAGACACTCTTCGTTAACTTAGCCTAAGTAGGACAAAGAGTAACTATTGCCTATAGCAAGGTAATAGTATTCTTATCCTCCTTTATATAGATAACTTCTAAATCTTTAGAACCTCTAAGGCAAAGATCGATGCTCTAATTGAAGGTCTTCGCAAGAAGTATATAATTAAGATTGTTACGTCTAACCTGTTTCTAGGCCTTTATCTAAAGGAAGATAAGGAGGGAAACCTTACTATCTCCTAGATATACTATGCTAAAGAGAAGCTTTAGAAGCATAGCTTAGACTAGTATAAGCCAATAAAGCATCTACTTAAGAAGCTTTACGAGCCTCTTACAACCCCCTATAACCGTTAGGACTACTAGCTATATAACACTATAATTAGTGAAATGCAGTTTCTAGCTAACTAAACTAGACTAGACATTAGCTATACCGTCAATTACCTTGCTAGGTTCCTTTAGAATCCCGGACCTAAGTATGTTATAGCTGCTAAACATCTCTAGAGGTATATTGCTAGTATAGTTGATAAAGGACTTATCTTTAGAAAGAAGAAAACTTTGGAATTTTAGGCATACTTTAACGTAGACTTTGCTAGTAACCCTTTATTATCAAGATCAATATTAGGCGCCCTTATACTTCTTAACAACACTCTAATTATATAGAGATTATAGCTCTAGAAGGAAGTCGTACTCTCTAGTACTAAAGTAGAGTATATTGCTCTAATAGAAGTATATAGAGAAATCTGCTAGCTCCGAAATTTGATAACTAAGCTTTAACTACTTACTAGGGAAGAAGTTAATAGGATTTACGTCTAGGTAGACAACTAGTTAGCTATTTCCCTTATTAAGGACTATACAAATTCTAAGAGGTCGAGGTACGTTTCCCTTAGGAACTACTACTACAGAGAACAGTATGCCTAGGGAAAGATTAGTATCGAATTCGTTACTACTAACAAACAGCTAGCGGACTATTTCACTAAGCCTAAATCTCTAAACAAAATTCTCTAATAATATAGCGTCTCTAGGACAAACTCCTAAGTTACTCCTTTAGAAAGAAAAATCTTATTTATAGGATTAGAAAACAAGCTTTATATGCTTATTGAATTTCATTCTAATTCCTAGAAACAGCCTAGCTATATTATGTAGTCTAAGCTGCAAAATTTCTTTTATAACAACATTAAGACTAAGTAGGAAGAAATACCCTAGCCCTTAAGAGTTAGAAACTCTCTAATGCTATAAGGCTTTTACCAATCTGGACTACCTGGCCCGTTTCAAAATCGAAAACATGTATTATAGCTCTCTGTCTGCTAGAAAAAAAACCGAATCTCTATAATCAGCTACCTATCTTAGTATTACTGTCTTCGTAATTAGAGAAACCCCTCTAAGGACTACTAGAATCACGCGTCGAGCTAGGACTAGTAGACAACCTAGAACCTAGACTACGACTACGTCCCTAAGCAGTAGCCTAGGTATAAGCATTTGCCTGCTGTAGCAGCAAATTTGCTACTGCCTAGGCGCCCTAAGGAGTACTCTAATCGATGCTAGACGGGACTAGCACGTATAGACGACGCTAATTAGTGCCTGCTCTACTCCCCGGATTACGAGGCGGTAGAGGCGCTATAGGCGTCTAACGATTCGTATTAGAGCGTAGCCGAGAGACGTAACCTAACAAAAGAATTAGTGTTTTTGCTTCAAAAATACACAAGACTAGATTCAACTTACTAGAGAACTCGCATTAACTATAATAATTTAGGCTAGTATAGTTAGTATAAGCGCCCTTTAGGAAAGCGATATCCTAACCGTTAATTCGATAACTTAGAGTTATATACTCTAAGTACGGACCCTTTAACTGCTTATAAGGACCGCACTAGCTATTACTAGTATATACGCGTCTAGTAGCAGCCGTATACACAAGCGCGGCAGGCAAGTAGTTAATATTCGATTTTAAGCCTAAATTGAATGCCTTAGCCGCCTTACGTAGACGCGGAGGTACACTTAGAAACAGCCGAGCATTATCCTAGCTCGTAATGAAATGCCTAACATTAACGTTGCGTAGCTAAGGCGGAGTCTGCTCCGGACTAATATTAGTTAAGCACTAGATAATTCTCTAGAGAATCGCGACAGTTAACTAAACTTCCTTAAGGACTACGCCTAGTTAGCAAATTGTTAGAAAAGGGGAAACTCTAATAGCAATACTTACTAGTCTCTATAAGCTAGAGCTTATTATAACGCGAAGGGTGCCGATTCTTATTTAGATTATTACTACCGCCGCCGCTGCTACTACTACCTATACTACTCGCTATACTCCCTAGGCTAGGGTAAAGAATTATCGCTATAATGAAGTCTCGGCTAGCTATTAGACTTAAAAGGTCTTAGTAAGAATTTGAAGTCTAGTAGAGGCTGCTAGTACTTAGGGGATTACTAAAGAGTAGATTGTAAAAGTTCAAGTTGTCTAGTTAAGTTTAAGTATCTTTTATAGGCGCCTGCTAACCCTATAATTACGACTAAGGACATCACTCTAAAGCAAACTAATTAGCAAACAATGTAATATAAGTACGTATAAGTAGTATAGTATATAAAGCTGTATATAAAGCAGATATAGTCTAATATCTAAAGGCAGTTAGAAGATAAAGTGAAGCTCTAAGCCTAGATTTAAAGTGTCTAATCTAAATAGCATATTATCTCTACCTAAGGGGGAGTGTTATAGTTTAGTTAGGTAATATGCTAGTTAGCTAATACTATTAGCTAACCTGTGCTAAGAGGAAGGACACACAATAGGTATATTAACTGCAGTTTCTATAGCAGGCTCCTAATTCTTCTTTATATAGTTACATAGTTGTCAATCCGATGATTAGTTGCATCCTTAGCACGATTCACAACATCTGAGAGCTGCAGGGGCGGGCCAGGCGATGGAGGGTTACAGTTATTATTAATTAATTTTCGTTTCCGCCGTCGACTGCCATGATTCTGCTGACTTCACTTGTCGTCCTCTCGTTTGTTTCATCGCTCGGCATACTCTGTATCCGGAGAAGTCGTGTGCGTGCTTATTACTACTACGGAGCAAGATGTTCGAGTAGTCTGCATAACTGCATAATGTAAGACTGCATTGTTGTTTGCAGACGAGGGTGTGATCATTGCGCGCGGCGCGCCGCTGTCTTGTTTAATTACACCAAGACCAGGCATTCGGCCTCTTCCAGCACTTCCGTGTCCAGGATTGTGCCGACCGGCGCTGGATCCGGTCCATATCAGAGTCGCAAAGTCGAATCACACAGAGATGTTCGCGAACAGTGATAATCATTTGATGACCGCGCCTGTCAGGAAAGGGATGTTGTCTACGGACATAGAGGTGACGTGTTCAACCTGCCAAGACACGAGACAGGGCATATACACATAGACCTTCTCAATACGCACGCCTACCAACCCATCTTGATACCGCAAGATTCGAATCGGGTTAGCTATCTGTCGTTAGCGAAGTAAGACCGAGATGGGCCAAAGCTTTACCAAGGTTACAGTCTCACAAAACCAACGCTAGATAAGTGATGAGAAGGCCAGTGACGCTCACGCAAATATTGATACTGATGCTGCCTGCAATCAATTGTCTGATACTCTAGGTAGTTTTCACGCCTCTAGCAACCCATTGATTCCGGAGTCCTCCTCCTTTTGCAGATGTCTGGGACTGCGCCATCGAGCATATTTGCGCTTCACCATTATTTCTTGCCTCAATAAGTCGGTCTTCGTCATTAGCAAGCAGTCCACATACTTTGCTCAAGTTGACGATTGCACCTCTCATCGCCAGACTGCAGCAGCTTCTTTAGCCTCCTGGGTCGAAGTTTTACGGCACGCTCATCTTGGGTCGAAACTTGGTCATGTAATGCTTTCCTTATTTTGAACGCCATGCTAAGCCGCTGCTTCTAGCTACAGCTGTGCCAACAACGCTCACATTTCCTATGCAGTCGTCAATGCATACCCGCATCTATCCTCTGCATGCATTCATTTCAGCGACTGGCCGCTGGACCCTGCACCTTCCATGTAGAAACTGCTAAACGCCTCTGCGCCGAGATCACCGCCAACCAAACTATTGCGCTTTCACTCCGGCTTCTGGGGATCAATCGTATCTCCGTTGAGGATTGTAGCCCAACCGATCAATCGCCAATGCTTCTCGATGCGTCGACTCAGAGCCACCTTCTCGTTGATCGCCGTGCAGGCAGGGGAGGTAAGTTGCAGCTTAGCCACATCCGATTTCACAGCGACAACCTTGGCTCCAGTCGCGGTCGATCCAATATTGACCATGAGTACCTCGTTCTTGGTGAGTTTAGCGACCTTGGCCTGCTTGCCATCTGCCGTCTTCACACCCAGCAGGCGTCGAAGGAGGAAGTAATTCACTTCGATTTCCACGTAGATTTCTGGAAGCTTGCCTCGGAGGCCCAGGACATGGCCCACCAAACGGTCGGCACGGCAGAGAGTTGGATCTATGCGAGTTCCGACACCAATGAGACCACCTGGCACAGCAAACTTGAGGCTGTTGTTCTCGGCGAATAGAGAGATGACCCGTGAGTAGATTGGCTTGCACTGAATCTTGCCTTGCTCGTCTTTTGACACGATACCGGGTCTGATTTCGATCTCGTCGCCAAGCTTTAGGATGCCAGTCAGGATGGAGCCTCCCGCAACACCACCTTGGAGCTCATCGATCTCAGAACCGGGCTTGTTGACATCGAATGATCTGATAATGATCATATGAGGGTCGTCCTGGAAGTTGCGTACAGGCACGGGAATTTTGGTGACCAACATCTCGTTGATAGCGTCGATGTTGAATTTCAGCTGCGCGGAAATGGGGATGATAGGCGAGTCATCGGCGACTGTGCCACGAATGAATTTGCGAATTGACTCGTAATGCTGTGCGGCAGCTTCTTCTCGCATGAGGTCGACCTTGTTCTGAAGAATGATTATGTGCTGAAGTTTCATGATCTCGATAGCTGCGAGATGCTCCGAGGTCTGCGGCTGCGGGCAGGTCTCGTTGCCTGCGATCAAAAGCAATGCGGCGTCCATGACCGCTGCACCTGACAGCATAGTGCTCATGAGAATGTCGTGTCCGGGACAGTCAACGAACCTGGAAAAAGTCAGTAATTTGAGAGCGGCGTAGCAAGGGCACGCATGGCGATGCTACCGCTGCAAGGCAAGGCAGAACGATTACTTACGAAACATGTCTGAATAGTCGGTATGTACCGGTGCAACCAGGTCGCTCGCAAGGCGGGTCAACCTCCTTTTCACTCTTGAAACTCCTATAGCATGTAGGGCGAGGGCACTCTTCGCTGTCGCACTTGTAGATCTTGGCATTGGCATAACCAAGCTTGATGGTGATGTTTCGCTCGAGTTCATTCTTGAATCGCACGGTCTGCACGCCTGATATCGCCTTCACGACCGTACTCTTTCCGTGAGCGACATGGCCAATGGTACCGATGTTGATAGTCGCTTGGCGGGCAATGATTTCGGGCGAGAGCGGTGTAAGCGATGCCACATCGAGGTCTTTGGGGTCTGGCTGCTCTGGGAGTGGCGGTCTTGATGCCGCGGCCGCTGCTGCATTGTTGGCCTTCTTCAGAGCAGATCTAGGCGCTGCTGCAGGGCCTTTCGGTCGTGCTTCTGACTGTTCGTCCTGTGCTTGGAGTGTAGGTGACTGCGGCGGAGTGTCTTCTTCAGAGGGCGGATAATCGCCGTTGGTCGCCATGCTGGGCGCGAGCGGATTCGTGTGCTCTTGGCGCGCGTGACTCGGTCAAATCGTGCTGATGCGAGAGTATGCGTTCGATGTACTGTTGTCGTTAGGCCGCAAGGAATGGCTCTGTGGGTGGATGCGGAAAGTCGAGTGATCGGGTGCGGTGCTGTGCTGTGCTGTGCGTCGGTGACTGTGAGTCTTGAGAAGCCAAAATCCTCGATCGCTTGACGTGGGGCTTTCTGTGTGCCTCGAAATTCAGGCACGAACTTTTCGGCGGACCCCAATGCGCAAAGCTCAACAGATACACGCGCTCTTCGCGGCACCTTGACTTGCGACCACGAAATTAATATAACACCGCCCCTCGTGCGGAACCTTGCTAATAGCAATGCACCGTGAACTCCTGAAGACGATAGACTTTTGATAAGCTTGTGGAAAGCTGGCTGCACGCCAGCTGATATCTCACGGAGCCTTGAAGGCCTTCGATTGGAAGTGTGACTCAAAGGCGATCCTCACTCGGCTTGGCACCCTCTGCTAGATACCAGCTTTGGTCCACAAGTGAGGATGAAAAGCTACTCCGTCTGAAGTCTCGGGGTCATGCGTGGAAGGATATATCTCTGGAATTGGGAGATCGGACTATCAAGGCTTTAAACGAGCGATTCCGCAAACCAATTTACCTGATGTCTTTCCACGCCAGAGCGCGATCATCCATCGAAAGTGGAGCAAAGAAGATGATCGGAAACTCCTTCAGCTTAAGGCTGTGAGCAACATGACCTGGTGCCAGATCGCGAAAGCGTTCCCCACCCGCCAGCCGTCCACTCTGTCTTCACGCCACAAGAAGTCGACATTGGTCAGAGATGAGAACGAGAACCGTGGTCGCCGACCTTGGACGGACGACGAGCATTCACAGCTTCACACACTTCGAGAAGCAGGAATTCCTGCATTGGAATGGAATCAAAAGATGCCAATCCTGTCAGCTATTTCGAGGATCTTCCGTTGCCTCTCATCATCTCTGCGGTGCTACTTGATACTTCGCTCTGCTACCGCGCTGCTAGCATAGTCGTTTTCAGCAAGATGTTGAACACCAGGCTTAGAACGCGAAGCTCAGGCTGATTGCAGTGGCTCTTAAGGAAAGACTTGTGGTGCAATCATGCGCACGCAGCAGCGCGACGCGTTTGAATCATCTGCTTTTAACAGCCACTGTGTGCGATTAACACTGATTCGACGTTGTGGAGGTGTTGTTGATACTACGTTTTGCCAAAGCATGACTCTTATTAGCTCTGTTTGTTACGCTATGTGTAAATTCTGTAGCTCACGTACACGTTAGTGTAAGGCAAAGAAGCAATAATAGGGTACTGTGTATATTAGCAACTGCAGGGGTGGCACGGGGCATATAGAGTTGCTAGCAACTCTAACTATACCAAGCCCCGCTAAACCTAATACAAATCGTACTCTTAGCATTCCTACAATCTCCGCTAATCCTAAATTCCTTTCTATATAACCTCTTCTAATAACTACTATACTATATAATAGACCTATCTACGCCTAACGACGTCGGTGCCCTTTAGCGGCTTCGACAACGAGTGTTTAACCTTATAGAAGATATTAAAACAGATACTAAGGGTTAGAAATTAATATAGAGACTATATAGCAATTAATACATCCGGAAATCTATTAAGAAGCTGTCTACAATAACGCCTAATATAGAGATAGGGCTATACTATAAGAAGTCCTACTTCTATTATATAGAAAAGTAGCGCCTTAATAAGCTAAACAAGGAAGCAGTAGGTATTAAGGATAGGCGTATATCCAAACCGCTCAAGAAGGAGTACAGAATAGGCTTCGTTACTAAGGTTAAATACTATAATAATAACGCTACTAGAAGAGTTAGTATTCGTCGCTATACTACTATAACGGAGTATATATATATATACTCGACTACCTTAATAGCCGCAAGGTACACCAGCATATTAGAGATAAGGTTAAGAAGCAAATCGATTACTCGCTATAAGCTAGAAGAACCTTCGACGCCTTATAGGGGCAATATAGTAACAATCTCGGCGTGTCTTATCTCGATATTACTACTATATATAATGCCGCTAAATAGTCGCCTTATTATAACCGTAATAAGCGCTTTATAACTCCAGAAGAGAGAGGCAATATAGAGCTTTAATTAAAGGGAATTACGAAGACTACAAACGATAACAACCTATACTTTAAGGAGTTTAGTGTCTATACTAAAGATAGTATTAGAAGGGGCTTTATATAGGCTTCGGAAGAGGGCATTTAGCTACTAATAAAGTATAGCAAATTAATACTGCTAGACGATATATACGAAGTTAACTAGCTCGATTAGAAGTTGTTTAATATCTTAGTATACGACAATAATATTAAATAGCGGCCTATAGTATACGCTTTGCTAGAAAGCAAGTACAGTATTGTCTACGTACAGGCACTTAGACACCTGTCTTCTTAGGGTCGTTATAGCGAGCCTAGCGGCTAGCAATTATAATAGTCTATTAGTAATAACTTAGCATCTAAATAATAGGCTATTAAAGACATCTTTCTATAGGCGTATACCTATCTTTGTATACGGCACTTATTACAGACTATTCGCCGCAAGTTTCTACTTAAAGGCCCCTATCGGAAGGTCTATAAGAAGCTAGTATAGGTTATGCTATACGCAGAGTCTAAGTAGGAGGTAGAGGTTGGAATATAGGCTGCTTTTAATGCCTTGCCTTGCGGCAAGAACGACAACCTATATAATTATATAATACGAGAATAGTTAGTTAAGCACGCCTAGATATAGACTACCTACGAGCGGAGGAACAACCCCCTGCTTATACGCGTAAGTACTATATAATAGCTACCCTCTGTCCTCTTCTAACCGATCGTTGCTAACCGTTCTTGCTTGGACACGTATAACTTCGCTAGTCGAAGGCTACTACTCGGATTTCAAGAGCGGCATTACGACTATTAAAGCCAACTTCTTACTCTCCGGTTGCCTTATATACTCGTTAGACATCGATAAGAAGTAGCATAATAACGCAATAAAGGCCTCTGCTGAGGACAATATACTCTATCTGTTTAGTCGCCTTTAGGGTAACTATAAGCGGTTTAACGAATTGCTATACTGTCTATAAAGCCTTATTGCTAAGCAATATCGATTAGCTTAAAAGCGTACAGACAACGGCCTTCTGAACTGGTTGGGATATTAACTATAGATCGACAACTACATCCCTAATATATGCTAGTATTACTTCTAGAAGCAGTATTACTAACTATGTCGGTATATCTAGTATAATTAAGAGATTAAAGGCAATAGAATAAGTACTAAACAGGTGGATTGCTGTGTGGACCGTTTCTTCGACTCTAAGGGCTTTAATAGCGATATTAATTCTACTAAGATACACTTAGAATAGCTTATTAACGAGAATCTACTAGAAGAAGATAAGGACGGTAAGGTCGACACTCTTCGCACTATTACGAAGGACCGCTATCTTCTATTACGTAGTATACTTAAGAATATTATATATAACTATTATTAGAAGGCGAAGTAGGTAGAGGCGGTTATTCTGGCTAACTTGTTATACGCCTATTAGACTAATATTGCTATATAGTATTAGGCCGAATATATACGACTATCGGCGGCGGTAGAGCTATTATAATAGCTCTAGCAATATTAATAGCGATATAATAATAGTACGTTATTTGCTATCTAATAGGCGTAGGTCGAAATAGGCGTCGACGCCTTACTGTTAATCTACTACTACTAGCGACAGTACCTGCGATAACAACCTTATTAAATATAACAGCCGCGGTAGGTAAGGGACCTATTTGCGCTAGGCGAGGGCACTTAACGCGCGCTAGAGTATACGGCGACTAACCTTTATACTAATTAGTATAGATATAGTTACTAACCTCCTCCGCTGTCCTTCTAGCCGCCTTCCTCGTTACAATTTGAACCTATATAGGTTACTAACTCGGTACTTTATAATATATACGCTATAGGCGACGGCACCTTCTAATATAGTATATCTTCTTTAAACGACGGCAGTTTAATAGACGTTATGCGCTACGTCCTTTACTAATAGCGACTTCTATATACGCCTGCTATACTAAGCGGTCTTCGTTACTCTATAGCCGCCGCTAATACACCTATATTGTAGCTATTAGACTTACGACAATATACGCTAATTAATATATTACAACTTAGTTATAAGGAAGCTTCTACCTTTATTAGAGACCGCCGATTTCTATTAGAAGAACGGCAACGAGTGTTTAATAGTAGGACCTTTAGTAGCGGCAGCGGTAGTAGATATAGTAGCGGTAGATATAGTAGCAATAGATAGTAAGGGTAAGAGTAAGTAGATATACTTTGAATTTAGCGTAACGGCTATACTATACGTTAACTTTAGCTTTATTTAGTTATCGCTAGCGACCTTGGTTGAAATTACTAAATTCCTAAAGCCCTTTTAAATTTAAAGTACATTTTAACTAAATTTATTAGGGGAGCTACTAGCAACTCGAAGTGGGGGGTAGGACTGGGGTAAAAGTGGGTCGAGCCAATCAGCGCGAGTTGCTGATATACAGACCACTAATAATAGCAATCATCTAGCCTAGGTGTGTTTCATATGTGACTGTCGATGCATTTTTCTTGGCAGGGTGACTAAGAATCCCTGTCCATCTAGAACCTCGGATTCTACTCCTGTTCCCATCTTCCACAACACCCATACACTCCCCTTCCGCAGCAGTCCTAGATGGTCTTGACGTTGAGGGCAAAGCTTGGTGAGCAACTTGGCGTTTCTCGACCGGTGCCACTTCTACTGGACATGATTTGCTCTACGCTCTTTATCCGAAGTTTTCGATCAGCATCTTGGGGCGTACGGAGCGGCACTTTCCATTCAAGCCACGCTGCATCTCCGTTCAGGTCTTTCCACGCAGCAACGCCATCTAAGGCAGAAACAAGGCGAGCCTGGTCGAGTTCAGAGGATGCAAAGTTCACAGAGATGTGGGAAAGGGGTTTAGGTATCGAGGAGATCTCGTCGGGGCTTGAGCGTAGCGTTCATAGCATCAAGGTCAGGAGACTGCATCTTGGTCTACCAAGCAGACATCGACGCTTTTCAGAGGAAGATGATGCTCGTCTACGAGAGGCCAAATCCAGGGGTCTAACGTGGGAACAGATCGTTGAGTTGTTTCCAGGGAGGTCCCGAATGTCTCTTGGGGTTCGGTGGCAAACACATTTGTCAAGACGAAGCCACGATTCCAAGGCCAGCACTATCAAGGGCCAGCCGTTCAGTGAAATCGAGGACAAGCAACTCCTTCAGCTACGCAATGTGCAGAGCCTCGGATGGACTCAAATACAAAAATGCATGGCAGAACGCGGGAAAGTGTGTCTCAAATATCGTTACAACCGTCTCATGGAGGATAAACCACGAGCAGTGGTTACGCAGGTCTTGAAGAGCAGTCGCCACTTCGAGCTAGTGCAACAAATGGTTGCAGAAGGTAGAGCGACAGGAGAAATTGCCATGCAGGTTGGGCTTCCCATTTCTGAAGCCCGCCATCTCAGACTTAGGCTGCAGGCGCCCATAAGCAACATCAAAGGGTATCGCCGGTGGAGCGATGAAGAAATCGAGCGACTCATGTTGTTGAAAAACGATGGCAAGAGCTTCATTCAAATTGCAAATGAATTGGGAAGAAGTTACTTATCGGCCATGCACAAATACTGGTGTCTCAAACATGAGAGATAGCAAGAAGTGTTCGGCCTTCAGGAAGGCGGTCGAGAATACGTCATAGTAATTATCTCGCCTCGCCTCGCCTCGCCACAAACAGACGATGCCAGCATCGGGCAAGCGAAGTCTGGTCTCGCTGACTTGAGTCAAATGTTCGATGGGTACCATACAGCACCTGCAAGATTAGCCCCCCACCACCACAGGCCAAGCCAAGCCAAGCTGTAACAGGGTAACACCACCTACTGCACGCCAGACACTCTTCAGTGGGAGACGCATGCCGAAACGGGTGACACAGTGCACGCCTCAGTCAAATCCATCTGCGCACAGTAACAATGAATGGCAGTGGGGGTGGGGGTGGGGGTGGGAGTGGCAGTGGCAGTGGCAACGACCCCGCCAACGTCTTTCGCCGACGTTACTGTTCCATGGTGACTTCATGGCTCTTGGCAACGACCGTCTGCATCACCATGCATGATGTTCCGGTACCAGCGGGGCGGGGCGGGGCGGGGCGGGGCGGGAAATATATGTACATTGACCTGCTTCCTTGACGGGATTGGAGACTTTCATGCCACGCTCTTAGAGATTGCTTCGGCCAATTGATAGTCATAGAGCTAGCAAAGCAATGTTGTCAAAGACGCTGCTGTGCGCCTTACTGGCTGCCGCAGTCACATCTCGTGCGCAAGAAGGAAATGACACTGCGCCGGTAAGATCGCCATGTCATCGCTACATATCGTACTATGTATGTAACGGCTTCCGGCTAATGATGGCAAAACAGTTCCCGCACGTCACATATCCAGACGCTGCGTCACAAAATCCGCTGACATCAGCCGGTTCTCAATCTAACCAGACCTCGCCGCCGAAATATCCTTCCCCATGGGCAAGTGGAGCAGGCGATTGGGCGGATGCTTGGAAGAGGGCAACGGATGTTGTGAGCCAATTGACGCTGGAAGAGAAGGTCAATATCACTACTGGTCAGTATTTGGGGTGTGCCTGTGGCTCTTCAAAGGCGCATCGATGAGTACGGACGCTTTGACTGACTTCAACTCCTGCAGGTACGGGATGGGCACTCGATGACTGTGTAGGCAACACTGCTTCAGTTCCCAGGTTCGGCATCCGATCATTATGCATGCAGGATTCGCCAACTGCCATGCGATTTGGTGATTTCAACTCGGTCTTCCCCTCTGGCGTCAATTTGGCAGCAGCATGGAGTAGAGGATTTGCTATCGCGCGTGGAGTAGCAATGGGAGAAGAGTTTCGTGACAAGGGCGTGAACGGCCTTCTGGGACCTGTAGCTGGACCATTGGGCCGCAGCCCTGAGGGAGGCCGCAACTGGGAAGGCTTTAGTTCTGATCCCTATCTGACTGGTGTGTTGTTTGCAGAGACCGTTAGAGGTATTCAGAGCACCGGACGAATGGCTGTCGGCAAGCACGTAAGACTGCCAGCATTGTTTTGATGAATTTTATGCTTATCTGGGACGCAGTTCATCGGCAACGAACAAGAACATTTCCGACAAGTGCCCGAGACGACGCAATTCGACCTGGGAAACATCACCTATCCAGGCTCGTCCAACATCGATGACACAACTCTACATGAGCTCTATCTATGGCCATTCGCAGATGCTGTACGCGCAGGCTTGGTGTCGATCATGTGCAGCTACAACCGCATCAACAACTCCGACGCTTGTCAGAATTCTTACCTTCAGAATTACATCTTGAAAGACGAGCTAGGCTTCCAAGGCTTCATCATGTCCGATTGGCAGGCGACGCACTCGGGTGTCAGCTCAGTCTTGGCAGGTCTCGACATGACGATGCCTGGTGATGTCGAATTCGATACATCGACCAGCTATTTTGGCCCGAATTTGACAATCGGAGTTCTCAATGGCTCCATCCCCCAATGGCGTCTGGACGACATGGCAACACGCATCCTCGCCGCCTGGTACTTTGTCGATGGCGACAGCGAGGAGAATAACAAGCCCACCAACTTCAATTCTTGGACCCTCGACACCTATGGATCTTTCCACAGCTATGTCGGCCCTGAGTACGGATACGGTCTGATCAATGAACACGTTGACGTCCGTCAACAGCACGGCGCCTTGATCAGAGCCATCGGTAGTGCTTCCACTATTCTTCTCAAGAATGTCAACAACACTCTGCCGTTGACTGGTCATGAAAAGCTTACCGCAGTCTTTGGAGAGGATGCTGGGCCCAACCTTGAAGGGCCAAATGGGTGCGCGGATCGTGGATGTGCTCAAGGTACTGTCGCTATCGGCTGGGGAAGCGGGACTGGAAACTTTCCGTACCTGATCACACCTGATGCAGCGATCCAGCGCGAGATCACAGATCACTATGGCGCATATGAGTCTATTCTGTCCAACGGTGCTTTGACGCAGATTCAAGCCCTTGCCAGACGGGCCGCGCAAGTCGGAGGTGTCTGTCTCGCCTTTGCGAATGCGGATTCTGGCGAAGGTTTCTTGCATCCAGACAGCAATTGGGGAGATCGCAACAATCTCACCTTCTGGCAAGGCGCACCCGCCATGCTGAGGAATGTTACCTCGAACTGCAACAACACCGTCTTGGTCATTCACTCGACTGCCCAAATAGAGATCCAGGAATGGAAAGATCACCCCAACGTGACTGCGATACTGTGGGCTGGTCTTCCAGGAGAGCAGTCCGGAAACAGCTTGGCAGATGTACTGTATGGAAGAATAAACCCTGGCGCCAAGCTTCCCTTCACGATTGGTCGTAACCGATCTGACTATGGTACTGATTTGCTATACTATCAGAATGGTCCGGTACCCCAGTTCGACTTTGAGGAAGGTGTATTCGTCGACTACCGAACCTTCGACCATCGCGAGATCGAGCCTACGTATGAATTTGGTTTCGGCATGAGTTACACGACCTTCAACTACAGCAATCTCGAAGTCAGCAAAACCAACGCTGGTCCATACACGCCGACTCAGCGCAACACTGAGCCCGCACCAACTTACGGAACCATTGACAATGATACCTCTGCCCACGTCTTCCCCGAGAATGCTACTCGAATCCCCTATTTCATCTATCCATGGATCAACAGCAGCGACCTCCAAGATTCATACGGCTGGACAGATTATGGCGACGACTCGTTCATCCCGGAGGGTGCTCGAGATGGCTCATCTCGACCTATTTCACCAGCTGGCGGCGCCCCTGGCGGGAACCCTGCACTCTGGGATGTCCTGTACGAAGTCACAGTCAACATTACAAACACTGGCAAAGTCGTCGGTGATGAAGTTGCTCAGCTCTACGTTTCTCTCGGTGGCGAATATAATCCTAAGATTGTCCTGAGAGGGTTTGAGCGAGTCCCAATCCAACCTGGCGAGACTGTCAAGGTCAATTTCGATCTTCTGCGTCGAGATATCAGTAACTGGGATACGGTCAGTCAGAACTGGGTCATCACAGATGCGCCGAAGAAGGTTTATGTAGGTGCTTCGAGCAGGAATTTGCCGTTGCAGGCGGATTTGGACGTGAGTGGTTACTAGCCTGCACATAAAGATGGTAATGAAGAGGAAAGATTAGTTTAACGTACATATCATGAAAGTATGAACTGATGACAATCAACGCAATACGGTTCTTCCACCAATAGCGTTGCGTGACACATGCTTCACTACAGGTCTAGGTCTCTTCGCTACCTGCGCCTCTTTCGGTTGATGTTTCGAAATGACACATCCATCAGCGCTGCCACTCTGTTCACAACAAGACCAGATGAAGCCTTCTTCCATATTTGGATCATCAACGAAACTCTCGGGATCTCCATGACAATCAGAATCATGATCAGCCCAGAAGTCTCCCGCGTTGTCCAGCTCTTTCTCTCCCTCATGATAAAAACAAGCTCCTTTGTAATTTTGAGAGACATCGTAGTCATCTCCACAATTCTTGCATTTTTCGTACGCTTTTCTCTTCACGCCTGTGGTGGTGGTTGATGCGAGAAGTTTTCGAGATGCTATGGCGTTTGCGGCTGGGATTTCGGACACGATGTGTTGGAGCAGGGCACGGATTTTCGTTTCTGGTGCCGTGGAGATTGCGTCTGCTAGTGTGGCATTCATGGGTACTGGCGAGGAGACGTCACGGACTTCTTGATAGTCTTCGTGGTCGATTTCGGACGATTCCTGTTCTTCTTCTTCTTCTTCTTCTTCATGATCGTCCTCGTTGACGGATTCGTCCTCTGGGTATGGATCGGTGTCAGAGTCAACTGGTATAAGTGAGTAATTGGGTGTAGAAGTCGTGCTGTTGGCATCACTTACACGCCATCTCAGTGCTGCTGCGAGGTTCTCGGACAGAGATGTATTGACTGACAAAGATGAGAGCCAACTTCACGGAGTTTGTGTACGCGTTCTGTTAGGGTTCGTAACGTCTGATCACCCTCAAGGATGCACGAAACCACGGCCCGGGGGGGGGGGGGTTCATGAGACTGATGCTGGAGTCGTCTCTTGGCGTAGCATAACAACCATGTCGCGACACCAAAATTCAATTCAGCTCTTTCTTTAAGGCCGAGCTCGAGGAGCGAAGTGGGCTCCTCAAGAAGCACCCTTAGAGCGGAATCAAGCGCCCCAAATCCGTTAAAATACCAAAGAGATGAGCTGTGAGGTCTTTCCCTTGATTCAACGCTGCGTCTCTCCTGGAAGGCTAAAAGACTTGAGAAGTAACGCGAGGAGCTCTGAAGCAATCGCGAAATAGAGAGACAACAGACACCCCAGCTTAGATTTGCCCGGGATGCTCGGTCTACGCACTGTCCTGACTCCAGCTCTTCTTCAGGTGCTGAAAGTCACTGAGAGCAATCTGAAGCCCTCCGACCACGTGTCCCGCAGCGGAGTCGAAAACCGAAAATGCCAGGACATGTGAGAATCTGCGTATTCACATTTGCTAATCTCCGCGATTCGACCCGTGTTCGAAACACTCGAGAACTGAATAAAGGCTTTGGACCCAGTATCCACGCAGAGTTCAGGGCTGGAATTTGCGAGAAGTCTTCCAGAATGTGAGATTTCCTCTGTCTATATCGGCGCAACTCTAGCTCCTACTCGAAAGCCAAAAGAGTCGGAGACCGACGTGAAAACCTTGGACCTTTCAGGCATTCGCTATTGAGTGATTACGGGGTCGCTATCTGCGGAAGAGCGATATATGGCTGGTCGTATGGCTCAGCCCATGCTGCAAAGCGATTTCTGGTTGCCATGGGAGTCGAGAGCTTGAAGTCCGCCGAAGTTCTGATAGTGGATATGAACAGGGGGGAGAATGACTTTACATAAGCGGCGTTGCTGGCGAGGAATGGTGAAGATGGCTGATGGCGGCACGTCTGTCGAGTATATTCGAACACTGGCTGCCTTTATCAGGTGAAAGAGCTGGACGCTGGACGCTGGGAACTGTTACCGAGATCCAGTGCTCGGTGAGCAGTCTCTGTTCAAGTTGCGGCTTTCGGTAGCATGAGAGCACATGATAATTGGTGCTTACCAGCCAGTGATGCACTCAGCCATTGGATCACGGTGATGTGTTTCTGATGCTTTCAGTTCTCATTACCATTAAAAAGCTTATTTCGGCCACTTCTTCCAGCCCCGTCCATGACCCCGCTCTTTCCATTGCTTGATCATCTCGGGCATGCCCTCCATCGCCTTTCTTCTCTCCTCCAACTTGCGTCCTAGTTGCCGTTCCCACAATTTACCCTTGACCTTCTTGCCAACTCCTGTACCCTGCACTCTCAAGCCGTTCTCAATTCGCTTCTGTAACTTCACATCTGGGTGCTTGTTTGATAGTGGCATGAGCGGAAGAACATCATACGCTTTTGCCAGTTTGAACAAATCTGCTTGCCGCCGTAATGAATAGGCAGGTCCGTGCCAGTTGCCTGTTCTCGGGTTCTTCCATGGCAGGAAGGGGTTGTGAAAGCGTTTCGATGTGTCTAGAGTATTCGATTGTGTCTGTGCTTCCGACGAAGGCTGTACGGGAACTTCTGATGTCGACGCGCCGATGTTAGGATCTGAGGATGATGTGTTTTCGGCCACTGTGATGGTTCCTGTCGGCGACTCTGCCGGTGGTATCGAGGTTTGTGGTGCTGCTGCGCCGATTCGCAATTGTGGTGGAGGATACTTCTTGAAGAAGTTGAGCAGTCGAGGCGGTAATCTTTGAGCGAGGCGTACATTGCTCTCCAGCATTGACGTCGCCATGTTGACGATGTGTGTGGTGACGCAGGCGGAGGCGGAGGAGTGGTAGGCGCATTGGAAGTGAAGACTGCGGCATAGCTCGGGGATGCTGGTGCTAGGTGCTGGCGCGGAACAATGAAACGCCGACTTGCTCTCTCGCGTCGTCAACTGCGCGATGCCTGGAGCTCTACCGTTCATGCCCATGCTCCATCACCTGCATTAAGCAAACACCACTCCATTCGCCCCGGGCACCTTCATACCGCCGAGAACCCACCGTTGAAACCACCTCGAACCACACAGAGACCCACGTCCACACATACCAAGCTACACTCAACTGAAACGCCAACATGTCCTCGCCGTTCGCCATCAGTATGTGCCATGCCATATGCCAGGCACGTGAGGGCCACGGATGGGTACTAACGGTGATGTACAGACGGCGGCGCCTGCGTGGCAATGGTCGGCAAGGACTGTGTGGCAATTGCATGCGATCTGCGACTTGGTCTGCAAGCACTCACCGTCTCCAACAACTTCCCCAAGATCTTCAATTATAGCCAGTCCACATTCCTCGGCCTCACAGGTCTCGCGACCGACGTCAGCACAGTATCAGAGCTCTTCCGGTACAAGGTCAACATGTACAGACTGCGCGAGGAGAGAGAGATCAGCCCACAGACATTCGCCAACCTCGTGTCGAGTTCGCTGTATGAGCGGCGCTTTGGGCCGTGGTTCGTATCGCCGGTGGTGGCAGGTATCAATCAGACGACGGGGAAGCCGTTCATTTGCGGGTATGTGCAAGTCAAGCCCGCCAGCCGAACATAATCCAGCCGTGCGCCCGTAAACTGACCTGAGACGCTTGACAGCTTCGACTCGATCGGCTGCATCGACTTCGCCAAGGATTTCATCGTATCCGGCACAGCATCAGATCAGCTCTTTGGTACTTGCGAAGGCCTGTGGGAGCCGGATCTCGAGCCAGAAGATCTTTTCGAAACCATGTCCCAAGCCCTGCTTTCCGCAGTCGATCGCGATGCGCTTTCTGGTTGGGGCGCCCATGTCTACATCATCGAGAAGGACAAGGTGACCAAGCGATTATTGAAGGGCAGACAAGATTAAGCTATTTGAGGAGGACGTGGCGAGAGATCGAGAAGCAGTATAGCTCAACCCAGACGCTATTCATTGTACACTATAAAGGGCGATGCGTATCATGCACGCAAGGCCAAGACTTTGCGACTCCTGGGCAAGTGTCGAAATGACATGAGACACCCCAGGTCCAGGTTCGATTTCACAGTTGTGGTCAGTAGCTCTTATGAAACGAGACTGATTGCAAAACATCCTTCCCTCCCTGGTCCACATTGCAGTTGAGTTTCTCCTGAGCACACGAACGCAAAGATATTCCTCGAGACCCGATCTTGCCCAGCAACAATTATCTTGCATGACTCCGCAGCGAAAACGCCAGGCCGTGGAAGCTGGAATCAAGGCTGGCGGCGCTGCCTGTATCAATGCAGGTCAGTCAGTTTGAAAGTCAGACTGTCTCACATCGAAGTTGTCTCATGAACCAGAAGCCTCATTATCTCAGCTGTACATCGCCGTCACAATGCCAGGCATATAGGAGGCCTTCGTTCCACTCTTCGAAATTCTTCCAGATTACTCAACAGTCCTCGACACGATTCCCTGCACATCATGAACCCAACCTGTCCAGCCGATCTTTGGCCTCCATCAAATTACAGCTCCATCAAGTATATCTGCCTCGGGCGTACGCACATGCTATCACGAGAAGAGTCAAGCAACCAGCGGCGCGTGTATCCGAGCATCACTAGACATCCGCTTCCTTGAACCCGGCGTACTTGGTATAGAGCTTCACGATGAATTCTGCAGGAGACCTGATGAGTTCGTTAAGGATACACTGGCTACGATGAACAACGCTATCTATAAGGTGAGATCGAATGGAGACAGTAGAGACAGCGCTGACAGACATTCAGCGCAGGGCTAGCCACCAGCAACAGCATTTCTCCATGCAAGGACCAGCTCTCCGTGAGCGAGCCAGAATGTCGCAAACACCACCTGATCAGACGCAGTCGACCGCTGCAGAATGCATGCGTCAAGTGCGACAGAAGAGGAAAGAGTTGTTTGGAGAAGGAAGTCGGACACCTCAAGATGAAGAGCCCGCACAAGGGAATCAGGCTAGCAAGAAGCGCAAGCTGCCCAACAAGAGCTGCTTGTCGGATCAAACCCATTCTGCTCAATCATACTATGTAGTCAACATTGACAGTTGTCATTATGGGAACTATGCGAATTCAGAAAGCGAGTGAACACGCAGATGAATTCAATGATATCGATAAACCTCGTTCACCACTATCATTGGATCAACGCAAGGCTGCAGGTATGCGTATCTAGTGTGGAGACACCAACAAGGCTGTTTCGTTTGCATGTGGACTTTTCCTACCTTCCCGATCTCACCACTCCACGTTCTTTTCTTCTCTGCTACAATCACAACCAGACAAATACATCACTGTTCATCACCATGAGCTACTCGAATACTCGCTCGCACAAGCACGGCGAGCTTACTAACAAGACACTCCAGACCGGAGACGGCATCGAGGTTGAAGTCTTGTTCCAATCTAAGTACTCGGAGGATAAAAATCATGATCTGCTCGAGGATCACAATAAAACCGAAATGCACACTGCTTTCGACAACTTCCTTTCGGAATTTATCGATAGCTTCCACGCTGTGAGTCCAATTATGATAGGCAGATCATAGATCCGACAGCTAATCAGGCGTGCAGTATGTCAAACAGAACGCGAAGGCCAGGGGTCGTTCGAAAACTTGAGAAGGTTGTGGAGGGTCAGTGTACACAGAAAGGTATCGAGCTTAAGTGCTGACGATCGCAGGTCACGAGTGACCTGCTTCGCACGGGAGGTGGCAAGAAGGGTGCATGAGATTCCAGCGATATTCAAGACATAACACGAATACACGAGCGTAAAAGCTGTGGATGAGAGCGCATACCAGTGTAAAGTGTATGGATGAGGAGCATCATTGCCCTCAATGGCGGGCGTCATCGCCAAGTGTGGTAGTGAATGAATGCCAGATTCCATACTGCCAGACACTTATCGACAAAAGTTCGTAATTTCTTTGCGTCCGCAAACACTGCCATGCCCAGTAAGATCCGATCATGTCAAAAACTCCAACCGCTTTTGCAGACCTGGACCAAGCTCCCCTCGCACCATGTCACAAGGCTCTCGTCCTTCGCCATATCACTCGTCTCCAGCACATCATTCACAATGTGGATGAACTCTCCATTGGTCGCTACACAAACAAGCAAGCAGCAAGAGAACAGCTTGCTCGTATGACGCTGGTCATTCGTGATTACGCTGCTCTAGCCCAGAAGAAATTAGATCCTGCAGGTCCTATGGAGCCCATCGAATCAGCGGCCGTGGATATCATTGATGCAGCCCTGTCTACGTGCGGCGCTCCAGCCTCGTTTGCCGAAGCAGCATTCGTGAATAGTCAGCTCTTCGGTCGAGAGCAGGAAGTCGCAGCCATCATGCAAGAATACAGCGCGGAAAGTGTCGATGATGTGATCGAGCTTTGGAATACCTTGCCTGAGAAGAACGAGAAGGTCGTGCCAGATCCATGTCGAGGCTGCGATCTGGGCGATACGATTGATTGGGAAGGGTTATTCGTCAATCGAAGCAAATCGGAGGCCGATGTTGGACTATTGTTGAGAAGACCAGCGATGAACATGGATGAGTTTCAGGAGGAGAGAATTGAATTCGTTCTCGGACGACTGCCAAAAGAACAATCTTCACGACGAGAACAAGCTCTCACATCCATCACCAAATGGCTCGCAAGCTTCTCCCCAACCTAGCTCATGATCAAAGTCCTACTTCTTTCCCAGCAACTCCCTCTCCTCCTCAATTATCTTCGGCACCTCTTCCTCCAAACTACACTCCCTCGGCTTCCACCCCAGCACTTTCTTCGCCCTCTCCGCCTTCCCCATAGAATTCAAACCCCAACTCAGAGCCTCGAAACCCGCCGTATCCCAAGCCTCCTGCTTACGCAAACTCTGCACCTTGTAATCTCTCGGAATCGCATCCATCTCCGCAGCCTTAGCAGCAATGAATTTACTCAAATCTCCCCAGACATGTCGGCCATTCTCTGTCAAGAAATATCCCTTCTCGCCCCAGATCTCATCAGAAAGATTCCTGTTTACTGCGGCTTCGACTAGGAGGGCATACACGTTTGATAGGTCGTAGACATGGACATTGTCCCATTTCGCTTTTCCCTTTCCGATGACTGGTGCGTAGCCTTTGGTCAGGATCATTTTCGTTAATTCGTAGACTTGTCTTCCTCGTCCAGAGACTGGTCCTCGACCTTTTCCGTAGATTGTCGGGGGACAGATGATGGCAGTCTTCACAGCCTCGCCGTGCTTCTCTGTGGCCTCGAGAACAATCTTATCAACATTTCGGTGAAAAGCTTCGTCCGGCAATGTCGTGAGTTCAGAAACTCCGGAATAGTCATTGAATTCTCCTCTCGTCCATTCTTCACCTAATCTATCATCTTTCGAGTCGAAATATGTCAAAATTCCTGTTCCGCCGGTATGGAGCCAGAATCCTGGATTTTCTTTGGTATGGCCTTTGGCCAGGCCCTTGGCTATTGCACGTGCGGCACCTTCGTGGTCCGAGGCGTCTGCTGCGTGGAGAACGATGTCTGCTTTCGAAGCTTCTTCTTCAATTATGGAACTGTCGTCCAAACCGCCGATTACTGGGCGGACGTTTGGATATTGGGATTTTACTTTGGAGGCTTTTTCTTGGGTGCGGATTAAGGCGGAATACTCGTAGTCTGGGTGGGCTTTGTGCAAACCGTAGAAGGCATCGCCGGCTATGTAGCCTGTTATTCCCGTGATGAAGATCTTGGGTGCCATGATGTCTGTGGGATGTATATGCTGTGGTTTGATTTGGTAAGGTGAGGTTGAAGTAGAGTTCAGGATGAAGTTCAACAACGCGGAGTCGGCAGACTTTAGCTTGTCCCTACGCGGTACTCGGCACCGTTCTTATCTTGGCAAGCCTCCGAGGCACGTTTGGGCCCCGTGGCAGTTGCGTACCTGTCCTGCTTCTGTATCATCTGGACCGACTCCGACTGCCAAATGAAGTCCGCGTGAAGGTGAAGAAGCGAAGTGAAGTGGGATTTATTGAACTTTGCTCCGCCATTCTCACAGTATGACACTCTTGGTCTTGGATGGGGCAACAGTCTCCTAGCATTCATCGGCATTGCACTTCTGCCCATACCCTGGATCTTATATAAATTTGGCGGGCGTATGAGGGCACATCCGAGATTCCAGATGCAATTTTAATTGCATGTGGTAGTCGTTAGATCGCAAGAATCAGCGGCAAGATGGCCGGCCAAGCACTGGGAGCACTGCGTGCTTCATTTGGGGTGCCGATTCGCTGCCCAAGAGCTCACGGTTGTAGCCGACGAGGGCGGTTGCGTTGTCTCTTGAGATGACAAAGATATGGTACAAGGTTAATGTATGAAGATCCGACGCAGTTAAGAGGCCAAAAGTGTGCGAAATATGGGCGCGGAAGATGCATTGCACCCAACAGAATGGCTTGTTGTTACGTTACAGGACATGGAGCAGATATCGACCAGAGATTAAGACCTAATCACAACAGCTTGAAATCTGTCGTTGGAGCGGTCAACTGCTCTCCAGTCAGCGAAGAGATGGCTTCACCGTCCATGAGTCCGTACACGCGAGCCTCGCCAACCAAGACTTAGTATTCGCCATCAGTCGAAGAACGTTGCCATCGAAGCACGCAAGCTCCGGGTGCAAGGCGATATCAGAGCTCGCCGTTGTCCTTCGTTACTTGCATGATGCAATGATTCCATGTCAAAGCGCTTCATCGCCAAAGCGATGTCGCGGGGTGATGTTGAATGGAACAGTAGCTGCAAGGTAGTAGCTCGGCCGCACGCGACAGATAGGCATCAATCCAACTTCTGCGAGACTGAGCCGTGGGTGACCAGCGTGGTAGAACACAATTCGTGCTCAAGGGAGTATTGATTCGGGTACGTGTTACAGCCTCGGTGACTCCAAATGCATCCAGGAAGGAGGCTCAAAGGATGCAAAATCATTAGGGTATCAAATCTGCATCAACATTGCCTCCTCGCATCACCACAGTCCCACCTCCTCCGAATTCAGTTGCCTAATACGGAATGCCATTCGTGAGCAGCTGAAAGTAATCATAAACACCCGTAGAATAACTTCTCTCGGACCAATGCACCAACTTCCTCACAAAGTCCGCAGCCTCGCGTTCGCTCTTCTCCAGAACAAACCTCTCCTTGAAATGCTGAATCGTCTGAGGTTTGAAACAAGGCAGACCGGAATCCAACATGACCATCACGATATGACTCAGCTGCTCAACATATTGGCGACTCACCAGGAACACCTTGACGCACAGTTCTTCAAATTGCTTGAAAGCCTGTGAGTTCTTGCCGCCCATGACTGCAACCATTTCCGGTGTAAGCTTGAATGGTGCGCGTTCAAATTTGATGCCACCAGGAGCGATATCGAAGCAGAAACCGAAGTCGATATGGAGGATGTGACCCGCGTCGTCGACCATGATGTTTCCGTTGTGACGGTCTTTGAACTGAAGGAGGTAGCTGATGATGCTGTAAGCAGCCATGGATTTGATGAAGTTGGAGCGAGCTTCTTGGAACCGGATCGAGTCTTCATAGCCATACTTAGATTGGAAGTATTCATAGAGTCCATTGACGGCTTCGCGACCCAGCATGTCTCGGGAGACAGAGTTAGGGAGGACATCGATGACACCGCAACCGGGCGCTGTGGCTGTGACGCGGTATGGGAAGACGTAAACGTCGAGGCCCATATGGTTGAAAATACCTCGAAAGGCGGCGATCAATTGGAGGGCGAGGACGTCTTGGCGGCAGTCGTCGCCAACCTTGAAGATAGCTGATTGCCAGACCTCGTAGGTGCGACGCTTGTGCTGCAACTGTTCGCCGGCCGCGCGCTTCTCGTCTGTGGGTGCATCGCCTTCTTCCTTGCGAATTCGGAAAGTAGCCATGAACGGAGCCTTGGCATGAGACTGGAGTGGTTTGCCTGACTTGCGATCAATACCGATGAGGACGCCATCAGGATTACTGGGCAGGTAGACTCCGACATCGACCTGAATCTTACGGAGTTCTTCCTCGATCTTGGCCTTCTTTTCCGGCTTGGGACGTTTGATGAGTGGCTTGAGCGTACCGGAGATGCCAGTGACCTTGCCAAAGAAGGCAAATTCGCGTTCGTAGAAGTCCTTGTCCTCACTCGCGAAGCTTCCAATCAGCTCGTCCATGACCTTGTCGAATATGGGTTTTGCTGGATCAGGCACTTCCGAGTCCTCGTCCTTGTAGGCATTGGCCTTGATGTTCCAGATGATTTGATGCGCGAAAAGCTGCGAGAAGGTGGCCGTTTCGATGATGTAGCGCTCGACATAACCAAGTTGGTCGTATCGCAAAGCTTGCACCACTTGGGGAACATAGAAGAAAGTGACGTCCACGTGGTGACTCTCAAGAGCTCGCACAGCATACTGTATGACAAGAGGATGATTCTTGTAGGCCGGCAGAAAGTAGGTGACGGCAGCCATGGGGTTGGTCGGAGCCCAGAATAGCAGGTACCGGAGCTGTGTCTTGAGATCTGACGGAAGCTCTGATCCAAGCAGTAAGTAGAGCGCGTCGGCCTCGTGAATGGCCTTCTCTGGGTGGCGGAGGAGGTATTGCCGCAGACTGAGCTTGATTTGCTGAGAATCAGAGAAGCGTGTCGCCAGCTGTATCGCCACACGAGGATCTTCAGCCCATGCCACGTCGACGAGCGACACAACCAATGACTCCTGATGATGGAGCTCGCTGTGGCCAGGTGCTATGCTTCTGGAGTCTTGTCCGAGCGGTGCTGACCATACCGAGAGCTTGCCAAGCTCGTGCTTGATCAATTCGAGTAGCAACTTCTGCTTCGGCATCAAGGAAGGCAAGGCTCGTGACGTCTTTTTACCGATACCCTCCATACTACTCAGCATGCTAGTGACATCGGTCAACAACTTCTTCTCCGCCTTGACTTGCAACTTGTTGCTACCGAATGACCATTTTGGCGGTCCCGCAAACCAAGCCAATCCAGCGGAGAGAATGGCATCCTTCAGTCTCCATTGAGCAGTGGAGTCTGATCTGGTGCAATACTTCAGGATCTTGGTCGCGAGAAGGATCATGTGAAAGTGAGCCTCGCGAGCCAGCGGCTGACTAACGGTTTTCTTCATGGCCAACATTGTGATTCGCATCAGCCTGGAATGGACCTTTTCAGTAGCCGGCGATGTGAGTCGAGAAGCACTGAAGTGGCTTGACAGGAAATGTGTCAGGCGCAGATGTGGTGCGACCAAATTTTGCGTAATCTGTTCACGCCGCTTGATAGCCTCCCAGCTGGAGGGGGCAAATTCTTCCTTGACATAGAATGGATCCAGGTGAGAAAGTTTTGGATAGAAGAACCCCTTTTTTAGACGCACCGAGGCTTCCCATCCAGCTGCAACTTCCACGAGTACTCTCGACTCCAGGCTTGGATTCTCCTTGATGATGCCGAGCCATAATGAGATGCCCAGATTGATCGACTGTTTGGTGAAGATCATGAACGGGACTGAGACAAGGTCCTTGATCAGCGCAACCCGATCAGACAGGCTTCGACTTAGGATGCCAGCTGCATTGCGCAAAATTGCTCGGACTTCTTCGGGATGGACAGCCTCATTGCTCTCGATACGTTGAGCAAGCTTCCTCAATTCGACTGCTTCATCTTCCATAGGCTTCTCCACATCCAGGAGTGTCAGGCGCGAGTTGCCGTTGTAGTCTACGATCGCAAAGTCGTCGTCCACTTGTAGCTTGTCCTCGAGATGGCGATATTCCTGGCGGGTAGTGTATTGCGCAATGAAGTCCGAGGCCGTGTTCACCGCTTGATTGTGACCTTCAAGACTTGTCAGACGCTGGTCGCTTCCCGGTATAATTGATCCCATTTCGACGGCAAAAGACCGGCCAAGAGCAATGTGACCGTATGCTCCGTCATCCTCGTAGTCTTCCAGATAAGCCTGCAACATGCCTTTGACGTCGAGCGGCGAGACGTCGATGGCTCTGGCTACCCACACTCGACAGCGCTGGTGGAAGTCGTTCAGTGTTTGCTGCCGGAACTGCGCATCGTCGGAGAGCTGAATGTTGACGTTGCCTTTAGATGAGCTATAGTACGATTTGAAGGCATACTCGTCCGTTTCTGTATCCAGACAAGCTTTCCACATCAGCGAGAGCAGCTCCAGTAGAGCGAAGAGCGACGCCCTCTGGCACAATGCGGAAGGTATCTGGTTGATGATGCGATCGCACGCTGCTATCGCTGCTTGCTGAACCTTTGCGATGCGGTTGCAGCAGCCTTCGAAGAGTGTTGCCAATTGCAATGCCACTTGTGGCGCTGCAAAGTCTTGCCGCCTGCCCGACAAGGCGTTCTGCAGATATGTATCGACACTGTGGTTAGACACAGCTAGGACGCAGTTGCAAAGGTGCTCTGTCGTCTTGACTTTGTTCTCGAGGAAGTATGGCAGTACGGCAGTGCTGTCACCACCACGGGCACGGAGAGTGGACACGAGCAACGCGGCATTCACAAATACACTTTCGCGATAGCTGAGCTTGTTGATGTCAAATTCGCATTGTGGCAGTATTGCGGCGAGAGCCTGCTTCTGTTGTCGATGCGTAGAGTCTCCAGCACCGCGGCGTAAAATGGGGTTGAGATCAATGCTGCTGTTGGGCATATCGACGCGTGCTTCGTCAACGAGGGGCAAGCTGTATAGTGCCATAGTCTGCAGGTCGTCCTCGTGGACTTTGGTGTTGCTGGCTGCCAAAGTGAAACCATGAACAGCAAAGTTGAACCACGCATCTCTGCCGAGCGAAAGCACTTCGTCTTCGTCCTCGAGCTTGGGTTGGTTGACGGTATCGAATGAGGCCAGTAAGGCCATTGGCTTGAAGAGTTGGGCGATGGTCTTCGATGTGAGCTTTCGATCGACAGGCTTCTCGCCTGCCACGTCGCCGCTGCTGACGCAAAGACTCAACATATGGGTCAAGTAGATCTCGAAGAACGGAGAGTCCTTCTTGATGTATCTGGCCAAGCGCAGTCGCGCTTCCAAGACAGCGGCAGTTAAGGGCGAAGTACTCTGAATGACAGCATCGCTGCCGACACGGGCATAAAGACGAAGTAAGCCTTTCAACTCGCTCGCGCCACCGCATACACCAAGCGCTGATGTCTCGATGATGATTCTGGCGTCGACGGCGGGACTGATCTTTCCGATCTTCTGGAACAGCATTGACAGCACCAGGGCAGTCAGCTGTGCTTCGCTACGAGCGACAGCGATGGAGACAATGGCTTCGACGACGGTGCCATATGCGGTTGCGGTCTCTTCTTCGTCACTGAAGTCGAGAGAGATGGCGCTGCCAAGGCCTTTGTGAGAGGAGAAGTTGTTCTGGCTGAAGTTGAAGCCGGCATCAAAGATGGAGGATTTGCTGTTTCCATGAGCATCCGCGTCAGCGCTCAAGACGTTGCCCAGACTGTAGAGCGTGCTGATGACCACGTCCTGAGACAGCGGTCTAAGAAGGCGGGCAAGGCATTCGCAAGCTACAGCTGACGTGGTCGGAGTCATTCTCCCGTTCACAATCAATCTGGGCAGGGATCGCGTAAGGGTGGTGCCGACGGGTTCGGAGATGTTGGCGAGAACAGCCATACACTTGAGCACAGTTTTGGCGAGATCTTCATCAGCCATCTGCGATGGATCGGATGTGATCGCATTCAACCAATCCAAGAGAACATGGTCGTTCGGAGTGTCGCCGTTGAGAATGCAGCAGCACAAGAAGCTTCGCAGAGCGGATGCTTTGACTTCTCGGGCAAGCCTCTGCTGCCAGATGGAGCCGAGCGTGAGATAGTCAGCGTCGGCATCGAGGAACCGGATCTCGTCGGAGATGATGTGCGTCACGTGGTCGACGTGGGCATTGGAGGCGTGGATGGGATTGCGATAGCGTCGAGGATTGTGGGTGAGCAGGGTGTCCAGCACGAGCGGCGCGGTCAGAGGCTCGGGCGTGGGCAGCAGAGCCAACACGCTCTCCTCGACGACGTTCATGAAGGCCTGCTCGAGAAGCGTGGCGCCCAGCGGCCGCGCGTCCGCCGAATAGTGGCGGATCCATCGTTTCCATTCCTTGACCGCTCTGCTGGTGGTGCGCGCATTGCGGATGGCGGAGAGCGCGCGCTCCAGAGACAGCAAGAAGCTCTCCGAGAGCAGACGGCGGAGCTGGGGCAGCAAGGCCACGCGCTGTTCGGGACTCCAGACACGCACGGATTTCGCGATGGCATTGAAGAAGGCGAGCAGCGAGACATGCAGACGAATGACGTCCAGCGTCTGATGGGTGATCTCGTACTCGCCTTCGCCTTCGCCTTCTCCTTCTGGCACAGGCTTCAAGCACTCGGTGCGCTCGGCACTCGCGGACAGCTCTTGTATGGTGTCGACGATGCAGGAGCAGGCGTCTGGCCGCAGCGAGGCGTGGTTGAGGGCAAGTGCGAGAACAGCAGTGGTCAAGTGGTAGGAAAGTGTGTCCCAGGGCGGGAGATGCGGATGCAGTGGCGCGGCAGCAGCAGCGAAAGGCTGTCGGTGCGCTTCGGGAAGGTGGGGAGCGAGGTGTCGGAGTAATGCTGCGGCCTCTTTCGTGGTGTGGACCGAGTGTGCTGCCTTGCACAATGCCACCAACACCTCCAGCTCCTGAACGCTCATGGGCATGGGCATGGGCATCATCGCGTGTGAGGCTGTGCCATTGCCATTGCCATTGCCATTGCCATTGCCATTGCCATTGCCATTGACGAGCCCATTCTCGTGTGGCCCTGCTCGTGACTTTCCTTCGCCATCCTCACGTGGTGCTGCTCGTGCCTTTCCCCACGCGCACAGTCTCTGCATGTCCATGTCCATGTCGCCGTCGCCATCCTCATTCGCGTGCGCGTGCGCGTGCGCGTGCGCGTGCTGCACTCCTGCTGTTGCTGTTGCTGTTGCTGTTTCCGCCGACAGCCTCGCGAGCCGCTCGAGAGCATTGCGCCGCGTCGCGCCGATGCTGGTGCTGGTGCTGGTGCTGGTGCTGCATATCATTCAGCATATTTCCGCGCCACGCCACGCCAGCCTGCCTTCTCTCCCACTTACACCTTCATCACTGCTGGATAGTAGACATTCGCAGCAGTCCGACTGCCTGGGTGCCAGCATACCCAGTCGCTCTCGCTCTGCTGCAGCAATACTATTGCTCTCGGGAGAGTATAAACAGTAAACACGGATGCCTGCCACTGCCACTGCCACTAGGTGAGGTGACGTGCGCTTGCTTGCATACCCCGGCCGTGCAAGAATTACTTGGACGCCATCAATATTGACGCAGCTTGAATCAATCCGAGCAAGCTTCTCTTTTCTTGAAATCCAGACTCTGCGATTGTGCTCGCTCTCATCACCGCCAACATCGTCGCCATGGGTCTCGCGGGGCACAAGAAGTACATACAATACCTGAGTGACTGTGAAGCCTGATACTAATTCGCTGCAGCCGCACGAAACTCTCCCACGACCCGAACAACACAGCATGGGCCAGAGATACCAAAACCTTCGGCCGCAAGATTCTTGCAAAGCAAGGATGGAAAGACGGTGATTACTTGGGTGCTGAGAACGCGAGCCATGCCTCTCACTACACTGCCGCAAATGCCTCGCACATCCGCGTTATGCTGCGCGAGGACAACCTTGGTCTGGGCGCAAAGATTGCTGGCCAAAATGCTGACACTTTCGGCTTGAGTATGTTCTCGGGACTGCTGGGCCGCCTCAATGGCAAGGACGAGGCGACGTTGAAGAAGCAGGAACATTCCATCAGAGATGCTGAGCTCAGGATGTATGGAGACCGGAAGTTCGGCTTCATGAACTTCGTCTCAGGTGGCCTGTTGGTGGGCGACAAGATCGAGCCGCCGAAGAGCACCAAGATTGAGCATATCAAGCCACACGTCGTGGCAGTCAAGGTTGAGACTGATAAGAAGAGCAAGAAGCGCAAGGCCGACGAGGAGGAGACTGAGGGAGAGGAGAATCACAAGAAGAGGGTGAAGTCGGAAAAGCGCAGTGCGAAGGAGAAGAGCAGCAAGTCAAAGGCCAATCCACGTTCAATTGAGGAGCTCTCCGCCAGCGACATGCCCGTGGAAAAGCTGGACGACAGCTCGAGCTCAGAATCCAGCGAGGAAGGTCAAGCCAAGTACGACAAGAAACAGCGCAAGGCACAACGCAAGGCGGAGAAGGAGGCAAAGCGATCAGAACCTAAGGCTAGCCATGATGAGAAGTCCCGTCTCAAAGAGGAGAAGCGAGCACGCAAGGAGGAGCGTCGCAAGCGGAAAGAGGAGAAGCGCAGGCAACGGGCAGAGAAGGAAGCGTCGAGTGCGAAGACCTCAAGGCCAACATCTGCCGTCAAAAGTGAAGCTGAGCCATCTGGGGCTTCTAGGCCGACATTTATGGGAGGACGACAAGCATTAAGGCAGCGGTACATCATGCAGAAGCGCATGGCTTCTGCCAACGCTTCTGCGCTGAAGGAGATTTTCATGCTACAGCCACAAGCAGCATCCTGAAAGCACTTTGACTCTGTTGGAGGTTCAAGAAGTGCCTGAGGTCAGGACTTCAGAGGCAGCATTGCTGCTTAGTAGCTCGCAGCAAGCTACCTAGGCTTCAAGGATAGAGTTCCTAATTCTCATCATAAACAGGTCGGGTGCGTGCCCAAAGATCACTCCAGATTATTCGTCGTCTTGCGGATTGTGAGATCCGATAAACTGCAACAACCATGGAGGCAGAGCACTACTCTGCTGTGTCTCCGACTGATCTAGCCCCAAACGTCAACTCTGGTGCAAGTCAAAAGCGCCGAATTGGATTTTTGTGACCTGCCTCTGGAACTACGACAGATGGCATACGAGGCGTGCGTCCCACCATGAGGCCTTCTACCTACAATTTTTCGTGCACTGGAGGACGTTCAGCTCGAAATTCTGCCATTCTATACCATCTTCATGGACGGACTCGCGGATGAGAGCGTCTCCTTCGAAGGCTTAAGGACTATAAACATCCGTGGCTTCTCGACCTCTCCATATGCAAGCTACTCAGCCCGGAGCTAACTGGTACAAAATTTTCAAATGCACCCACGCAGTTTCAATTTCTTTCTCCTTCATCTAATAATGTACGACAGCGAAGATGGGTTTTGTACTGTCCACCATGCTGACGTCCCAACCCAAGCCGAACATTTCAATCTCGGATACAAAGAAGAGCGATGCTCCGGCCACTTCACCAAATCGCCAGCCCACGAGTTTCTTCTCACTCCCACTGGAATTGCGGCAGATGATCTACGACACGTGCATCCCCGCGACTTACGGGATTCTAATTATCACGGACTGGCACGAGCAAACTGTGCTTGCACTCCAGGCCTCGCATCCCCTAATCGCGTCAGAAGTTCGCGAACGAGACAAAAGACAATTCTCGCTTCTTCGCATCGTCGTCGCGCCACGATCCGCTTTCATACCTGCTCTGTTGGTGCCACAACCCCCTTTTGCGAGAATCGAAGAAGTGGACTTCGTGTTCGATACCATTGATCCATGCAAAGGCGTTCATTGTGATCACATCCGTAACGCACTAGTTCATCGGCAGATTACATCAATGATCACGACCACTCGGAAGTACGTAAACTGGATCGCGAAGACATACGACGACTACGATCTCGATTATCTTTCAGTCAGATTTCACAACCACGCCCAGCGTATCGAATCGTGCTGGACAGAGCCCTGTGGCAGCAATTACTCTGATGATAATGTCCTCACCACGACTTATCAGCGGCCAATTTACGAAGCCCTTCTTGCACCTCTTCTGAAGGTGCCCATTGTACAGGATTGTTACATCGCTATGCTTCAACACGTTAGTAATACCGACGCGAGACTATGGAACCAGAACTTTATGATTGATTTTCGCGGCGCTGTTGTGCATTGGCTGGAAGGAAGACTTGATAAGGCGCAAGACTTTTATCTGTATTTCTTGGTCCAGTGGATCTGGACGAGGCCGGGCGTGCAGTATATGCTTCCTGAGTCATGGTATCATGACCGACTCCGGATGAAAAAGGAGCAGGCTTTGCGATATGTGGAGGACTATACACAACGCTACGATCGTGATGAGCTCGGTCTCTAAACGAGGTCCAGATCTCAAGGAACGAGCTACCGACAACTCTTTTCATCGTTCACGGCCTCAGCCCAACAAAGACCACAAGCACAGCCGCATAGGCCGCTATCGAATCCCAAGGTCTGATATTTCGTCGCTCTCATAGCGACCCTCGTCGTGATTGCAGTCTTCGTCCGATTCTGCTGCAACGCCACGAACAGCCAGGCGCGCAACAAGTCATCCTAGAGAACCAACCTACACCCTGTGATTCAATTAACCGAGTCCTCCTCCGTTACAGGGCTCGGTCAAACCGATCAAGCCTGCTACATTGTGATCCACGAAAGCGACACCCTCAAGCTGACCCCATCATTGCCCTCCTCATCCTTACTGCAGGGGTATCACAGCCCGCGATATCTTCTCAACTCCACGAGACTGGCCCAAACGTGCCATTCACAGGGATCTGGAATCTTGGAGTCCCCTTGCCATCGACTGTCTTCGAGTTTACTGTATTTCCCCACCAGCTCAAGCTCGCACCGGGAAAGATCACGCAGAAGAACAGGACAATCGCACTAACAGCAACGCTAGAGTCTAGCGCCGCCGAAAGTACGTAATTGTACTTCGCCCACCACTGCTTGTAGCGGTTCTTGATGTACTGTCGAGTTGTCAGATGTCAAGTTTCAGCCACAAGTGGGTAGGGCATGCAAGCAAAGCGACTCGCCTTGTTGAATATATAGCTAGCAACAAAAGCTGTAGTGTAGTTGACACCAGTCTGAAGCGTAGTCATTAGCGAGGCATTTTCAACCAACTCAAAGCACACTGACTAACCGCAGGAGGCATGTTGCCAGTGCCAGCAAAGAAGATCGGCCAGTGGATTGCATTCAAAAACTTGTTGTGCGGGAAACGCTTCTTCAGGAGAAATGTGACGATGGGTAGCAGTGCACCGAGCCAGAACATGTGGAGTAGACCAGAATAGATCTTGCCGATGCTATACATGCGTGCCGGGCCAATTGCACCCCAGACGATGGAAGACACGAAATTCACTCGGCCTTGCGGGCAAGTATAGCCACTCTTCTGATCCTCCGCGCAGATATTGTCAATGTGGCCTAACATCCAGATCAGAACTCCTTGCTGACTGAGACTGCCGAGAACGCAGCCAACAAATTGAGCGACGAAAAGCGTTCTTCGAGGGATCTTCATGTACAGTCCAAGCTTTTGATCTGAAGAAAAGTTCATGGCTTGCGAGAGGGCGGTGTAGGCATAGAACTGGCGGCAAATCAGTCAAGTCAAAACGTCTCGGTATTTCAATGCCTACCTTGAAGATTAGCATGACTATGGGCTTCCCAGGTAGTAAGTAGCCAGAGATGATCTCGCCCAAGACCGTGAGCACATTGCTGTTCAGATTGGCAACAGCATACACCACGCCAACCGGCACGATGTACAAGCTTGCCATTCCGAAAGCAATCAGAACGCCCCAGAACGGCATGCCGATGTCGTAGACATACATGGTCATGATGCTCAGACCCAGGACAGTAACCGCCAAAATCGCATACCACCACCAGGCGGCGTCCGGGTATTTCTCGATCATACGAGCATGACAGTCCTTCGGTCTGTTGCCCTTGAACGAGCGCATGATATCCTGAAAGTGGTACAAGAAGATATGGCTGATCAGTGCTGCCATCACCGCGAAGCTGATACCGTAGCCCAGGGCAAAGGTGACAGGCATGAAGACTGGGCTGTAAGCCTTGTAAGCTTCCACGTCAAAGTTGCCGTGTTCGTCGACGATTCTTGATCCATTGTAGATGGCTCCAGTATTGTCGTAAGAATTGCTCGATGACAATGGCAGGTATGACGTGTACCAAGTGTTCGTGTAGTACAGGATCGGGGCTGTCAAAGCGAAGAAACAACAGAAACCGGCAAATGAATTCGCTTGAGCCCAGAACGGTACTACTAGAGGAGAGCCGTTATAGGCGATCTGGGCCCAGTCGAATGTGATAGGCATCATCCCGAGACCACTGGACATGCCAAAGACGTTGTTCACGCGAACATTGTTCGGAGCTGCCCAGCATATGAATGCGAATGTGCTGAGAGCTGTAAAGATGAAGCCAGGGAACCAGTACCAGCAGAAGCTGCCGGCAAAGACGTACAAGAAGAAACGATATCGAGAGATACGCCAACCGTTTGCGATGGGATTAGCACGACTGTGCAAGGTCTCGAAGAGAGCAGCATTGGCCAGCGTCGAAGGCCAAATCTGTTGAATAATCAGCAAGGCATCCGTAGAGAGACTTGTTGGACGTACCATTTCAGGCGGCTCCACAATGAATCGATATGCGAGGCCAGCGATTCCAAGACCGAACAGCTGCATTGTCAAACCCAGGAGGAGCTGATAGCCAATGGGCGCCTTCAGCCCGTAGAATGCCTTCTGCGCCTGGATGATATCAGTCGCCCATGATGTGCCGAAGCTTAGATTCGACATGATTGTGATGACGGTGTGTTCCTTGACATTGAAATTTCGATCCGGATTAATGCAAAAAGAGTAGCCAAAGATGGTGATTGTCTTCAGAGGTAGGATCAATGCAAGGCCGCAGCCAGCTGGGAATGAGATCAATTGGGTGACAAGACTTGTGATTGTTACGCTTGGATAATGCACGGAGAAGAACGAGTTGATGCCGGATCCGATCTAAATGGTTTCAGTGCAAAGCGACGAGTGAGGATTATAAGCCTGAGACCCACCAGAGCGAAGGCGCATCCTAGAAACCACATTCGTAAGGTATTGACTGGTAGAGTTGGATCATCGGTGTTGGGCACATTGGCTCGTACTTCAGGGTAGGGAGAGTTATCTGACTCAATCGTATACTCTTCTTCGATATCGCCGATTGCGAGGTCGGTGGCTTCGTCAGTTGCCAAGTGGTGATGTTTGCCATCCAGCTCCAAGTCTTGACTGTCCTCGCACACGACAGGCTCAAGGTCTGGCTCCCCGCCGCCCACACTCTTCAGCTCCCGCGTGGCCATGTTCTTCTCATTTGCAGAAAGAAGTGTTCGACTAGGCGACGATGATTGTCTGGACTCTTGTCCATGGTTGATGCGGGCTGTCGGCATTCATATGCTGATGGATGTCTTCTTGCCCAAACGGTGAAGGTCCAAGCGACCGCTGGCCTGGCCTTATCCTGCCGTAGGCCGTCTCCGGCAGTTCTGTGCCCGTTCATGGGGCAGGCGGGGAGACAAGATTCAGGGAACAGTAACCCTAGACTATATCAATGTAGAATGGCTTGAGTAACATGCGGTCTTCGCGAGTCTTCGCCAGCGTCTTGCCTAGGACGGCGGTAAGAGAGGGGCTTGGAAGTTCAGTATTGTGTCATGTGTGTGTATTGTATTGTTGTGGAGTGTGGTGTGGATGGACGGGCCAGGCATTGTTCGGAACCCAAAAGTTTCCGATCTCGGCTAGACTATTTGCAGCCGATGCCCTAAATTTGGAAAGGTGGATCTCACATTCGTTGCCAAGACTACAAGTATACTTCACAGATCTGCAACAGATGAAGGTAGTAGGCAAGTCGTGGGCCAGCCCATCATTCATAGCGTATACATCAAAAGTCTTATACCTTACGCCAGCTCACCCTACAGCTGGTGCCTTTGGAGGTGATCGAAGTCCTGCCAATGCTCCACCGTAGCAGTGCTCGGTCTCTTCGCACATCACATTCTCGAGCAGACAGGGATATGTTCTGCTCTTGCGCATTTCCCAACGACCAGCAACTATCCTTAGCGGAAGCTCGGCTGGATATTTGTCTCTTTCTCGCTCGCAGCTATCCAAACGCTATTATTCCTATTTGTGCTGACAGCGTCATCTCTGCCTATATCGGTGGCGCCAATCACGAGGCAAGAAACATCCACTAAAGGTGTCGGCAGGAAGTCCATGGCGAAGCTGCACATGTAGATGCAGAACAGAGGTGCAATGCACCATTCAGTGATTGCGCTTTGGTTTGGGTATCCGCTCCACGCCAGCGCAACGAAGAAGCAGGTGAGGACGGATTCGAGGGCAGCGAAGAAGGCTTTGATCTTCCAGGACCAAGATATGTACTTGTTGCAAGGAAATTTCTTGCTCAGGCGGCGCTTTTCGATGGCCATGAAGATAGCGGCGAAGACGTAGCCATTGCTAGGAAGTGTCAGCAAGGATGAAGCCTCAACCAGGCGTACTCGTTAACTCACATGAACACACCAACCATGCAATAGTGTACCATTTTATGATTCTTCTTGTCAAAGGCCGTGAGCATGATAGCGCCAAAAGCGCCGATAATGGTCGATATGGTCGCGCACCATGAGAGTATCGTCGATCCATGACTGGAGACGTGTAGAAGAAGCCCTCTATGCCTTAGCCATCGTTCTGCAGCGAAGGCAAGACCGAAGATGAACACAGTGACGTCCGAACTCGCGATAAAAAGTGGTTTGCCCCACGTGGTGCTCGCGATGTCAGAGATGTATGCTAGACGTTGACCAGGAGAAAGACTTGGTAGTATAGGACTGCCTTGCGCTACCCAAACGATGAGCATGCTGATCAGCGCGGCTAACGAAATTATCAGCTTCAGTCGGGTCCTCATTTGGGGGGCACGTACAAAGCCATATGCAGCCAGAAATCACTGGCAGGATCCAGCAAGGTATCCCGAACAGTCGGGGCGTCCTGTGCGAAGCATCGGCAGAAGCGCCCATGACGTTGGACCGATCCGAGACCTATGCGGATAATTCTAGGCTTGGTACACGTGTGGAAGAAGTCGAATGCAATCCTGTACTTCGTTTGGTAGAGCTCTTGATGGCCGGCGTCGAGCTCTGCTTGGAACAGCCGTGAGCGAAAGTGATGAATTGAATGAATGTTTCGTCCCAGAAGAGCGTGGTAGAATTTGTCAGTATAAACGAGAGTCGCAGCAGTAAAAGTGAGCAGGAATGCACATGCAAAGAATGAGACTGAACACAATATGAGTCCTGCTCAGATACCAACATGTGGCAGATGAAGCTGTGTACACAGGATCATTAGGATGCAGATCCGTCAGACAGTTCGTGAACTCAGCGTGGGTCTACAGGACCCGGATGGAGTCGCCATTGTCATCAAGTGGTACAGTCAACTGTCAGACTTCCTCAGAGATCCACCTGATCCTTGCTATCGACCCGACTTGACTGGAATTGGACAGAGAAGCGAATCCCAGCAGCTGCTTGTATCCGCTTTCAGTTGAAACGTAATCTATGTATCACCCGGATCTCTAGGCAAATTCCCTCAGAAAGCTCAGCTAGTTCGTTCAGTATTCCGGTAGAGAAGCGCTTTTTCGATTGGTTGCAACCCATGTGTCTCTGAGCGGAAGTAGTCGCCACTGTCATTAAGTGATAAGGTCCAAGGGAGATCGTCACCCACTGCGTCCCACCTTTGGGTTTGATCTACCCTGTCGCGACAAGCTATGTACGACAATGATAGCGTGACGCTCTGCGAGAAGTGCTGTGACCTTGATACACGATTCGCAGTCGCGCCCATCCGATGTTTCCGAGGACCGATGTGGTAGACAGAAGCGACCACGATCCCCGTAATCAAAAGGGCTGCGTTCCCGTGACAATGGATGAGTCGTCTGTCGGTCTTCATTCGTCTTGCATCGTGCTCCAGGCGGTGTCTATCCGAATGTGAATGTACACGACGCATCGCTCATGCAGTCCTGGCTGTACAGAGCGGTTTGTGCATCCAAGAAGCCAAGCCGAGACTGGATGGTGATCCGTGCCCGTTGCCTGGACGGACTTTCGACAAATCGCAAAAAATCTGCCTCGATCAAGCAAACGGGAAGGAAGCGCGGGAAAGCGTCTTCCATTTTGGCACAAGACGCTCTGCAGAGTCCCGACATGCCGCTGGATTAGCGGATAATCACCGTGATTGGCCGTACAGTCCATTGACGTGAGTGAAGAAGGGTTGATGAAGGGGTGTAGTGGCTGGCGAGGAATATACGGCCCGTCAGCAATAAAAACCATTCATCCAATTACCTGCTTGTCTTCGATATGCGATGCTTCCTCGCAGCTGTGTCTATTAAAGAAGAGAGGCGCGTGTTGTGATGTGGAATCTGCACAAGTCGTGCGTGAGAAAGGAGGGAGAGGCGGAAGAGAGAGAGAGAGAGGGAGAGCACAGCGGAGGCTCCCTGATCAGAGTCGGATCGAACTTCGATCGAACTTCGATCAGACATGGCTTTCCATTAGCGCCCGCCTCAACCGTACCAATCACGATCGATATTGCTGCCTTGCACTCGGTTGCAACCTGACTGAGCAGCCTTGGAAGACATCTCAGACCAGACCAGTGCCGCAGTATGAGCACCAGCGGCGCAGCAGTGCGGAAATCAGAGAGGAAGCGTCAGAAGACGAGTGGCGAGTCTGCCATCGCTCACCAGCCCGAGACAAAATCTCAATCACAAGCGACATCAAACTCACCAAAAGCGTCGCCGACCGCGAGATCCTCCCAAGCCAGTGGAGTCACTTCTGAGGAGGAAATTGACGATGTCCGACGTCTGGGCTGGGGTGTGTTCACGATCACGGCGTATGTGATTCTGAAAGCGGGATATACCTGGCTCTCGGAAGAGGCTGAGGTCACGCCAGATGGTGTGCCGAAAGGCATGTTACCTCCAGTCTGGAAACTGGACTTTCTGGGATTCGAAGGTAAAGAAAGCATGGGCAGTGCAAGACTCAAGGTCAAGAACGACCGCGAGTGGCAGGATATTAGCAGCGAAGAAGAAAGAGACGATCGTGAGTGGCAAAGAGTGATGCGTCAATATCAACGAGACGGCAGGTACGAGCCGCCACCTGAAGAGGATTAAAGGTTGGCAAATAGACGAGTTGTGCAGCCAGTTTCCAAGGCGCTCCTTCAACCGGATTTGGCCGCTAAGGTGACGATTGTGGTTGGACAGGTGGTTCTACACACCCCTGTCTTAAAGAAGGCGCTCTGTACGCAGAGCGCATTCTTTGGGGCCTGGTAGGGAATTGTCGGTACTGTATCCCCTTAACGAAGTCCGTAGTTAAGTCCGTCGAACACCCACCCTAGCAGTCCCCTTGTCAGGTTCCGCTTTCTATGCTAAATCCGGTGTAGTTCTATACAAACCTGTATTACTACTCGAACAGCGATACTATCCGATTAGGTCTCGGATTTAGCCGTAGTAGAGCGGTAGGGGTTAATACCTGTTTTGCCGATAAACGCCGATAGCTAACGAGTTATTATAGGGAATAGGGGATAGTACTATTACCTTAGGTTAAACGATATATCTTCTTATACTTATCTAGAGGCTATAAGTTCTTCCGCCGTCGATCCCTAATTACTATATCCGCTAGTATTAAAATCGGTATAATATCGTCCTTAGACTTACTTATAGCGACTAGTTATTCTATCTATACTCGCTACTTTCTATACTAATAAGAATAAGGTAACCCCCGGTAGGTCCCTTATAGACGTTAACCTATTAGGTTACTAAGTACTCTCGAGAATATTAGTACTAACTTAGCTAGGCTAGTCGAGATCGGTCGTTAGATATAGTTCTTCCTATAGCCTCGTTTTACTTACGCTTCGTATACTAACTATACTAGAACCTCGCTTAGCGCGTCGGCGCTAACGCCGTCGTAGCTATTAACGCTACTATAAGCGTCGAGGTAGAAGAGGAGGATTCTAAGGATAAGTAGGATAGGCGGCCTACTACTACCGCGCCTACGCGGCGCCCCCTCTATATATACTAGGCCGATAGGCCCTTTTTAGTAGCAAAACGAGTACGTATCTACTATTTTTTCTTAAGTCTTATTTTCTTTTGTTTTAATTACTACCTATACTTACGCTTCGCTTAAGCTTGCTACTTCGAACTCGTCTAACGCTATAGAATCTTTAATATAAATAGCTAGCTTCTAAGTATTATATTCTTTAGGCTAACCTCGCTACTTAATAAGGTAATACGCTTTCTACTCTTTTATCTTCTTCGCTACGATTGTTTCTACTTACTACTCGTTATCTTTAGTAACGGGTATACTTATTTTATACTCCTCGCTATCGCGCCTATACTAAGGCTTAAGGAGGGAAATATAGAAAACATTATAGATCTTCGTACTTAACAGTAGCGCTAGGCGGTACGCCTACGCTCCGCCGCTCGAAGGTTAACTAACTTAACTTCGTATATTAATAGTACTATACTAGCTCTAGAATAGCCGGATTATACCTAATAAAGTCTAGATAAATTATTACCTTCTTAGTAATAGGTACGTCGTTACGACAACCTCTATTACGTACGAGCTCTCTTTCTTCTAATTCCTTAACTAGACTCTTTATATAAGAAGTATTATATTAGCAGGTAGATAGGGTAGTAGTAGGTTAGTATAGTATTTAATAGAGATCTAGAAGGAGAAGAGGGAAGGTAGGCTAGTTAGCCTAACGCTAAGCGCTAAGCCCTGCCTAAGGCACTAAGACCCTAGCTTTACTCAGTCTAGTTATATACTAATTACGTATAGCCTCTTTAGCCCTAATATACGCTTCCCTTCTAAAGGCCGCGCCCTCGTAGCCTATCTATATTTTAATCTTAACCTCTATCGCCGCTAACTTAGTATATTAACTAAGCTGCTTAGCCGCGCTAAATTAAACGCTTAACTACCTAATTATATAACTATATTAAACCTTACCTTCTAATATAATATCTAACTCTAACTGCGCTATCCTTATATATAATAAAGTAATATATATCTACGAGAATTAAGGGCTATCGACTAATTATAATACGAGCGCGTCTTCTCTACTATAATAGGTAGACGTACGAGGTATTGTAGCACTACCTCTGTTCTAACTTCTAAGTAATATCGTTTCGAGTTCTTTGCGTCTACTTTAAAAGACCTAGAAATATCCGCTTCCGAGGATTGTTCTTATTATTACGAGGGCTATTATTTACTATTGTAGTTTCGCTAGCCCTAATTAGTTAGGTTTAGTAGCCTTTAATTATTAATCTTATTTTTAAAAACGCAGTTCGTCTAGTTTCTATAGGTAAAGGCTATTATAAGTGCAATAGTTAAGGTTCGCCTCGCTTAAAGGATTAGAAAGATCGAGGAGTAACCTATTATTTACAAGATCGACCCTAGCTAGCTTAGCTCTATATTTTTGCCTTTAGTTAGTCTATTAATCGTCTAACCTTTTTAGTCCCTAAGTCCTTCGAACGGCTTAATCCTTTTTAACCTAGTATCTTAGCCTTAGGCTATAGTATAGGTAAGGTTGTTCTTATAGATATAGCGACAATAGTAGGTAATATTAATAATAGCGGCGCTAGCCGTCTTAGCGCTAACTTTACCTTATTTCCGATTTCCTTCTTCGACTAGCAATATACTTAGTAATACTATTACTAATATAGCCGCGCTATCCTTTAATATACCGCTAGCTTGTACTACAACGCTATCGTTATTATCGCTAGTACTACTAAAGGACGGAAACTAATACTACTACTTATAGCAATAGTATAGGCTACCGAGGGTAACATAACCTATAGCAATATAGGCAGCTATGTTTAGTAAGATAGGATAACGGGACTGTCGCTTAGGCTAATAACTAGAGCCCTGCAATATAGGCATTGTAGAAGTGTAACATAAACAATGTACTATACGAGGTTGATAATCTGTCTACTCTATAGAAGGAGGCCTCTTATATAGGCTTAAAACTGGCCTATAGGTATAGGGCCGGTTACTAGCTAATATCCCTCCCTTTCTTCGTATCTAACTAGACACGCTTTATATTGCGCGCTTAAAACAAACATGTATGCATCCTTAGCGCTCTTAGCTAAGGCTATTTTCAGAACTCCGTAATAATACCCCCGGGGTAGCATTAATCCTAGATACTATAATTATACAAAAACAACTTCCTAAGCAATACTATACAGACCTACTATTGCTTTAACGCGCCGTAATCCTTACTAGCAATAACCTTATCTACTAGTCGGCTCTCGAAATCTCCTCCGTATACGTTAAAGCTATTAGTACCGAAGTACTGTCCCTCGTAGAAAGCTTGATTAACGAGGAGGTTAGTAGCCTTTTCCTTCGTAGCATTCTCCTAATTGTATAGATATTCCTTAAGTCCTTCGTTATTAAGCTAGAGGATCTATTTAACTTCGTTCTAAACAACGTAACTTAACTAAGGAATCCTACTAACTAGGGCGTCGGAGATGTAGCCGAGGCCTTCGACTAAGATAGCCGTAGGGAAAGCGAATAGTACGAAGGAGTTAGAGGCCGGGAGGGCGGTTAGATTACAGTGCGCTTTAGCAACCTAGGAGACTATTAAGTTCTCGTAACCCTTAACCTTAGTACCGTTAATAACGCGTAAGTAGCCTAGGTTAATTAATATACGGTTGCTCTTAGTCTTTAGATTACTATATAGTAGGTGCAGTATCTAAATAGAGACCTCGCACTCCTTTAGAGGGTTAAGGATCTACTCCGCTTTGCGCCCCTTACTATTAGGCTAACTATCGAACATATAGTCGAGGTCGTCGTCGGTAAGGTACTTATTAGTAAGCTTACTGATCTTGCTTAGTAGGACTAGGCTACGAGCCTTAAGCTTCTTAACCTAGTTCGCAAAGACCTCGGGCTAATATATGCCTTCGATAATAGTAGAGTAGCTAGTCTTATCCTTAGATATAAGGCAGACCTTAATACGTAGGTAACTAGCACCCTCGCTAGCGGCGAGCTTAACTATATCTTATCCGAGACGAGTAGACTCCTTAGAAGGACAGTTTTTATAAGTACCGCTAACCTTAAAGAACTTAGTAGGCTTAGGGACGGAGATAAGCTCGTATACGTAATTAGGTCGAAGGGCGACAGCTAAGAGCTATAAGGCAGGGTGCTAGCGGACGATTTAGTTGCTTATACTATAAGTTTGAAGGGCATTGCGGCCTTCTTGCTTAGCCTTAGGCATTGCACGTATATACTAAAGGTACATTTTAAACTCCTCCTATATTAGATCGATAAGGAAAGGAAGATATGCTCTACGAGGCTCTTATAACTAACTAAAGACTTAAGGGAAGATAGTATTGCTAGTCTAGCGAAAGCGGTCGAAGGAGGTGCCTTAGCTAAGGATACCGGTAACGAACTTGCTCTAGCGATCCGTTAGCGTAAGGGCGCGAGTAATAGTACTAGTAGGGTTAAACGCGTAGAGTCCTAGAGATATCGGGGCGGCAACAGGGCGTCTAGGAAACTAGTTAGTATAGGCCTAATTAGCCTTAAGGGCAGCGAAGGTATCTTAATTAGCGATATTACGTCTAATCTTTAATAGGCGGCTAATAAGGACACTCGTCTTAGCACTAGTATAGAGACTACACGCCTTAGCGGCCTTCTTAATATAGCTAGCATACATAGTAAACGGCTCTTCGCCTAGCTTGCTAAGGTCGTCGTACTACTAATAAATAGATAGGGCGATAGTTGCTTTGCCTATATCGGCCTTGTAAACTATATCGATCTCGGTAATAAGATATACGATAGAGTCACCCTTATAGGAACTATAGATGTTCTTAGTTAACAGTATCGGCGAGAGGCCTCTATACCTACGCTTACTAAAGGAACCTTCGGAGAAAACACTGTCTTCTAGTAGCGCATCTAGCATATTAATATCCGAGTTACTATAGTTAGTACCGGAAGGTGTAGTAGACTTCTTAGCGGCCTTCTAGAATGCCTAGCGAGCCTGTAACGCCTTCTAACGCGCTGCTTCTACCTTAGCGCGTTTATCTTAAACTTCTTAAGAGACCTTACGGTTACGGGTAGAGCGGCGATCTTGTACCTATATCTCTATAGCGAGCGCTAGACTAGTAGCCGTATCGGCTTCCGTCTTAAGGCGAAGGACCTTACGTTCGAGAACATCTACGATAGGAGCCTCTTAACCCTTAATAATAAAGCCTACACTATTAATACGACAGCCCTTTTCTTTTAGTAGATCTTTAGTAGACTAGGCGTTGAGATCCACCTCGGTAATAGCGTCCTTATACCGCTTCTAGTAGGCTATCGTAAAGTCGTTAAGTGCGAAGGTTAAGTTAACTAATTACTTGCCGTACTTCTTACTAGTAGTAGAGACTCGATAGATTATAGTACGGGAAAGGTACTCTACTTCCTCGCAACGGACCGGATACTTATTAACGAACGACGCAACCTACTTA